CTAAATAAATGGCAAAAAATAAAGTGAGCTGGGAAAAAAGACCATTAAGAGTTTAAGTTTTTGATGAAATAAATAAAGATTTGAGCATCACAGACTTTATTTAAAACTTTATATATATATATATATATATATATATATATATATATATATATATATATATATATATATATATATATATATATATATATATATATAGTTGAAGTCAGAATTATTAGCCCCCTTTTGATTTTGATTTTCTTTTTTAAATATTTCCCAAATGATTTTTAACAGAGCTATGAGCTATTATCTATTAATCTAGAGCTATTAGCCCCTTTACCCTCGTTAACAATAAACCATCGTTATACAATAACTTGACTAATTACCCTAACCTGCCTAGTTCACCTTATTAACCTTGTTAAGCCTTTTAATGTAACTTATCATATATACAGAACTCAGAATAAATGAGTACACCCATCATAGATTTCTCTTTTAAGTGAATATTTTCTATAGGATGCTTAAAAATAATAATGCATTATGATTAGTCAGGTGCAGCAAGGTGGCACAGTGGTTAGCACTGTCACCTCACAGCAAGAAGGTTGCTGGTTCAAGCCTCGGCTGGGTCAGTTGGCATTTCTGTGTGGAGTTTGCATGTTATACACTGTAAAACCCAACAGTCCACTTTATAAATTGAATTGAGTGTAGTTAACTCAAAATGCACTGAAAGTTAATTTTACTCATTTAAAGAGTTTAAACTCAGTGTTCAAAGTGATGAGTTAATTAAATACCTCATTACTTCAAATTAAATGGAGTAAGTTAAACGCTTTGTAGCAATCAATTTCCTCAAAAGGTTTTAGTTACCTTAACTTTTTGGGTTTTACAGTGTAGGTGAATTGGGTATCTAAATTGTCCGTATTGTATGCGTGAATGGGAGTGTATGGATGTTTCCCAGTGATGGGTTGCGTCTGGAAGGGCATCCGGTGCGTAAAACACATGCTGGATAAGTTGTGGGTTCATTCCGCTGTGGCGACCCCTGATTAATAAAGGCACTAAGCCGAAAAGAAAATGAATAAATGACTGAATGATTAGTCGGAACTAAAGCCAAAACTGGAACTAATCTAACAAAAAAACTTCAACTTCCACAGTCCAAAACCACAGTCAAAAAATAAGTACAACCAAACTAATATGTAAAAAAAAATATATATATATATATATAATTTATTTTTAAGAAACAGGAAAAATCAAGAAAATCATTAAAAAAAATTATCAAGTTAAGTTTTTGTACAATTTAGTAGTTTTAATTTCGCATGAATTTAAATGCATTATCTATGATATTCTATAATATCTATAATAATATTGCATTATTATTTATTATTTTAATAGATATAACTTTTTAATAAAAATGTTTCGTTTAAATGCTACAAAAGATATTACCTATATTCACTGAGAAATAGATAACAATATTTTTTTCCAAATGGAGGTGTACTCATTTATGCTGAGCATTGTGTATATACATATCAGTGTAACCACTAACACAAATATGTTTTACAACAGAAAATAGATAAGAGAACAAATAAAACTTGATATTTGGGAACTAACTGACCTTGACCCGACCCGACCCAACCTGATTTGCAATAAAATGTTAAATGAAGTTGGGAAGTTGGGTTTGTGTTGAAATCTTAAAAATTTTGAGAGGAAGTATTAAATTTGCATAATAATAATTTAATGGGAACCTCTATCGAAATCTTCAAATGGCAAAAACAATTCTATGTTAAAGATGTATGGAGGATAAAAGGTGAAGACGATTAAAGTCAAAGGAGTAAAAAAATAGAGGCTACCACACAGATACCTTAAAAATAATTAAATAATAAAATCTCATGTTAATCTCATGATTTTTTATTGACTATTAATCATTTAATGCTAATTATTCATTGATATATATTTGAAGTGTTTTTAGACAGCATTTTGAACTAATTAAATATCACCTGACTGAGTAAAAATAACGAGTTTATTAATAACCCATAACTTGTTTTTGGTCATTTTCATAAATCATGTTTTTTTGCAGTTGTACTCTTCTGTACACAACATAAAAATATGATGTATGAAAATGACTAAAAGTTATGGGTTATTAATAAACTCTTCATTTTCACTCAGTCAGGATATTTAATTATATACACCATGATTCAAAATCTAGCTTTTTAACAAAACAAAATACTTTTATTCAGAACGAATGTATTCATTCATTCATTCATTTTCTTTTCAGCTTAGTCCCTTTATTAATCCAGGATCACCACACTGGAATGAACCACCAACTTATCCAGCAGGTTTTTACGCAGCGAATGCCCTTCCAGACGCAACCCATCTCTGGGAAACAGCCACATACACTCATTCACACAGTCTTTGGACTGTGGGGGAACCGGAGCACCCAGAGGAAACCCACATAAACGTATGCATGCAAACTCCACCCAGAAACACAAACTGACCCAGCCAAGGCTCAAACCAGTGAACTTCTTGCTGTGAAGCGACAGCACTACCTACTGCACCACTGCGTCACGAGAAAGAATGCATTAAACTAATAATTAATAGCATTTAAAATGTTACAAAAACTTGATTTTAAATAAATTATGCCTTAACTTTTCTATTCATAAAACAGCCCAAAAACATACCATAGTTTCCAGAAATACCTTAATCAGCCAACATAATAATACATTTTTTTTTAAATATCAATTAATGATTTCTGAAGGATCACGAGCCACTGAACACTGCAGTCATTATGCAGAAATGTCCCCTTTGCATGACAGGAATAAATACATTTAAAGATTTATTATAGTAAGGGCGGCATGGTGGCTTAGGGGTTAGCTCTGTCGCCTCACAGAAAGAAAATCACTGGTTTGAGTCCCGACAGCACCAGTTGGCATTTCAGTAAGGAGTTTGCATGTTCTCCCCAAGTTTGGGTGGGTTTCCTCCGGGTGCTCCGATTTACACCACAGTCCCCACAGAAAAGACATGTGCTAAAGGGGAATTGAATAAGCTAAATTGGCTGTAGTGTATGAGTGTGTATGGATGTTCTCCAGTACTGGGAAGGGCATCAGCTGCGTAAAACATATACTGGATAAGCTGGCGGTTCATTCTGCTGTGGTGACCCCTGATGAATAAATGGACTATGCGAAGGAAAATTAGTGAATTATATAGTAAATAATATATAATTCACAAGCCACGATTGCAATAACATTTGACCAAATAGAATCAAATATATGCAGCCATGAAAGAAAAAAACAGGCCAGCAACCTCACAGACAAACATTTAAACAGAGGGAAAATGTAAAAATCAGTCCAAGGCACTCAAAAAACATAAAAATATTTTAATATTTTTAATATTTTATAAAAGCCTTTATTCACATGGCTAATCCGTAAAAAACTACACGTTTCAGCAAAGAACTGCTTTCATCAGGGTAACAGGTCTGGAGTTTCTTTTGAATGCTACAGTCTCACATATTCAACAATATATAATAAAAGTTTGTAGAACATATATTTAAAAAAGAAGAAAAAAATCTAACAAAAAAAGAGAACATTTTTATTCGTCAATTAAGACTGGAAGTCTAGTCAATTCTAATGTATTGATCCAAAAGATTTCTCTTTGTTTTAATCTTTTTTTATCCTGTCTCTTCTCCTAGTAGAATTAAAAAATATGCTCTATATACCAACCATTTTTAATGAACTGGGATTGCCATGACCTTGACTTTTATAATGTAAAGCCATTGCATATTGTGGATTACAGGTGCGTATCGCAGTTTTATGCTCAGCTAATGTCAATTTAAATTTTCTTTTAGTCATTCTATATATATATATATATATATATACAACAAATTTAATATTGTAATTAATAAATGAATTGATCTTAAATTCCCGGCCTGATTTTGGATCCCTAAATATGCAGGTTATCACAATGATTGCAAATACCACATTTGAAGTTTCCTGTTGTTTGACTTAGCCAAGATTGGCGTCTCACCAGTTTTTTGATTTTTTAATAAATGACCAATATAATGTACTTATTTTTTGCTTTATAACACAACCGGCAAAATATTATGTTATGAATGAGTTAAGTCCAAATGCCTTGTTTGTATTTTTAGCAGAAAAAAAGAGAATCTTCCTATATAAATCTATAAAGTTCTTCTCTTAATAATAATTAAGCTCTCCCCCAGAACATATATAAACTGTTTAATGGCAGGTACTCATATATTGTATATCATTTATACCTTTTATCTTTTTGTTAGCCTGTCAGTTTCGCACTTTGAGATTATGACATGATTTTCTTACTGTTTGCTTATGTCTTCTTGTGATCATGATGTCATTTTCTTACAATTTCCACATGTTTTGTTTTTCTATTCTCGTGATCATGCCGTCATTTTCTTGTGATCTGGTCATAAACTTTTACTGTGATCACAATTTTCTCATGACCTTCACAAACATCTGACGTTTAGAAAGATACATTGTTAAAAATATTAATGTTTGTTGTCTGATTTATGCAGTATACAAGATGCTGGTGTCAGAATCGAAGGAATCTTCAAATTGTAAACTGGAAGCTTGGTCATTAGATCTTAAGGATGATATTTCTGACGAGGGCTGGATGAAGACATGCGAGGAAGCTCCATCACTAACAATCAACACTCATTCGACACTGTAACAATATAAGTGGTTGATGAGGATTTACATAACTCCAGTTTTATTGCATAAAAATAATGGAAATATTCCAGATACTTGTTTGAGATGCAGAATTAAACGTGAAGGAATACAGAATACCAATGTCTCCTTTAATTTTTTTTTAATTTCATTTATATCCCAATGAGATCAAGTTAAAAAAGACGGAGCATATATTTATGAATATACACTGCATCCGGAAAGTATTCATGGCGCTTCACTTTTTCCACATTTGTTATGCTACACCCTTATTCCAAAATGGATTAAATAGATTTTTTCCTCAAAGTTCTACACATAATAACATATAGTGACAATGTGAAAAACATTTTTTGAAATTGTTGCAAATTTATTATAAATAGAAAACCTGAAAAATCAGATGTTCATCAGTATTCACAGCCTTTGCGCGAAGCTCTAAATGGAGCTCAGGTACATTCTGTTTCCACTGATCATTCTTGAGATGTTTCAGCAGCTTAATTGGAGTTCACCTGTGGTAAATTCAGTTAATTGGACATGATTTGAAAAGACATACACCTGTCTATATAGGGTCCCAGGGTTGACAGTGCATGTCAAAGCACAAACCAAGCATGAAGACAAAGGAATTGTCTGTAGACCTCCGAGGCAGGATTGTCTTGAGCCACAAGACTGTGGAAGGTTACAGAAAGATTTCTGCTGCTCTGAAAGTTCCAGTGAGCACAGTGGCCTCCATCATCGATAAGTGGAAGATGTTTGGAACCACCAGGACTCTTCCTAGAGCTGGCTGGCCATCTAAGCTGAGTGATCGGGGGAGAAGGGCCTTAGTCAGGGGGGTGATCAATTACCCAATGGTCAATCTGTCTGAGCTCCAGCATTCAGGCGTGTTAGGTGTAGAGGCCCGCCTGGATTTTAGGACTAACCCATCTGAAGGACTCTCAGACCATAAGAAACAAAATTCGGGTCTAATGAGACTAAAATTGAACTCTTTGGAGTGAACACCAGGTGTTACGTTTATAGAAAACCAGACACCGCTTATCATAAGGCTAATCCCACCCCTACAGTGAAGCATGGTGGTGTGGGGATGTTTTTCAGCAGCAGGAACTAGAAGACTAGTCAGGATAGAGGGAAAGATGAATGCAGCAATGTACAGAGACATCCTGAATGAAAACCTGCTTCAGAGTGCTCTTGACCTCAGACTGGGGCATCTTACAGCAGGACAATGACCCAAAGCACACCGCCACACCTAAATCCTATTAAACATCTCTGGAGAGATCTGAAAATGGTTGTACATCGTCGCTGCCCATCCAACCTGATAGAGCTTGGGAGATACTGCAAAGAGGAATAGGCAAAAATAAATCAATTAAAAAATACAGGTGTGCCAAGCTTGTGGCATCATATTCAAAAGGACTTGAAGCTGTAATCGTAACATGCAACAGCAAAGGCTGTGAATACTGATGTACATAAGATTTTTCAGGTTTTTTAATTGAAACAAATTTGCAACAATTTCAAAATATCTTTGTTCACATTGTCATTATGGGGTTCTGTGTGTAGAATTTATTTTCCATTTTTATTTATTTATTTATTCTTATTTATTTTTCACCTTTCTTTGGAAAGGACAGTAGAGATTGCAGACAGGAAAGTATTGGGAGCAGAGAGAGGGGAAGGGTTGGCAAAGGACTTCGAGCCGGGAATCGAACTTGGGTCACCGTGAGCACCATGGTGCTATATGTGCACTTAACCACTAGGCTATTGGCACCGACTTGTGCATAGAATTTTGAGGAAATCAATCAATCAATCAATCCATTAATCTATCTATCTATCCATCTATCTATCTGTCTGTCTGTCTGTCTGTCTGTCTGTCTGTCTGTCTGTCTGTCTGTCTGTATGTATGTATGTATGTATGTATGTATGTATAATAAATTAATTTAATCCATTTTGGAATAAATCTGTCACGTAAAAAATGTGGAAAAAGTGAAGCTCTATGATTACGTTCTGGATGCACTGTATATATTCTGCAAGCAAAACGGCTTATTTCTTTAAATTGAAAAAGTATATGTGCACCAAATATAGGCCGTTGGCTGAAATTGACGGTAACAAACATGTCAATGCAAAAAATAACATATATTAAGATATAAATACATAATTTTGGATAGAGTTTGGGGACCTTTTTATGTTGTTTTTAAAAAGTGATGGATTTGTAAACGTTTTACAAGAAAATTAGTAAAAGAAGTGATATTGTATTCTAATGCAAAATGCTAATGCAAAATGCTTTTGTTTAGTTTGTTCATTTGTTTGCTTGGTTTATGTTATATCTGGCACATGGAAATGTGTATGTAATTGTTAAAATACAATAAAAAGGAATTGGGGGAAAAAAAGATTGTAGTCCGCACTTGTGTGACTTGAGGCTGTCCATGAGGTTGAAGAGAGCAACCATGTAAAAAAAATGTTAAATTGACCACAATCATATGTATAGAAGTAAAACATTTAAAAGGGAACTGAAATTAAAGGCAGTTAGTCTGGTTAGGAAATACAATGTTTATAAACAGGAACCTCAGATTTTAAATAAAAAAAATATCCAGTAAGTAAATGTTGCATAAAAACTGGGAAATTTAAATGAAGAAATTACTGTAATGTGATTTTCTCATGACAGTTCATTCCGTTGTGGCGACCTCTGAAATAAAGACTAAGCTGAAGGAAAATAAATGAATCAATGATTTTCTCATCTCCATTAATGGAGCTTAATTTCTTTACTAGGGGATTGTAGTCAAATAAAGAGTCTTGTGATGATTAACAACAATATAAATAAATCAAATATATTATGAAAACTGTTATAGAAATGGGGGTATATGCACACAGACTTTTAATTTCAGCCAGCAAGCCTCAGCACTTCCAGGGAACTGTCCTTCCATTATAAAATTGCCATGTTTAAGGTCTGATTTCTTCAAAAATCTTCACTCCCTGATTATTAGATTATATATATATAGATATATATAGATATATATGATATGAAGTGGATCTCATTGCGCTGCATTTAACTCTATTTTCCCTCGCCATGTCTTTAAAATATGACAGTTTATTTTACCCCGGTATCAATAGTTTCTGCGCTCCCCTGCTGAATCTGAAGGCACTAACGATTACATGGTCTTTTAACTCGCTTTATGATTGAACAGCTAAATAAACTATTAAGTCTATTAAATTGAATGTATTGTAATTACATTAAAACATCAGTGCTGTAAAAGCAACCTTATGAAATTGAAAATAGTCAAATTAAACTTTTTACCGGACGTTTATCATTGGCTGAAAAACACTAGCTGTGCATAGAGCCCATTCAAGACCACTTAGAAATCCTCAGTTTCTCTGAATGTAATATTTATAGTTGTGAGTAACAGTAAAATATTTTTTGTTTTGTTCTGCAAACTGACATTTCTTCCCAATTTATTATAAAACAAGTTGTCTTTTAGAGTTTAAAATAACAATTAATCATAGTACATTTTAATATACATTTACAAAATACATGCATGTCTTTTTATGGAAAATAAAAATGCTCTAAATGACAACATTTTTATTTATAATCGGGGAACCTTTATTAAATAAAACAAACATTAAAATTGGACCCAAACCATTTTGGAAGAAAATACATAAGGTACTGGAAAATATTCTTAAGCTAAATTTTGACATGACCCCAGCTTTGTACTTATTGAATCTTAATGCAAATAATCTGTTTGAAAAATATGCATTCCAGTTATTTATTGTATTGGTATATTAAGCTAAAAAATGTATTTTGCTACTCTGGTCTGCATCACAGGCTCCATCTTTTAAAATGTGGATATCACAGATTGCTACATGGCTACCATTAGAAAAACTTACCTATGACAAACATAAAAAATCTGATAGATTTTGGTCAATTTGGTCTGCCCTTTGGGAGTACATAAAAGAGCTCTCTTAAATTAACACAGCATCCTTGACATTCATTTACACTTTTTGTTATAACCTACACTTAAAGACTACTCTAAGATGATGTAATTGTACTTCTAATTATTCTTTACCTATTTATTTATTTATTATTTTTTTACATTAATTTCTCTGTTACTTTCACTCTCAAGACTGTACATTCTCTGTAATATGTTAAAACATTTTGATGTTAATGTTTTGTTAAGATGGGCATACAATAAAAATAAATAAATAAATAAATAAAATTGGACCCAAACATAAATCCAGAATATCCAGAGAGTTTTCATACTGGTGTGTGCGTGCCTGTGTGTGCATGAGAGAGTTTCCCATGAACCTATAAATGCATAAAATTATAAAATGCATAATTTAGTGCAGAGGAACTACAGATAAAACTGCTTCTTTTTTCTTTACCAGGTACATTTCTGCTTTGTCTTTTTTACTTACTTTTTTTGTTTGTTTAAAAGAATTATATCAGCTACTTCTGTAAACCTTATAAGGAACAATGTTATGCTAATGTTACTTGTACATATTTTAAATATTACTGCAATATTTAAGGCTACAATTAACAAATTTTCATTGCAACGTACTTTTAGACTTAGTAATCAAAACTGAAATAAATATCTATGGAAATAACTACATGTGAATTGAACATTTAGCTGTTTGCAAATCTAAATGTAATTATAAATTGATAAAATACATGCTAAAATAGCTATATATTCATGTATGTATGTAATATAACCAGAAGTTCTAAAAAACACCTAAAGAACACTTAAAATATAATATAATATAATATAATATAATATAATACAATATAATATAATATAATATAATATAATATAATATAATACAATACAATACAATACAATACAATATAATATAATATAATATAATATAATACAATACAATACAATACAATACAATACAATACAATATAATATAATATAATACAATACAATATAATATAATATAATATAATATAATACAATACAATACAATATAATATAATATAATATAATATAATATAATATAATATAATATATTATAATATAATAAAGTATAATATAATGTAATATAATATAATATAATATGAAATAATATAATATAATATAATAGAACATAAAATAATATAATATAATATAATATAATATAATACAATATAATATAATATAATATATTATAATATAATAAAATATAATAAAATATCATATAATATGAAATAATATAATAGAATATAATAGACTATAAAATAATAGAATATAATAGAATATAATAAAATATAATAAAGTATAATATAATGTAATATAATATAATATAATATGAAATAATATAAAATAATATAATATAATATAATATAATATAATATAATATAATATAATATAATATAATATAATAGAACATAAAATAATATAATATACTATAATATAATATAATATAATATAATATAATATAATATAATATAATACAATACAATACAATACAATATAATATAATATAATATAATATAATATAATATAATACAATACAATACAATACAATACAATACAATACAATATAATATAATATAATATAATATAATATAATATAATATAATAAAATATAATATAATATTCATTCATTCATTCATTTTCTTGTCGGCTTAGTCCCTTTATGAATCCAGGGTCGCCACAGCGGAATGAACCGCCAACTTATCATTATAATATATAATATATTACATTAGAATAGAATAGAATAGAATAGAATAGAATAGAATAGAATAGAATTACATGTTATTATAAGTTTACATATTCTCCCCGTGCTCTGGTTTCCTCCACAGTCCAAAGACATGTGGTACAGCTGAATTGGGTAGGCTAAATTTATTTCCCAGAGATGGGTTGCAGCTGGAAGGGCTTTCGCTGTGTAATATGCTTGATAAGTTGGCGGTTCATTCCGCTGTGGCGACCCCTGATTAATAAAGGGACTAAGCCGAAAACAAAATGAATGAATGAATGAATAACCAACTATAATCCCAATTCTACATTGAAGATTCTGCAATGTGACTATTACAGATGCACACATTATGGATGCTCAAACAATATATTGTGCAGGCCTAATGTATATGAATGAGAGGAAGTAACTAATCACCTTGCTTTCATATCCCTATTTACATTATTTTCATTCAAACACCTCTCCAAGTTCATGATCCTGTTTCTAAATGGCATGGGTAGGCCCACCCGGAATCTGTGCGCGCAGAACTCCCCAGATTTTCCGCAGATTTTTAGCCCATCATTAATTCTGTTTATTTACTTGAGTAAATGTGTGTAAATCTAAATTTATTCAGTTTTTAAATTAATTTCAGTAACATTATTGACTTCTGTGGAAATGGTCATCTGATTTATGTACAATGCAGTTTGTACAGAATTATTTTTTGTCTTTTACTAGATATATAATATGACAAACTTGCTCTTTTTACCAAATAAAGTGAATCTAATTGGATTTGCATTTTAAACATTAAATAAAAGTTAAAAAGAAATTATTTTTCATTTCATATATTAAGGTTTTAATTATAATACTCCCAAAACAATTCCGCAGAAATCCGCAGACTATTACCAAAATTCTCAGCAGAAATAGCAAAAAACGTCCGCAGATTCCGTCTGGCCCTAGGCATGGGTCACAATTTGACTGAAGAGATTTCCTGTTTTTACAGTTGGTATAAATCCCAACAACAAATCTGATGAAGTTTCCAGTAATTACACTGGGAGGAGTCTGTCTACAAATATAAGAGGTATAGAATCACCGGACAGAATGACACAGACAGCAGCAGAAGCATCCCGAACAGAAGGAAAACCAGCCAGAAAGGTAAATATTACTATCACTCTCAGCAAATTTGCTTTGGGAAAAGTAAACTATGTCTAATATCTAATTCTAATAGGTAGTCTTATATACTTAGTTACCTTAAAAAAATAATAAATAATAAATAAAAAAAAAAATAATAATAAATAAATAAATAAATAAATAATGGTAAAATTAACATTAATAATAATAATAATAATAATAATAAGTAGAAGAAGAAGAAGTAGAAGAAGAAGAAGCAAAAAATAAAACAAAATTTAAAAGTTCTAAAATAAAATAAAAAAATAAAATAAAATAAAATAAAAGGATCGCCTCAAAGCAAGAAGGTTGCTGGTTCGAGCCCCAGCTGGGTCAGTTGGCATTTCTGTGTGGAGTTTACATGTTCTCCCCATGTTCGCGTGGGTTTCCCCAGATTAATAAGGGGACTAAGCCGAAAAGAAAATGAAGAAATGATAAAAAAATAAAAAAACCTGATATTACAAATGAGAGATCTGTACTTATTTATGATTGGGAGTGTAATAAAATAAAATAATAACATACCTAATATTCTCCTATTTCACATTTTCAGATGTTCCCAGTGTTGATGTTACTCATGGCGGCTCTGGTGGCTGCAGATGAGCCTCTGCTGGATCTGTCCATTCCGATGGAGACTGAAGACGTCTCTGCCTCTGTGATTCACTGCGATGCTCGAACTGTGTGTCCAGATAGAACAACATGCTGTCGGACTCCATATGGCAAATGGACATGTTGTCCATTCCCAATGGTAAGAGAATCTTGTTTTTTATATTCTTCTACTCATAGTTACAGGGTTAACCTTTGCTCACTCTCTCCTCTGCTTCAGGGTCAGTGTTGCAGGGATGGGATTCACTGCTGTCGACACGGTTATCGTTGCAATTTCGCCTCCACCCGATGCCTGCGAGGCTGGCTGTCACTGCCATCGTCCTTCCAGGAGGCCACCAGAACCTTCGAGAAAGATCAGGTATGGCAGACCACTGTGACAATGTACAAATAAAATATGCAAATAAATAATAGTGCATAATAATAGTGCAGTGCAAATATTAATTGCATTCAAAATAAAAGTTTAAAAAGTATTATATGCAAAACACACTTATTTAAAAACTAAATTATACAAAACTTTTTTTGCATCGATATTTAGATTGATATTTGATGTGTGTGTGTGTGTGTGTGTGTATGTATGTATATATATATATATATATATATATATATATATATATATATATATATATATTTGAAGTCAGAATTATTAGCCCTCCTGTTTATTTTTTCTCTAATTTCTGTTTAATGGAGAGCAGATTTTTCCAACACGTTTCTAAACATAATAGTTTTAATAACTCATTTCTAATTACTGATTTATTTTATCTTTGTCATGATGACAGTACATAATATTTTACTAGATATTTTCAAGATATATACAGCTTAAGGTGACATTTAAAGGCTTAACTAGATTAATTAGGTTAACTAGGCAGGTTAGAGTAATTAGGAAAGTTATTGTATTGTGTTTAAAAATTGAAAACTGCTTTTATTCTAGCCAAAATAAAACAAATAAGACTTTCTTCAGAAGAAAAAATATTATCAGACACACTGTGAAAATTTATTTGGGAAATAAAAAAAAAAGCAAAGGGGGCGAATAATTCTGATTGCAACTGTATATACAGTTAAAGTCAGAATTATTAGCCCCCTTTGATTTTTTCTTCTCTTTTATAAATATTTTAAATTAGTGCTTAATTTAGAAGAGTGGCAAATAACGCATCAAGAAAAAATATAAGATATAAAAAAATATAATTATAAAGATTTAGTCAAATGCACACTTCAGTGTATAAAAAACCAAACTGAACAATTAGCTCTTAATGTATTTGAGAAGTCACTGTCGGTAATAACAAACAACAATTTTTTTTACATAATTTTTATAAAATAAAGCCATCAAGTAAAGCTTAACTCACACACTTTTTCTTGAAAATAAATCAAAAACCAAAATATTACATTTTGCACCTGCTGCTTGCCTGATTATATTCATAAACTTGACTGCTTAAGGTTAAGATGATTACTAATCTTAAAAATAAGTTGACTTTGCAGCAAGTCAACACCACATTCTGTCTGTGTTAGTTTGAATTATGTGAGCTGCAATCATTTAAATTAGTCAGACTAATGTAATTCTTGTGAATGTAAATTTAGACCCAGGCTGAGACTGTCCAATGTGAAGGAAATTTCTACTGCCCGGCTGAGAAGTTTTGCTGCAAGACTGGAACTGGCCAGTGGGGCTGCTGCAGCGGTAAAACAGACTTCATATCACTGTATTAATAAGCATGGCTAATCAAGAAGCATAATATAATACAATTCACTTACAACCTGTATTTCTGTTGTTTATAGAGTTGGAGTTGTAAGCAAACAACCACTGTTACACTGGTTCACCTCTTACTGAAGACTGTCAAAATGCAAGAGGCTCCAAACTTCATTCATGTTTCAGGCTATAGTTTACTCTTACTGAATTAGTGTGAAATAAAAACTAAAAGAATTACTGTCAAAATGCACCGTCATTTAATAAATCTTTGTGATTAGTGGGAAAAGAGATTGTTTTTATTCATTTGTTTGTGGTATTTTTATGAAGTAATCTATGGTTATGAATAGTTCCTTTACTTGTCTCAACCATATACTGCACAACAGTTTTGGGATGACTGACGATATGATGACGGACAAATGTAATGTTGCGTTTCTGATTTAAATGAGAACGACTAACAAAACAATCACAACTGCTGCAGTCACATTTTGTAGTATGTATTTTATATATCTCACTGGCCATATTAATAGTTTCACCTTGCAAATAATGTTCTGCGGTTTAAAGGTTCAAGAAACTCTTGAGTACTTTTTTTTATTTTAATAGATTAGTGTGTGTTGAGCATCAGTTAAGACAATGTTAGCACTTGTCAGCTTTAATTTTAGGGTAAACTGGATAGTTTTGAGCTTTTGTCAGCTAATTTCAGCTTCCGGGTTTAAAATGATTTTTGGGGTGGATCAAAATTGGTGATGTAGCGCAAAACTGCAAGTGCAAAGATGACGCGTGGGTTTTTCATTATTATTCAGGACGGAGTTTTCTAATCCTATGAGAAGAGCCGGCTTCTTAATTATTCATGACTGCACGTGCTTTCCGAAAGCAAGACAGCCCTGCAAGTGCCAAGCAGAGAGACACAGACCCACGGCACACAGTGTTTAGCTGTTCATGAAGAGTCATATGTGTTTGTTTCCATAATCCACGGGGTTTGTTGCATGTTTTTCCCCGCGATGCTGTCAGGGCCGATACAGCAAAGCTGTTTGTGTGCAGCAAGCATTTTTGTCGGGAGAGCAAGTGAATTAGAGAACGGCGGTAGTTGTCTTTTATTAGGAGTTCGTTCACATTTAGACACATCACAGTGCTGCTGTGTTTGCCTAAATCCTCCAGATTACCAACAGGGCTAATGGTTAAAATAGACAGGGCAAGAGACCTGCTGCACTGAGTCTGCATTCAGACCCAGGGATTGAGGGAAAAGTCCTCATTTAGTGTTTATATAAACGCGATTATGTTTATAAGGATATAAATTGTGGTTGTGTGTATATGAATTTACAAATGACAAATGTTGCAGTGCATTAAATTACAGTTTATTTCTTTGCATTTTAACTTTTTAAACTATAAAATCATGCATCTTCTCATTTTTTGAGCTAACTGACAACAGTTGTTCGCTCCCCTCCTTCTACCCTGCTGGCCACGCCCACTCCTGCCCTTTGCTCGGGGAGCTTCACGCCCATTATGATGTGTCTTTTGAAAAAAATCTGAGGTAGACCTGAAACAAAAGTTCCCCTCCTCTTGCTGTGAGGTGACTAACAGCAAGAAGCCACTGCGCTGCCACAATGCAAAGGTAAAATTCACAAGCAACTATGTGCTTGTAAATATTTTAAAAGAACATTCTCTCATTAATAATCTCTTCATTTATCTGGCAGAGTGTACTACCATTTGAGCAACAGGCATTCCAGAAACACCATGAACATTGGGAGGAATGACTGAATTTTGCGAAGAAAAAAAATTGTCAAACAAGATTTTTGGCTGAAACTAAATAAATAACTAAAACATTGTTCACTGTAAGACATTGTCTTGTAGTGTGCTTTACTTGAACAGGTTTAACCTCTGGTACAGACACTGCCTATGAAAAGGAAATACTAAATAAATCAATATATTATAAAATACAGCAGATAATGTACATAATATACATAATAGTTCAACCCCTAAAATGAGCATTCAGATATTACACACCCACTCTGGTTTCGTTGTAATGACTTACACACGTCTTCCTAATTTGTACAAAAATGTTACGATATTTATTTCAGAAGTTTATATTTTATTTGCGTTTCTTCAAAATTCTTGCAATAAGGGCTGCACAATAAATTGTTTCAGCATCGATATCGCAATATGCGTATCTGCAATAGTCACATCGCAGGATCTGCAATGTTAATTCTGAAATATAGTTGACCAGGAGCTAAAGAACACTTGATTTGTAGAGTCACTGCTAAGGTTAACCATATTAGAGTGAACGTTTATCATTAGTATGTTTTAAGTCCTGTGATCGAGCATTCCAAGAGAGTTTAAAACATTTAGGCACAAAAATGAGGATGTGTAGAGCTGTAACTAAGGTTAATTGCATTCTTACTTAGAATTTTTGTCTTGTTTATAGTCCAAATATCTACATTTCAAAGCAAAAACAACATTTTTCTCACCCCACTTGCTGATAATTTAGCTTGTTTAAAGGAAAAACTCTTAATTTTGATGAATTTATTACTTCTGAAGGTGAAACAAAACAATATTTTTACTTGATCTAAGAATTTGAGATCTTTTGACTAGATATAAGACAAGGCAACGTAAAAAAAGCATCATTTTCGCTTTGTGACTAATCAATTTCAGTACGTGAATACTGTTAGACTAACAAACAAAGCCATTCAATCCACCTTGTGAAATTATTCATATCGTAATAGTTAACGCAGAAAAATAAAACATCGTAATGTGCAATTTTTCCAGTATCGCGCAACACTACTTGCAATATAGGTCAAGTGTCCAATGGGATGAATTGATTCTGTGATACAATTCATTTTGTGTCATATGAATAAAAACAAGCAGGACATTTTAAAAAATGTCTCCTTATGTATATCCTTAGGATATATATATATATAGGGAGAGGCAGTGGCGCAGTAGGTAGTGCTGTCGCCTCACAGCAAGAAGGTCGCTGGGTCGAACCTCGGCTCAGTTGGCGTTTCTGTGTGGGGTTTGCATGTTCTCCCTGCCTTCGCGTGGGTTTCCTCCGGGTGCTCCGGTTACCCCCACAGTATAAAGACATAGGGTACAGGTGAATTGGGTAGGCTAAATTGTCTGTAGTGTGTGAATTTGTGTGTGAATGATTCCCAGAGATAGGTTGCGGCTGGAAGGGCATCCGCTGTGTAAACACTTGCTGGATAAGTTGGTGGTTCATTCCACGGTGGCGACCCCGGATTAATAAGGGGACTAAGCCGACAAGAAAATGAATGAATGAATATATATATATATATATACACACACACACACAGTTGAAGTCAGAATTATTTTCCCCCTTTGAATTTTTTTTTCTTTTTTAAATATTTCCCAAATGATGTTTAACAGAGCAAGGAAATGTTCACAGTATTTCTGATAATATTTCTTCTTCTGGAGAAAGTCGTATTTGCTTTATTTCGGCTAGAATAAAAGCAGTTTTAATAAAAAATAAAATAAAAAAAAACATTTTAAGGACAAAATTATTAGCACCTTTAAGCTATATTTTTAGAGAGCTAATAGTTCAGGGGGGCTAATAATTCTGACTTCAACTATATATGTTAGCCTCCCTGAATTATTAGCCCTCCTGTTTATTTTTTTCCTCAATTTTTTTTCCTAACCATTCAGACACTTAAAAACAAATAAAAGTAACTTAAAATGGATAGTGAAATGCACGGGCAGCCATTGAAGAGAAGATCAAATCGGCGTGATGTGCTCGTATTTGCGTGTGCCAGTTTAAAGTTGTGCAGCTGCATTCTGAACAAGCTGCAGTCGAGAAATAGAAGACTGACTCACCCCAAAATAAAGGGCATCGCAGTAGTCCAAGCGGGAGGTTATAAAAGCATGGATTACTGTTTTAAAGTGACTGTGTGATAAAACATGCTCAATTTTGGCCAGTTGTCTCAAAGTGAAAGAAGCTAGAGCGAACAACAGACCGAATCTGGCTTTCAAGCTTTAGTTCAGGATCCATTTTAAAACCCATGTTCACAATCTATGGCTTACAGAAAGTTTCAAGATTATTTAAGATTATTTTTCAAGACATTACTATACAGCTTAAAGTGACATTTAATGGCTTAACTAGGTTAATTAGGTTAACTAGGCAGGTTAGGGTGATTAGGCAAGTTATTGTAAAATGATGGTTTGTTCTGTAGACTACAGGAAAAAAATTGCTTAATGGGGCTAATAATTTTCCTTAAAATGGTATTAAAAAAAATTTAAAACTGCTTTTATTCTAACCGAAGAAAAACAAATAAGACTTTCTTCAGAAGAAAAAATATTATCAGACATACTGTAAAAATTTCCTTGCCTGTACGTGTGTGTGTATATATATATATGTATGTGAGAGGAACTACTGACTAAAGTGACTTATCACATCACCATGCTTTCATATCCTTATATACATTACTTTCATTCAAACACTTCTCCAAGTTCATGATCCTGTTTCTAAATGCCATGGGTCACAAGATAACTGATAAGATTTCCTGTTAGTATAAATCTCAACAACAAATCTGATGAAGTTTCCAGTAATTGCACTGGGAGGAGTCTGTCTACAAGTATAAGAAGTACAGCAGAGAATTACCGGACAGAACGACACAGACAGCAGCAGAAGCATCCCGAACAGGAGGAAACCCAGCCAGCAAGGTAAATGTTATTACATCACTCTCAGCTAATGTATTATGGGTAAAGACAACTAATTGTAATGGGTAGTATTGTATACAGTCAGTGCACAGCATAAATGAGTGCAACCCTCTTTAAAAAATGAATCTCTTTACAATTTCTCTGTAAATATAGCGTCAATATATTTTGATCCAGACTTTATTTTGGTTCTGTCAAATGTAATGTATACACACAAGTATATTATTGTATTGACCTGATTCTTTATTGTGGAAGTGCGCTTATTTTGCAATTGTTTTAGAACTTCCGATTCAGTTGTCTATGGTAGAAATGACTAGGAATAATAAACCACAGAAAACAGTCAAACTACTCCCTCTACAAACAAGTGTTTGCATGACTATACAGAAAAAGTAGAATCAAATAATAAGAAAATATCAGTTTGCAACATCAAGCAGCAGAACTAGCTGTTTTTAGCGTCTAAAAATGAATGGAAGTAAATAAGACCGGAGATCTCAAATTAAAACGATTCAAATGGCTGTGCCCGCTCTTACGCGAAGAATAAGGTCAATACCATCCTATAGAAAGTTTTAATTTAAAAGAGAGATAAGTCGGGGTGTACTCATTTATAATATGCAGTGTCCTAAATTAAACTAAAACAAAATATAATAAAATAAAAAACAAAAATGTGCTGATAAAATAAAAAAAGATAAAATAATAACATACCTAATACTCTCCTATTTCACATTTTCAGATGTTCCCAGTGTTGATGTTACTCATGGCGGCTCTGGTGGCTGCAGATGAGCCTCTGCTTGATCTGTCTATCCCGGTGGAGACTGTAGACACCTCTGCCTCTGTGATTTACTGCGATGCTCAAACTGTGTGTCCAGACGGAACAACATGCTGTCTGAGTCCATATGGCATATGGTCATGTTGTCCTTACTCAATGGTAACAGAATCTCGAGTTAATATGTTTCTACTCATAGTTACAGGGTTAACCTTTGTTCACTCTCTTCTCTGCTTCAGGGTCAGTGTTGCAGGGATGGGATTCACTGTTGTCAACATGGATATCGCTGCGATTCCACCTCCACCCGATGCCTGCGGGGCTGGCTGACTCTGCCATCGTCCTTCCAGAAGGCCACCAGAACCTTCCAGAAAGATCAGGTATGGCAGACCACTGTAAAAATAAAATATGTAAATAAAATAGTGCAGTATAAATACTAATTGCATTCAAAATAAAAGACTAAAAAGTTTCTTTGCAAAACACACACTTACATAAAAACAAAATTATACAACATTTTTTGCATCAATATTTAAATTGATATATTTAAGGAAGGAAATTTTCACAGTATGTCCGATAATATTTATTCTTCTGGAAAAAGTCTTATTTGTTCCATTTCGGCTAGAATAAAAGCACTTTTTAAATTTAAAAGAAAAAAATTTTGGTCAAAATTATTAGCCCCTTTTAAGCTATATTTTTTCGTTAGTCTACAGAACAAACCATCCTTATGCAATAACTTATCACCCTAACCTGCCTAGTTAACCTAATTAACTCAGTTAAACCTTTAAATGTCACTTTAACCTGTATAGACGTGTCTTGAAAAATATCTAGTAAAATATTATTTATTATTATGATTAGAAAAATGTTGAAAAAACTGTCACTCCGTTAAAAATAAAAAATAAAAAATAAAAAGGGGGGCTTAAAATTCTGACTTCAACTGTATACACAGTACACACACACACACACACACGCACACTCACACACATACACACACACACACACATATATATATATATATATATATATATATTTTTTTTTTTTTGGATGCGATTAACTGTGATTAGTCTTTGCCCAGCACTAAAATAAATGTAAAAAAATCTAATATAAACATTTCTAATTCAAATAATATATTAAGATGATAATGATATATAAATATTAAAAAATATGACTAAAGTTAGACATGCAGATATTCAATAATACACAGTGTGATATTGAACATGCATGATATTGTTATTGTTAGAATACTGTGAGTAAATATTTATTATTCCTTTTTATCACATCAATTATCACTACAAGAAAATGCAATAATTACCACCGTATCCTTGAATGCACTACATTTATATTTATATTTTTTATTGTTTCAAAATGTATTTTGTTTCAGTGTTACTCAATATTTTTAAGTAATTGTCTGTGAACTGCAGTCATTTCTAAGTTAAAATAGTTTCTATTGTATACCTATGTGCTAGTAAAGCATCTTGTGTTACAGTGACCTACATGACAATCTTTACTCTCGATGTCGTATGACTTTGAATCACCACTTCCCTTGGCAATAAAACACAGTTTCAACACTTTCAAGCTGCAAACAATGAAACAGTGTACAATAAAAGACATGTGACTTTCAAGCAGTCAAAGGCCACAGTCATGTTATAAGTTAAAATCAGTTGTTAATTCAACTTTATTAGTGCTTGAAGACATTATAAGTGCTTGATTTAGGAGAATAGCAAATATTGCATCTAGAAAAAACTGTTATAAAGATTTGGTCAAATGCACACTGCAGTGTATCATTCATTCATTTTCTTGTCGGTTTAGTCCCTTTATTAATCCGGGGTCGCCACAGCAGAATGAACCACCAACTTATCCAGCAAGTTTTTACGCAGCGGATGCCCTTCCAGCCGCAACCCAACTCTGGGAAACATCCCCACACACATTCACGCACACACTTACAGACAATTTAGCCTTCCCAATCCCCCTGTACCACATGTCTTTGGACTGTGGGGGAAACCGGAGCACCCGGAGGAAACCCACGCAAAGGCAGGGAGAACATGCAAACTCCACACAGAAACGCCAACTGAGCCGAGGTTCGAACCAGCAACCCAGCGAACTTCTTGCTGTGAGGCGACAGCACTACCTACTGCGCCACTGCCTCGCCCCACTGCAGTGCATACAAAACCAAAATCTACAAATAGCTCTTGATTTGAAAAGACACTGTAGTTCAAGAGTTCACACTTAGCTGATGATTGATTATAAGCAAGTTTGGCATGCTGTCCCGGGAGAGAGCCCTGAGCTCGAAGGTTCTTGAGCCCTGGGCTCCCTCCCGTTTGGAGGTAGAGAGGGGAGCCTCGAGCTCAGGTAGATCTCGACAACTCCCCTTTTTATAATAGCTAAAAATTAAGATTGAAGGCTATTAAAAGATATGCTGCATTATTAGATTACCTGTATTGAAATTTAGATTTAACGATTAACTTGTTGTACATGTTTTTGGAATGTGGGAGGAAACCGGAGAACCCGGGGAAAACCCACGCAAGCACGGGAAGAACATGCAAACTACACACAGAAACGACCACCGGCCTGTTAAGGAACTAGAACCGGTGACGTTCTTGCTGTGAGGCGACAGTGCTAGTCACTGAGCCACCGTGCTGCCCTATGGAGGGAAAGGTGAAAAGGTAGGGGTGGAAGGGGGGATTCTTCAAATCGAAGATGACTGTAGTGAGAAAACCCTGGCTCTTTATAGTGGTTAGGAATGGCCTGATTGGTGGATCAAGCATGCTAATGCAGAACCAGCCGTGTTCAATCATAATCACGTGCTCCTCTCGAAATTAGTTTATGAATAAACTTCACTTGATAAAACAAAGAACAACAGGGTTTTAATTACGTATAATTTTTAAGGAACAAAACCATCAAAGCAAAGTTTAACTCAAACCCATAAATGACAAAGCAAAACATTGAATTCTTGACTGATTTCATTCATGAACTGGATTGCTTAAGATGCTGCACATTATGTTTTTGCCAAGTACGATGTGATCCTGAATTAATGTCTATGTTCACCATTTTTGTTTGATAATGTAATCCCTACACCTAAACCCAACCATAACTGTATTTCCCAAATCAGAAGGGAATAATAGTTGCATAACAATCATGTAAAAGTGCATAAACCTAACCATTAGCCTAAATTTAACATGAACGGTAAACAGTTATCACTTCATTTTGTAATTGTTATTGGCTGATTGGAATGTTGTTCCAGGATCAACATAGATGTTAAGCACATGTCCCACTTGGATAAATCAGGTTGGCGTTTAAGGCAAAGATGATTACTAATCTTAAAAATAAGTTGACTATGCAGCACGTCAACACCAAATTCTGTCTGTGGTAGTTTGAATTATGTGAGCTGCAATCATTTAAATTGGTCAGACTAATATAATTCTTGTGAATGGAAATTTAGACCCAGGCTGAGACTGTCCAATGTGAAGGAAATTTCTACTGCCCGGCTGAGAAGTATTGCTGCAAGACTAGAACTGGCCAGTGGGGCTGCTGCAGCGGTAAAACAGACTTCATATCACTGTATTAATAAGCATGGCTAATCAAGAAGCATAATATAATACAATTCACTTACAACCTGTATTTCTATTTTTCATAGGGTTGGAGTTGTAATCAAACAACCACTGTTACACTGGTTCACCTCTTACTGAAGACTGTCAAAATGCAAGAGGCTCCAAACTTCATTCATGTTTCAGGCTATATTCTTACATCCAGGCTGAATTAGTGTGAAATAAAAACTAATAGAATTACTGTCAAAATGCACCGTCATTTAATAAACATTATTAATTTGGGGGAAAAGAAATTGTGTTCTTATTCATTCATTCATAGTATTTTTATGAAGTAATCAGTGATTGTGAATGAATTTAATGCACTGTAAAGCCCAACAGTCCACTTTATCAAATGAATTGAGTGAAAGAAATGTACAATATAAATCAGGAAGTGATATTACAAAGTGATAAGAACAATAAGTAAAAAAAGAAAAAAGTAATATGAAGAAAAGAAAAGAAAGAACAAAATGAAGAAAAGGCAAGTACAAAATTAAATTAAGAAATTAGAAATTAGAAATACAGAAAGCATTAATTACTAACATCCTGGAAGCATGATATTTTCATAAGTTTCTATTGACTTGCAGATTTTTGTTGTTGTTAGATAGACGTATAGCTTTAAGCAAGAAATCAATTTCAATTAAATAATGGGCAAATGAGGGAGAGGATTTAAGAAATTTTTGTTTGTGGATAAAGAATTTAGCAAATAATATTAAAAAAAAGTTATAGAAATATTCTTCATTTTTATTCTTGGGGCTTAAATAACAACAAATGATATTTTTCAGTTTAAAGATTTGTTTTGTTGATTGGGATTTCTTCAAATAATTACATAGATCTGACCAAAACAGTGAGATTTTACATGTAAAATACATGCGAGTCAAAGTTTCCTGATTTTCCTGACAAAAGGAACAAGTATCTGCAATATCAGTAAATTCTAAGATAAATGCATTGACCGGGTATATTTTGTGTAAAGTTTTAAAATGGATTTAATTTGCTTTGTTTGGGATTACATATTTGAATGGGAGAAGCATGTTCTTTTCCAATCAATATCTTCATTAAAGCTGACCAATATGATTTCTTTCTTGGAGCAATATGATTTTTTTTGTTGGACAATTCGAAGAATAAGTTTGTTGTTACATTTCTTAGTATTTTCATTAATAAACACTTCCTCGCACTTTTCCACACACGTGGGTTTCAATGTGTAAACAACAGTTACCATCAATGTGTGTTTGACAGGATCATTTATATATCTTACCACATACTGTATCCGCTGGTATACGACTTTAAACGAAGAATTACCTTCATAAATTTGCAAAATGCGTCCCTGAAGGGAAACGCTCGACAAGTTAAAATGCGTTAAATCGATGTATCCTGGTTTGTGTATGCAGCGCTTGCTCGTCACAACATTGCCCCGCCCACATTACACGTTTCCACAGCAACATTCAACCAAAGACTAAAAAGAGAGTAAAACATGCTGAAAATGTCGGCGATGAACAGAAAATTAATTCAAAACCTCGCCGAGACTTTATGCAGACAAGTCAAACATTGTGAGTATCTACTTGCGTTTGAGATATCAGCTTTTAGTTCGTTAATAACCTGCAGCTTTATAAAGTTATAACTCTAATAACTATACTAAACAAGGTAGGTTATTTAACGTTACTAAGCTGTGGTCATACTGTAGTTAATAAAACAGAGACGGAGTGTCTGATAAGGCTGTTCAACAGTCTGCTGGGAGAGCAGGCAGAGAGAAAGACGACTATTGGAGTGGACCGGGCCAAATTCAGAAATATACTGCACCACACTTTCGGGATGACCGACGACATGATGACGGACAGAGGTAACGTTGCGTTTCTGAATGAGAACAACGACCAACAAAACAATCACAATTTGCAGTGCAGTATTTATTGCATATATACTTTCACCGGCCACTTTATTAGGTTCACCATGCAAGCATTATAATGGGGTTTAAACTTAAAGGGATAGTTCAGACCCAAAATGAATACTTCTTCTCCATCGTTTGCTCACACTCAAGTGGTTCTAAACTTTTATGAGTTTCTTTCTGTTTGGGTAAAGTTACCCTAGTTGTTAAAGTAATTACAACCTCAAGCCTATCTAAATGTGGTTATAAGTGGTTTAAGATTGTAATATATTTCACTTAAAAAACAGGGGCAAACTTAAGTCATATGGGGGGCTCTAAGCAAAGGTATGGGGCCCCATTGAAACAAAACATTCTCTTTCTTTATAGATATTTTTCCTCTATAGATTTATTTATTATTAGTATTATTATTTTGGTAAATAAACAGCATGTTTAAACTAAATATAATCTAAATATAAATATATCTTGGACCTGTTACCAAAGATGCAACAGCAAAAACACACAGCACTGTCTATCATTTTTCAAGCTCTATAGTAGTAATCTTTTCACCATTATCTAAATAATAGCTGTTTGTGAATCAGTGGAAATTTTCTTTTGTTTGAAGACACTTCTTAACAAGCTAACGAACATTCCATTATTGATGGGGCCCCCATATTAGAAAAGAAGCAATAATGTTAAAATCTTAATGGTTATACACAGAAAAAAATGATAAAATAGCTATATGATTAATATAAGGTTCTTGGCATTGGTCGGACCCCCTAATTCCCTGAGGCCCTAAGCAGCTACTTGCCTTGCATATTTGTTAAGTCCACCCCTGCTTGAAAGTAACTTAACCCAACAATGGCCATTGACATTCAGAGTAGGAACAAAAGTACTATGGAGTCAGTGGCCGTTTTTTTTCCACTATATATACCAGGGGTGGCCAACCCTGTTCCTGGAGAGCCACCATCCTGCACATTTCAGTTGCAACCCATATCAAACACACCTACCTGTAATTATCACGTGGTGTTCAGGTCCTAATTAATTGGTTCAGGTATGTTTGATATGGGTAGCAACTGAAATCTGCAGGAAGGTGGCTCTCCAGGAACACGGTTGGCCACCCCTGATATATACCATTGTTTTCAATGAAATTTAAACAAGTGGAAATCGAGTAAATGATTGCTGAACTTACGTTTTTTTAAGGTGATGTATCTATTTTACCATCTCTGGCTTCAAAATTGCTTTAATTCTTCATGGCACAGATTTGAGTAGGTGCGGAAAATATTCCATGTTTTAGTCCATTTTAATAAAAGAACCTGCAGCTTTCATATCCTTGATGCAAATCTCCCATTCCAGTGCTGTATTGAACTGAGATCTGGTGACTGTGGAGCCATTTAAGTGACCATGTTCAAGAAACCGGGCGAAGTAGGCAGTGCTGTCGCCTCACAGCAAGAAGGTCGCTGGGTCACTGGTTCGATCCTCAGCTCAGTTGACGTTTCTGTGTGGAGTTTGCATGTTCTCCCTGCATTTGTGTGGTTTTCCTCTGGGTGCTCCTGTTTCCCCCACAGTCCAAAGACATGCGGTACAGGTGAATTGGGTAGGCTAAATTGTCCTAAGTGCATGAGTGTTTATGTGTGTGGATGTTTCCCAGAGATGGGTTGCGTCTGGAAGGGCATCCGCTGTGTAAAAACGTGCTGGATAAGTTGTCGGTTCATTCCGCTGTGGCGACCCCGGATTAATAAAGGGACTAAGCCGACAAGAAAACGAATGAATGAATGTTCAAGAAACCACTTTGTGTTTTGTAACCTGTATACATACATCTAAGTTTAGTAAGGGGTGACGCAGTGGCGCGGTAGGTAGTGCTGTTGCCTCACAGCAACAAGGTCGCTGGTTCGAGCCTTGACTGGGTCAGTTGCTGTTTCTGTGTGGAGTTTGCAGGTTTTTCCATTGCACTGATTTCCATTGTAGTTGTTTTTATAACTATGATGTCAATTGCAATTGGTTTCCAACATTTTTCAAAATATTTTCTTTTGGGTTCAACAGAAAAATAAAATCATATAGGTCTGGAAATACTTAAGAGTGAGTAAATTAAGTTTGGGTGAACTATTAGCCTTTAATGCATTAAGATACATCTTGCTGATTATTAGTTATTTACATTAAAAAAAATCACACCTAATAAAGTGGCCAATGAGTAAATACATATATGTTTCAGAGTCAAGAAGATATCACTCACTATACTTTTAATCTCTTGTGCACTCAGTTTGTCGTGTCATTGACAAGGACAACGATGGCTACTTAAGCGTTAAAGAGTGGGTTGAGGCTCTGTCTGTCTTTCTAAGAGGCACACTGGATGAAAAAATGAAATGTGAGCTCTTTACATTATAATCTCATACATGTTCCATACATTGTGCTATTTGATATATAATATACAATAGACTGTTTTGAGGTGTATGACCTGAACGGGGATGGATACATCTCACGTGAGGAGATGTTTCAGATGCTGAAAGACAGCCTCATCAGGCAGCCCACCGAAGAGGATCCTGATGAGGGGATTAAGGATATTGTGGAGATTGCCTTGAAAAAAATGGTACGTGTCAGAACATTTATCTGAAATATTATGGGGTTTTATTTTCTTCATCTGTTAAGATGCTTTGGCACAATCTGTTGTAAAACGCACTATAGAAATAAACATAAATTGAATTAAATATGGAATATTTCTCCATTGTTAAAGGGACACTTCACCCCATAATGAAATTTCTGTCAAAATTTACTTTTCCAAACCTGTTTGAGATCATTTTTTCTATGAAATACAAAAGGTATTTGGTCCCCATTGAGTACAATAGTATTTTTCCCAATAGAAATTAGGAGGATTTAAGAGTTTTTTGGTTGTTATTGTTGAGTGAACTGCACTTTTATTGCATTGCCAATATTTTTCCTGTATCAGGATTATGACCATGATGGAAGAGTTTCTTATGCTGATTTTGAGAAGACGGTCATGGATGAAAACCTTTTACTAGAAGCTTTTGGAAACTGCCTTCCTGATGCAAAGGTAAACAAGCAACATTGTGTGTGCATGTATTGTTTTTAAAGGACATGCTCTTTAATAATCTGTGCATTAATCCGGCAGAGTGTACTAGCATTTGAGCAACAGGCATTCCAGAAACACGAACACTGCAAAGAATAACCGGATTTTGAGGGAAAACAACAAATTGTCAAACAATATTTGATGCTGAAACTCAATAAATAACCAAAACACTGTTCATTGCAAGACATTTATTGTCTTCTTAAATTCTTCTGCGTGGTTTTGGTGTAGTGTGCTTTGCTAGAACAGGTTTAGCCTCTGGAACAGATGCTGCCTGTAAAAAGAAAATATGAAATTATTGCATCAATATATTATGAAATATAGCACCTAATGTACATAATAAACATGATAGTTCATCCCAAACTGAGCATTCAGATATTATACACCCACTCTGGTGTTGTTCTAATGACTTACACACGTCTTTCTAATTTGTACAAAAAAAAGGTTACAATTTTTATTATAAAAATATATATATTTTTAACATATCATCAGAATTCTTTGAATCTATGCTATGTGCCACATGGGATGAATTAATTCTATGACACTTTTTCATTCTGTGTTATATAAACCAATATAAGCAGGACAGTTTTGAAAATGTCTCCTTTTGTTGTCCAAAACACATCGACGGGCATTATAAGGGTTAGTTCACCCAAAACTTCTGTCATAATTCACTCACCCTTGACTTATTCCAAACTAGTTTGAGTTTGTTTTGTAGAACACAAATTTTGAAGAATGTTGGAAGCCTGCAACCATTGACTTCCATATTTATTTTTCCGACTGTGAATGTCAAAGGTCGCACATTTTCAACTTTCCTTAAAATGTCTGCTTTTATGTTCAACAGAACTTGTTTAGAACAAGTAGGTAATAATTACAACAATTTTCATTTTTTGGTGTACTTTCTCTTTAAAACACCACCAGGTGAGGGAAAACAGGAAAGTATTCATGTCGCTTTTCTTTTTCCACATTTTTTTAAGTTACAGCCTTATTCCAAAATTGATTCAATTAAGTTATTTCCTTAAAATTCTACACACAATACCCCATAATGACAATGTGATTTTTTTTAATTGTTGCAAATTTATTAAAAATAAAAAACCTGAAAATAAAATCACATGTACAGAAGTATTCACAGCCTTTGCTCAATACTTTGTTGATGCACCTTTGGCAGCAATTACAGCCTCAAGTCTTTTTGAAGATGATGCCACAAGCTTGGCACACCTGTCTTTTGGAATTTTTGCCCATTCCTTGTCGCAGTACCTCTCAAGCTCAAACAGGTTGGATGGGAAGCAACAGTGTACAGCTATTTTCAGATCTCTCCAGAAATGTTCAATAGGATTTAGGTCTGGGCTCTGGCTGAGCCACTCAAGGACATTTACCGAGTTATTGTGAAGCCACTCCATTGATATTTTGGCATTGTGTTTTAGGCCATTGTCCTGCTGGAAAATGAACTGTCGCCCCAGTCTGAGGTCAAGAGCTCTCTGAAGCAGGTTTTCATTCAGGATGTCTCTGTACATTGCTGCATTCTTCTTTCCCTCTATCATGACAAGTCTGCCATTGTCTGACAAAACATTGGCACTGCATGATGCAGCTGCCACCATGCTTCACTGTAGGTATGGTATTAACCTGGTGATGAGCGGTGCCTGGTTTTCTCCAAATGTAACACCTGGCATTCACTCTAAAGAATTGTATTCTCATCATAGGTCTTCTTCCCCGATCACTCAGCTTAGATGGCTGGTCAGCTCTAGGAAGAGTCTTGGTGGTTTCAAACATCTTCCATTTACGGATGATGGAGGCCACTGTGCTCATTGGAACTTTCAGAGGAGCAGAAATATTTCTGTAACCTTCCCCAGCCCTGTGCCTCAAGACAATCCTGTCTTAGAGGTCTACAGACAATTTCTTTGTCTTCATGCTTGGTTTGTGCTTTGACATGCACTGTCAACCCTGGGACCTTATATAGACAGGTGTTTGCCTTTTCAAATCATGTCCAATCACCTGAATTTACCACAGGTCAACTCCAATTAAGCTGCTGAAAAATATTAAGAATGATCAGTGGAAACAGAATGTACCTGAGCTCAATTTAGAGCGTCACAGCAAAGGCTGTGAATACTGATGAACATCTGATTTTTCAGGTTTTTTATTTTTAATAAATTTGCAACAATTATAAAAAACTCTTTGAAACTATTTTGAAAAAAAACTTTTTTTTTCACATTGTCATGATGGGGTATTGTGTGTAGAACTTTGAGGAAATAAATTAATTTCATAAATTTTGGAATAAGGCTGTAACATAAAGAAATGTGGAAAAAGTAAAGCGCTAAGAATACTTTCCTGATGCACTGTAATAGGTGAATCTTAAAATTGGGTTAACAATCCCAATATTGTTGAAAGTAATAAGAAAACTAACCTTGGTCATGGTGTTACGGATCAAATTGGCGGTAACATTTAACGAAGAATCTTCCATGTCCAACTTGGGCAGCTCTGGTAATTTTGGACCAATCAGAACCCCCGTTTTATCTGCTTCTTTCAAAAAGAAGGTTTGTTCATCTAGTTTCCTTTTTCTGCTCTCTAAATGTGTAGTCCTTGGCATAAATCTAATAGACGGAGTGGAAATCTTCTGTTTTTGCCTCAAATCTCCCTCTTTAACACCTGAAGATGAGGAAGACTCACTCTGCGTTGAGGTTTTTTGTACAGGAGGGATGAAATTATGCAGAGAGCCCATTTTATCCTCTGTCGTTTCATTGGTCCACTGTAATTGTGATGGCTGGGTAAAATGATTTTGAAGTCTATAAGAAATATCTGCTGTTGGAGGCAAAGGCAACAGAGGAAATCCCATATAGTCAGAATTTACGTTCTCCCTTCTGGCTTCTTCAGGGTTTTTCTGCATTTTAGGAGCTTCAGCTGTTCGTGTGTCTGTGCTTGATGATGACTCTGTGTTTACTTCCGCTTGCTGACTGTGTAGTTGTGCTGAAAACAAAATAAGCATATGATAGTTGTTAGACTTTCTACACATGCAATTTATTTAGAGAGAATACCAATGCATTACCATACCTGCATTTCGGCTTGCCCAGTTAACATATCTCCTTCTGTCTTGTAATTTCTGCTTTGTTTCCTCCACGGTTTCATACTCAGGAGCATAGCAGACATGCAGCTGACCCCCGAAGAAGCTCTTTTCATCTGTGTGCCTTTTAGCTGCCCTGTAAAAAAATAAATTAATTAATTAATTTAAAAAAAAAAAAAAATTATATATATATATATATATATATATATATATATATATATATATATATATATATATATATATATATATATATATATAGCATGGCAATATCCACTCACTGGCCATTTTGCTAGGTACACCTGTCCAACTGCTCGTAAACACCAATTTCTATGCAGCCAATTACATGAAAGCAACTCAATTCATTTATGCATGTACATGGTCGAGACAATCTGCTCCAGTTCAAACATGAAAGCATGGATCCATCCTATCTGCTCAATGACATGCTATCATGTCAATATGGACCAAAATTAATGAGGAATATTTCCAGCTCCTTGTTAAATCCATGCCAGAAAGGATAAAAGCAGTTCTGAGGTCAAACCCGGTACTAGTAAGGTGTACCTAATAAAGTGGCCGGTGAGTGGATGTCATTCAGTGTAACAATAGTTTATAAGAAAAACAATTTTTGTCAGGCATATTTTTAAAAATCCCAGTACAGCTATTTTTACTTTGACACTATCCTAAAAATATATAGTTTTATTAAAATATAATTAAAATAACTACGATTACTTAATTCCATATATTTGAAATAATTATTCTTTGATTTTTGCTTTGGTTTAGAGGGGAAAAAATATGTAAAAAAGTATTTATAGAATTATCAGCAATAAATACTCTTTATAATATTCTTAAAATGTTTAATGGCAGTAAAGAGATTTACAGTGTTATTAAAGAGAAAGAGACACTAAAGAACATTAAAGAATCTTGAACAAAAAAAAAAAAAACCCTTAGATGTTTTGGATGTTAAGTTGTGCAACTTTACAACATTGATAATAATTAGAAATTATATACTGCACAACAAATCAGCAAATTAATTATTTCCGAAGAGTCATGTGACAATAACCATGTATAAATGCGAGTACCAAGCATGAAAATTACCCTTCATCCTCAACACAATACATTACACTTTTAAACAAGATAGAAAATGTGACAATGTAATAATACATCCGATTGTTGATGCTTTGTTTTTAGTTAAAAAAATATTAGCTGACTTGGTGAGCATAAGATGCTTCTTTCAAAATCATTTTCAAAATGGAAGACTCCAAACAATTGTATGGTAGTGTGTGTACTGTATATAGTTTTCTATATGTGTTTATTTAATATTTTAATAATGAATCATAATGTTTTAAGTCACATTTTGTGGAACCTACAAAGACAGTTCACTCCAAAATAAAAATAGACATCATTTACTCACCCGTTACATGTCACAAACATCGTCTGAGCTGAACACAAACGATATTTTAAAGAAAGCTTGAAGCCGGTAACCATTGACTTCAATACTATTTATTTGTCCTACTATGCAAGTTGATGGTTACTGGATTCCAGATTTCAAAATATCTTCCTTTGTGTTTCAAACCACTTGAGGGTGAATAAATTGTTATTGTTACAGTATTTGAGTCAACTATCCCTTTAACTAAAAGTGAATGCGACTCTGCAGTGCACCAACATGGTACATTGAGGTAAGGATGGTTTTAGATTCACACATTCTTTCAATGACAACTTGTGACATGCTCCCTATATTGTTTACCATGGTACTTTTAATATTGGGTTTGAAATCACATGCAAGTATGACTTCAAATCAGCATTACCACTATTTATTTGACTGTGAACAATGTTGAACTTTGATAGTCACTAGCTGCTAATTTGATTCACTATTAAGAATATGCAAAGAATACTTTTCTGAAATTATATCATCAACAAGAAAAATATGGCACAATATATAATATATGGCACAGACTCGCATGGGACATGATTTAATCAGCCTTTTCTTACCGTGCACTCGTCAACTTCTGGAACTGAATTAAGTAAACCTCAGTGAACTCTTCTGCTGGGTATTCATCCAGTGGCCTGTACTCCTCGATCACTCCATACAGAGCAAACAGCTGCACCAGCTCAGCCATCACTCCAATAGCGGGCACTCCTTGAACTAGTAAATACCGAGACTCCAGGTTGATGGTGTACACCTAAAATTAGCGATTCAGCCATTATTTTTATAAGCAGAGATTCAGTTCTTGTGAGAGAGACCTTAAAGACAACATGACTGCTTACATTGACGCTGCACAATTCGATGAGATAAAGGCATTTATAAAATAAACCGACCTTAACAGCTTTGAGGCGTCTTCCTTCTCTGTATTTTGGTCGCGTTTGGGCAACATTTTGCTGCTCGTGATGTTTATACACTTTTTGTGTGTCCCACACAGAGGAACTAGCAACTGACCCGTCCATCACTGTGGAAATCAGCGACGAAAAAAAACAGGCTTTCAAAATAAAAGTTCCAATTAGAAAAAATAAATAAAAGCCCGCTTTCCCAAAAGGATGCTAATAAAAATAATATTAAGAAGAATAATGATGATGGTGATAAAAAAATATTATAATGATAATGACGATGATAATTATAATAATAATTCATTTACACATCCAAATTATGATAAACACTTCTAACAAAATAAAATAAATATCAAAAAGATTTGGACAAAAGTCAAAATTGTAAGATGCTAACTCGCAGAAAATGTCGCAACTATTATAAATGCAGACGAATTAATTATAAACTATATTATAAATTTATTTTAAGTTTTTAACGTTTAAAACAAGCTTCTTTTTTTACCCATTTAAAGGGTTAGTTCACTCAAAACCGAAAATTCTGTCATTATTTACTAGGTTGTTGACTTGTTCCAAACCATTTTGATTTACTTTCTTCTTAACACAAATTAGGATTTTTAAAAATACATATAATACAAAACTTCCATATAATTATTTTCAGCATTCTTCAAAACATCTCTTGTGTTCAGCAGAATAAAGAAACTCAGAAAAGCTTGGAACCACCTGAACCTCTGAGTAAATAGTGAGCCCATTTGATTTTTTGGGGTGAACTCAATATATTACTATAAATTACTAGTAGGCCTATTTAATGTGGGAGATCATTATAAAAATTATTAGAAAATTAAGCAAATATATACTATTCAGTTGCTGGAGTAAAAGATTAACAGTGTTTTACATTTATTAAATGTAAAAAGATTTGTACATTACATTGATATAATGATGTAGGCTATTAGCCTATCCTGTACATTAGCTATATTTCATTCATTATGCATCCATTAAATAAATTAAACCTGTCCAAATTAGATCGTTTAAAATGTTTGAGCAAACGAGAATCTGCTATGTTGACTTTGTCAGATAAATAATGACTGATCATCTATGATGACTGATGGAAAACTGTTCAGTGTATTATATTGAATGGTGATTATTCCCCATTCGCCCGTCTTGATCGCTATATTTGTGAAATGGTATGCCTATGCATTATTGTTTACAGTGTTTGCCTATACAATACATATTAACAATAACCTTATGTGTAAAATATATTGATGATGTCCGAGAAGAGGTTAATAACATTAACACCCGTCTAACTTAGATCGTGTGTGCCTGAAACGTGTGTATATCTGCAGCTGGATAAGTTTTAACCCCAAAACACACACATATTAAATAAATGAATAACGTATACATACATTTTGCGGGGCTACTCATATTTCATTTAATAAATATTAATACTAACACACGGACATGTTTGCACAGTATTGCTACAAGATCATTACTGTAGTTGTAATTAAAACCCGGCTAATGACCAATCAGCAGCAAGGACTGGACATATCCGTTTTATAAAATGGTTTTATCATAGGCTGCTATTTCATAAGGTATGACAACAGATTCTTGACAGAAAGGAGCACGAGGTTCCTCTTTTCCCCATCATTCTGTGATACAGGCTTTGAGCAGCATCCCTCCAGAAGCATGTCTGAGGACGTGGTTTATTCAGAGGTCGTGTTTGTGAAGAAGAAACAGGCGGACAAAGATGATGAAGATGATCCAGATCAGTGTGGTGAGCTTTCAGGAAAAAAAACTGTGTATTCTTACAAAACCTGTGTGTGTGTGTGTGTGTGTGTGTGTGTGTGTGTGTGTGTGTGTGTGTGTGTGTGTGTGTGTGTGTGTGTGTGTGTGTGGCAATTAAATGTTTATGTTGCAATAAAGCGACTGAGAGCTTAAAACACCATAGAAATCCTCGATGAATTTGTAAAGCTTTAAAATGACGATGAAGGAACTCGTATCGTTTTTAATGGTAACATAATGTACTTACTAACACACTGTATTGTTTTTACACAGCCATAATGTAAAAATAGAAAATGAAAAAACATTTAATTAAGATAACACTATCTATGCATTGGGATAAATTACATAACCCAGTGCACTGGGTTAAAATAACCCATAGTTGGGTTATACGTTGGGGCATTTTTAACCCAATTATTTTAACACAGTATGATTCACATTAGATGCTAAATTGGGTAATTCGAAAGTAAAATGTGATTTAAAAATGTCTTTAATAGGGCGGCACGGTGGCTAGCACTGTCGCCTCACAGCTGATTTGAGCCTCGGCTGGGTCAGTTGACTTTTCTGTGTGGAGTTTGCATTTTCTCCCCGTGTTCGCGTGGGTTTTCTCCGGGTGCTCCGGTTTCGCGCGCAGATTTTTAGCCCATCATTAAGTCTATGTTTTTGCTTGTGTAAATTTATATTTATTCTGTTTTTAAATTAATTGCACTAATATTTTGTGATATAATAATAGTAATATTAAAATGTTCACATGATTTATTTACAATACAGTTTGTAAAGTAACATGTTCAGTCTTCGAGATATTATATGAGAGACTTGCTTTGTTTACCAGATAAGTGGATTTCATTTGATTTACATTGTAAACATTAAATAAAAGTTAAAAATGTATAATTTTTTATTTCATATTTTAAGTTTTTTGTTACAATACTGACAAAATATTTCCGCATAAATCAGCAGATTTGTTTTTAAATTCTCTGCAAAAAATGTGCGCAGATTCTGTCTGACCCTGGCTATAGGTGAATTAGATTAACTAAATTAGCCATTGTGTATGTGTGTGTGTTATTGAGAGTGTGTATGGGTGTTTCCCAGTACTGGGCTGCAGCTGGAAGGGAATCCGCGGTGTAAAACATATGCTGGAGTATTTGGCGGTTCATTTGGCTGTAAATAAAGGACTAAGCTGAAGGAAAATTTACGAATGGCTTTAATAAATATATTTTTTATGTAATAGCCTTTCATCAAAGATTAAATATAAATACCCCTACTAAAACATTTTCAGGGTTTTTAATACACGTTTTTATATATATTTCAAATTAAATCATTATTAAATCAAAAAGTTTATTTAAAGCCTGCGTGAATGTAGATTTTTCATTCATAATTATATGCATACTACAAAAAAAAAAAAAAAAAAAAAACTTTCACAGGCCTAAAATAGTTCTTGTGGCCTTTAGACATATTCAAAAGACGTGTGAGAATTTCACAGTGGTGTGTCTGCATTTGCATGAACGTGATGTGATGAAGGATGAGGTTTCAATAGATTACAGAAAGGGAAGTTGCATCCAAAAAAAAAAGGTACATTTATTTGATATTCAAAATACAGAAGGATCTCTGTGGATGTTTAGCAATAAGGTGGAATATACAGTATATATATATATATATTTAAACATATTTCCCAAATGATGTTCAACAGAGCAAGGGAGTTTTCACAGTATTTCTGATAATGTTTTTTTTTCATCTGGAGAAAGTCTTATTTGTTTTGTTTTAATCACCATTTTAAGGACAAAACTATTAGCCCCTTTAAGCTACATTTTTTTGATAGTCTACAAAACAATCCTGTTATATAATAACTTGCCTAATCACGCTAACCTGCCTAGGTAACCTAATTAACCTAGTTAAACCTTTAAATGTCACTTTAAGCTGTATAGAAGTGTCTTGATAATATGAGTTATTAAAACTATTATGATAAGAAATGTGTTGAAGAAATCTTCTCTCCGTTAAACAGAAATTGGAAAAAAAAAATTAAACGGCTGCAAATAATTCAGGGGAGCTAATAATTCTGACTTCACCTATATATATATATATAATTCTTCATTTCTGGAAAACCCGTAATGACCAGTTGTAAAACAAATAAAACAATAAATTAATCCAAATGAAAGTTGACAAATTGTGGAAGTCAGGGCAGGATGTCTTATGAAATCATGGTAACTTCAGGACAATGCAAGTGTAATGACAACATGCCACATTTGCTCATTTACTAACTATATACACGCATAGAAAGCAGATTGAGCATACTTTAATCATGGGAATATAAAATATTACCATGTGGGTGAAATAATGTTCCATCATAATAATCTAGCATAACAGACACACCTGACTTAAGTCTTGTCGCTGATTGCAGATGTAACAGCAACAAATAATAACTGGACTTCCAGTTGAATAAAAGGTAGATTTTTCTGATGAATCATCTGTTGAACTGCATCCCAATCATCACAAATACTGCAGGAGACCTATTGGAACCCACATGGACCCAAGATTCTCATAGAAATCAGTCAAGTTCGGTGAAGGAAAAATCATGGTTTGGGGTTACATTCAGTATGGGGGCGTGCGAGAAATCTGCAGAGTGGAAGTCAACATAAACAGCCTGAGGTATCAAGACATTTGTGCTGCTCATTACATTACAAACCACAGGAGAGGGCAGATTCTTCAGCAGGATAGCGCTCCTTCTTATACTGCAGCCTCCATATCAAAGTTCCTGAAAGCAAAGAAGGTCACGGTGCTTCAGGACTGGCCGGCCCAGTCACCAGACATGAACATTATTGAGCATGTCTGGGGTAAGAAGGAGGAGGCATTGAAGATGAATCCAAAAAATCTTAATGAACTCTGGGAGTCCTGCAAGAACACTTTCTTTGCTATTCCAGATGACTTTATTAATAAGTGATTTGAGTCATTGCAGAGATGTGTAGATGCAGTCCTCCAAGCTCATGGGAGTCATACACAATAATAATTCTGTTTTCCACTGCAGCATGACTTTTTATTTTATACTGGACATTATTTCTGTTCAATGACAAAACTTTAGTCTAAGCAAAGTCAGACCTTACTGTCCTAATTAAATAATAAAAAATCAAGGCATGATCATATTTTATTTGGGTAAAATAAGCAAAATCTAGAGGCATTTGCCTTTCATATAAGCCACTTCTAATATCAAATGATCAACTAGAAGTCAAGTTATTACTTGTTCCTTAAAACAGGTAGTATAGGTATGTAGTCTCAAAGGTAGTTTGAGCTTATTTTAATTAATTTGAACAAGCAGCAGAAATTAAGTTTTTAAAGCAGGACAAATTTTAAAAAATGACAAAAAATAAATAAAAAATCCAAAGCTGTATTATACTTGTTTTGAGGTATATGCATCAAAAATGATCATATGATTGAATGAAAGATTGTCTTGTATCAATGCTTGTAGATTTGCAGAAGAGGCGCTCATGTTGTGATGGTGTTCGGCTGGTACTGACGGCTCTGTGTGTGATCTTCACCACTGGACTGATCGCGCTCAGCTTCTTGTGTACCAATACAGTTTTATTTATTTTTCAGATTTATTGATTTTATAACTGGCACAAAATAATACTTGATCCGACTGAATATTTCTCTTCCATCAAACAGGCTATATGCAGGCTACGTCAAACCATAACTTTCAGAAAAAGCTTCAAGATCTTCAGGAGGTCCACAATGCACTGCAGGAGAACTTCACAGGTAAACACTCTTAAGTTAAATATTTAAAAAATAAAATAAAATTCACTTTCATTTCAAACTAAAAGCGAGCTATTTTCTGTAAAAGTGCAAATATTTGACCAAAAACCAGAAGTCTTGTACACTCCAGTAGGTTTGCTATTCTGGTTATAATGTGATGATTATGATGATAATAACAAACCATTTTTGAATTAATAATGGAAGTAAATGACAGCAGGATTCAAAACTAATTTAGATGTACATAAAATAGATTAAATTATTCACTCATTATTACATTCATAGGCTAATTAGAAAAATTAAGTCATCATCATCATTATTAATCATTTAATGAATTTGGGCCCTTTCAGGAATGCACAAAGTTCTTCTTGCAAGGCGCTGCAGTCGTGTTAATAAGGATCTTGTTTCTCCCAGAACGATAGCAGATTTTCCTCCGATGACTCCTCAAACTGAAACTTTGCACAGTACTCTTGCACTTCATCCATTATTTTGGGCATCTCATTCCAAAGTCCACTCTCTGATTTTTGGCTGGTCAACTCCTATGTCCTGCTACAGACCTTTTTCTTGGAACGCAAAATTACCCATGATGCTTTGCGTGTATGCTCAAGGAGAATGCAAAGAACTTCCTGTCGGCAGCTGATGCGTGTAAACAGTCACATTTGGACAGTTTTGAAACGATAGTTTTAATCTCTTTTACCTGCTTTTGTCCTCTTTGAACTAATACTGTTGTCCATCAGCAGCATCTCCTGGACTGATCATTTAAAGAAATGCGATCTAATAGGATGGAAAACAGTTGCTGTGAGGCGTTTTCCCCTCGTTGTCAGACAGCATCTTCTGCAGTTTAAATGAAGCCTCGTCATCGCTAAAGTCAACATTTCCTCTTTATTTCAAATATATAACCAGCCCAAGCAAATGTAATTCACCAAAATGTTGGACACACACACACGTAGCCTGTACTGTGCCACTGACACACTGATTTAATAACTGTGACAAGGTGAAAATATAGACTAATGTCATTTCGAAATGACAGAAAAACACAAACCGTGGTGAATACAACACACGAAATAAAACCCAAACGGCTCGCGATTAGAATGAACAGCAAATCAGCAGCAGAGTATCAATAACAGACTTTTATTGCTCATTTTTGTAAATTGCACGACTTTCATACCTGTTAAGTTTCATGCCAGTACTCTGGTTTGCTCTCTCTCTCTCTGTGTGTGTGTGTGTGTGTGTACACGTGTCTGCAGTCAGAAATACACGCGAACTAAGAGAACGTTTTTCTCGTATTTCTGACCCGCTTGAACCACATGTAACATTATAACGGCTTTAACAGACACATTTCTGAGTTGTGTGTCACAAAAACACTCTGTTATACATTAAAACGTTATCTGAAACCCATTTTCGGAGCGTAAATTACCAGTTGTACACGCTGTAAACGGAAGTTTTTAGCATTCTACCGGAAGACGCTGGTCGATATGGCGCCCTCCATGCAGCAGCCATGAAAAAGGTCTACATCAACCCGCAATTAATAATAATGTATTTTTTATTACACGCAGATTATCCGCTGCACCCGCGTATATAATCCCCATCTGCGCATCACTAATGTGTTTACATGGATGAATATGGCCACGGTGTAAATGCACAGTACAGTTACGATCTTTATGCCACATTATATCGTTATGATAACATAATATCGTTGCCTTCAGTGATTTCCTGAACATACAAACCAAAAAAATAGCACAACTGGAATAACTACAGCAGTCGCGATCATCTGCTCTCATATGAAGCAAGAGATCGTGAAGACTTTTGATGACAAGTGAAGGTGCTGTCCCAATTCTTAGGGTAAATTTTTTACGTCCTTCCACTTCAAACTCAAGGGGAAAGGGAATGGGTACAAAAATAAAATTGGGATTGGGCTTTAGACTTCTGACCTCCATTACCTTTCATAATGACGTGGTTACAACCTTGCAAGAAAACGTATGTATTATTTTATCATGAATCTCTTTCATCTGTTTTAAATAGCATTTTCAGCAGTGCTCGAACACATATATAACAGGGAACAAAATCTGTCCCGGGCTCTGAATAACAGTGGTAAGTGATCATCACAAAATTCACCGACATAAAACAGTCAAGAAACTAATATCCAATCTCAAACCCTATAAACCTGCAGCTCAATGTCCAGAGGACTGGCAATATCATGCAGGAAAATGTTACTACTTCTCTTCAAACACAAACACACTGGATTGGTTCAAAAGTCGAGATGCCTGTATTTCAGACGGCGGACATCTGGTGATCATAAACAACAGAGATGAACAGGTTTGTGTCTATATTCAGATAAACAAGTTGTTAACCATTTCCCCAACAGGAGATATCTCGTCAATTAAGACAATTACTTTTTTTTTTTTTTAGACAATTTCACATTGCAATGAAGCAGTTTTGTCAATTTTTATATTTTTGATGAAACCTGTCTGCATTCAAGTGTAATGTAAAGTGTGTTTATGTAGCACATTGATCGGGTATGGCCATACACCCAAAACACTTCACAATCATGAGGAGGGGGGGTCTCTCCACACCCCCACCAGGTCCAGCATGCAGCATCCACCACTTGGATGATGCGACTGCAGCCACAGGATGCCAGTGCGCTCACTACACACTAGCTATTGGGGGAGTGGATAGACAGTGATAGAGCCAATTTGGTAGATGGGGATGATTGGGAGGTCATAATGGGTAAGGGCCGATGGAGGAAATTAGGCAAGGACACCAGGGTTACACCCCTAACTCTTTACGAGAAGTGTCATGAGGTTTTTAATGACCACAGAGAGTCAGGACCTCGGTTTAACGTCTCATCCGAAAGACGGCGCTCACTGACAGTAAAGTGTCCCCTTCACTATATTGGGGCATTAGGACTCACACGGACCGCAGGATTTGCACCACCTGCTGACCTCACTAACACCACTTCCAACAGCAACCTAGTTTTCTTATGTGGTCTCCCATCCAAGTACTGACCAGGCTCAACCGGTCTTGGGCTGCAGGGTAATATGTCAAGTCTAGGGGTATGCTTCTCACTACGGTGCGAGAGGTCCCGGACAAGCCCCCTCCTGTGCCAGACCCCTCACCAGCCCTTATTTTTCCTCTTGTCCCTCTTGTTTCTATCATTGCGTTGTGTTAGAAAGAAAATCTCTGTCCGACTGTTTATTTTTGTTGTTGCCCGTTTCTCAGTGCACGTTATCCGTCCGTCATTCATAGCCTATCATTTCATTTCTCATTTACGTTGCTTACAAGGCTTGAACGAAGCAGACAGGTAAGCAGGTAAGGTGACGTACATCTTGCTACACGTAGGACTACTCTTGTGTTTAGTACATCAGGTTAGGGGCGAGCACCACCCCTTGAAATTTTTGGATAGATAGTTAGGACCCGGAAGACTCTTCGTATGTTTTTGGTTTCATATATTCCGTTAGCTAGATGATTCTGGGGAGTTAGATATTGTTTGGGTTTTGTTCTTTTCCTTTCTTTAGCGCCACCCACATCCCTTCTGCCAGCTCTCTTGTTTTTTTTCCTCGTCTTTGTATTTGTCTCAGTGTTGTAGATATTGTAAATATTTACATTATATTTTTGATTTACTATTACTCTTTTCTTTATTTTTGATTTGTTGTTTTTGTTCACTTTGGTAATTGTAAATAGTTACAATTTTTGGTATCTACTTTGGTTGTCTTTTACACTTTATTCACTGTTTGTATAAATTTATTTTAATTGCACATAAATGTCAAACCCCATTTCCCCTAGGCCTAGATCAACATCAGGGGTTTGTAACAGTAATAAAACCGTAAATTTTTGCCTAAAATCAGACATGTTTATTTTGATATAGAATAGGGTCATATTCCTAGCAGAAAATATTCTGAGGGCTGTCAAATTTTAAAGAAAAAATAATCAAAAATGCTGGCGGAGAAAGAGTTAATAAATACAATAGAATGTGGTGTAAATCTTAAGCCTACCCTTTATCCTTAAAGGAGTTCCTGATGAGCAAAACAAACAAATATAAAGGCTCGTTCTGGATTGGGCTGACAGACAAATCTACTGAGGGTCAATGGCTGTGGGTGGACAACACGAAGCTGAGTACAGATATACGGTATTTAAAATAGTTTACACTCAAATGCTATAATAATTTTAAAAAATCCAAACACACTATACTGATGATGTTGAAATGATGGTCACAATGAAACATTCACTTTCAGTTACTGGAATGGACAGGAACCAGATAACTGGAAAGGATATCGCAATGAGTACACTGAAGGAGAAGACTGTGCTCGCATTGAACAAAACAACTGGAACATTAACAGCTGGTTTGATGCATTCTGCACTATTGCATTCAGAAGAATATGTGAAACCAGATCCTCCAGATAAGCATAGTGGGCAAGGAAAGAGATGTGTCAAATATAAATGTATGCTCATGTCAAGGGAACTCCACCACCGCTGCTTTAGAACCTCATGATGCTTTAGTTTTGACTTTCTTTCGCCAATGTTTTGTGCTGCTTGCAAGTTGTGAAGCAATAAAGTCACTCATTTGAATCTCTATATTGACATGATTGCATTCATGATTGCAAGTTCTTGTTATCAATTTTGTCCAAATTTCACTAATGTTGTCTCAAGGTTTTCTCCTGACTAGGCCATATTTAAACCATTTTGATTCACTAAAATAGACTGCTGAAAGCAAACCGCTTGTATTTATTCTCATGTCACTGATGTTAAAAGTGATGATCTTTCAGAACATTTTTCTCAAAGATAAAAACTTTGCTATTGAAAGCACAACAAGAGCGGCACGGTGGCTCAATGGTAAACACTGCAAGAAGGTCGCTGGTTTGAGTACCAGCTGGGCCAGTTGGCATTTTTTTGTGGAGTTTGCATGTTTATCCCATGTTCGCATGGGTTTTCTCCGGGTGCTCCGGTTTCCCCCACAGTCCAAAGACATGCACTATAGGTTAATTAAATAACTAAATTGGCTGTAGTGTATGCGTGTGTATGAGTGTATGGGTTTATCCATAAAATCTAACAAATAATGGAAAACAATCAGGATTTTTACAACCGATTGAGTCATTAAATGTGATTATTGGCCGATAAAGATCTCAGACCGATCAATAGGAGCATCCCTAAACAATAATATCCATAATTTTATGAAAGTAAAGAGTGAAGTCTTGAATTAGATTTGGAATACTGTCCTGGGAGAGAACCCTGAACTCGGAGATAATTGAGCCCAAGGCTCTCACCTGGTCAATAAGCATATAAAGGGGGTCCGAGATCAAGTAGGTCTCCAGAGATTCCCTTACAAAAGGGAAGAAAAGAAGGAGATGGGGTGGACGGGGGGATTCTTCCAAAACAAAGATGAGGCAGTAGGGTAAAAACTGTCTTTAATGTACGTTTGTATCAATCTTGCGGATTACAGATGAGAATCCAGCTCTGCTCAATCATATCACCTGCTCCTCTCGAAATTAGTTTGTGAAACTTCACTAAGGCGTGAACATGTTATGGTCAGAAGCAGCTTTAAACAACATAATAGATAGCACAGCAAACAAAAAAGGAATAAAGTTTACTTACAAAGCAATTTAGAAACATTGATAATGATAAAAGACGAATTCAATGTGCCTCAATCCAGAAAAAGTTTGGCGCACATGCATGTTTGATGCACATGTTAAAATGCACTCCTACAAATCCATTACTTACTAAAAGAAAATAGGTTTATAAACTACTGTTTAATGCAATAATCAAATTACAAGTTATATTATTAAATGTGTTAAAAATATAATTACATTTTTTAAATTCATTTAATATTTTCAGCCAGGGTTTAGTGAACTTAGAATATTGTCAAAAACACAAGAACTCTCAGTTCTTTTATGTAAAAAGGCCTAAATACATGCAGTAGCTGCTGTATTTATAACCCAGGTGCGCACGTGCATCTTCCTCTGCTTGTAAATGCAAACAAATATTTGCAATTGGTTCATGATTGCGATCGGCCAGATCAGCGAGTACCGATTGAGTCATTAAATGTGATTATTGGCCGATAAAGATCTCCGGCCGATCAATACGAGCATCCCTAAACAACAATATCCATAATTTCGAGAAAATAAAGAGTGAAGTCTTGAATTAGTTTCGTAGTGTTTTATCCATAAAAACAAAAAAGCAATAACATCCATAATTTTGGGAACATTCATTCAATACATACTAATATGGTTTGCGATGAAGAACAGCAATGTCAAAATAGTGTTCTTTTGGAATGATGCTGCCAATGTCTTTAGTGTATCGATAGAATACAAATTGTGGTGACTTACAATAATGAGTTTAATGAGTGATCAGCGTCCACCGCTGGAGGAGTTCAAGCATCCTGGACATCCGGAAGAAACTTTGAAAAAATGAAAGATGTCGGGGAACAAGACATATAGGTATCTAGAGCCAGTAATAGATAACTGAGAATGAACAACAACGGACACAATAACAAACCGCTTGCTTTCCAGAACTACTTCAGAGGACGAGCTCAGGTTTGTGGTCTTAAAACTGATTGTAGTCAGAGTCGCTGTCTGAATCAGTGTCAGCGGGTGTTTGCTCTGTCTCCATATGAAGCTCTCGGACTGTGAGGATGCGGGATAACATGCTGTCCAGAGCCTCGTCGCTCAGAGCGCTGATGGAGAACCATGTAGGGCTGCTGGGAACACAGGAGCGCTCGGGGCTCAGGTAAAACTTGGTTGCGTGATGCCTAATGCCAGGCGAGCTGCAGAAAAAACAAAAATTATACATAAACAAATATGAGAGTTTGATAACAACAATGGTAGGTTAGGTCATAAAAAGTAATTAATTACCAATGACAATAATAAAATAGTTTTAAAATGATTTGACTAACAGCTGAAAATTGTATTTACTCAATTAATGCAATTAGACTCAATACTGCTTAATCCATATATATATATATATATATATATATATATATATATATATATATATATATATATATATATATATATATATATATATATATATATATATATATATATATATATATATATATATATATATATATGTATATATAAAATAAGGTCAAGAATATTGGTGTGATTCTGGAGTCAGATATGAGTTTCAGTAGTCAAAGCAGTAACTAAATTGGCTTAGATTTCAGTGAGGATAAAGAGAAACTTGTTCTTGCTTTTATCGGCTGCAGGGTGGATTACTGTAATAGACTCCTTACTAGCCCCCCCAAAAAGACAGTCAGACAGTTGCGGCTTATCCAGAATGCTGCTGCTACACCCGCTACTGCTGGAATCAGCTTCCAGAAATGATCAGATGTGCTCCAACATTAGGCACATTGAAATCAAGACTGAAAACGCATCTGTTTAGCTGTGCCTTTACTGAATGAGCACTGTGCCAAGTCTGACTGATTGTACTATTATGTCTTTCTTTTCTTTTTCATTCTTTTAAAACCTGTTTTAACATTCTAATCTGTTTTTAATCACTTTGATTTTTCTTATACTTGTCTCTTTTATTCTTTTTTTATGTAAAGCACTCTGAATTATCACCATGTATGAAATGTGCTACATAAATAAACTTGCCGTGCTTTACTGCCAAATAAGGCTTTCATTTTAGTTAGTTTCAGACAAAAAAAAATACTTAAGTATCAACATTAAGTACCAAACATAACACCTCATTAAACATATAAATAAATAAATTAAATATAGTATGTGTGGTTATTTATACATGTATACATAAAAATACACAACACGTTTATATTTTATGCAAACTTTTATCTTGAATATGATTAATCTAGAACATATTTGTAATATAATATAATATAATAGAATAGAATAGTAAAGCAATATAAAATAAAACATGAAAATCATAAATTGTTAATGGCAATTAGTTGTCACTAACAATATTGTTATTATCACCTAGTTTGATATTTCTTGAATGTGTGCGCAAACTTGCTAATAGATGTCATTCATTCATTCTCCTTTCGGCTTAGTCCCTTTTATTAATCCAGGATCCTCACAGCGGACTGAAACGCCAACTTATCCAGCACGTTTCCACACAGTGGGTGCCCTTCCATCCACAATCCATCTCTGGGCAACGTCCACACACACCCATCCACATTCATACACTACAGACAAATTAGCCTACCCAATTCACCTATACTGTATGTCTTTGGACTGTGGGAGAAACTGGAGCACCAGGAGGAAACCCACGCGAATGCAGGGAGAACATGCAAACTCCGACTAAGAACTGTAATGTTCTTTAGTTAAAAAACTTAATTATTCTGAAAAATATGCCCGAATCATTAAATAGAATTACTCTGATTGAATCTATTACATATTACAATTGAATAACTTCTTAATTCATTGTTTCTCAAGCATGTGCAATCATAAAACAATCCTGAAACTTGTTCAAAATCAAAATGTTCAATAATAAAAAAAAATAAATAAATAAGTGCAATCATCCCGATAGACGTAACCTTATGTGCTTGTAAGTATATTGTAAATTACTGTAATTAAATGACTTATACTCTAAAAATATTGTCAGCGATTGCTGTTAATTCAAGTGGCTCAATTACACTAATAACCATAACCAAAAATAGTTTTAATAAAGAAACTTCCGACATACCATTTTGAGAGATAAAACTCGTAAAGCCTGACGGGACAATGGAGGGGATTGTCTGAATTCTGCCCTATCTTAAGCACCCTTTGTCGTTCATCGTCCTTCTTTCTTTTCTTTGCAGGGACACCATCTGTTATTAAGAAAAATGATTAGTTGTTACATAATTAACAACAGCTTATTAAAGTATGCCTGTCTACTGACCGTCGCTTGAGTCCTCTTTTGGTGGGTAGAAACGCAGGAAGGACACTTTAGCGTTGGCCGGCCCCCGAGTGTAACGTTTGACGTGTGCGAAAGAGAGGAGACGGTGCTGCTCCACGGTCCTGTAGTTAAAGTACTTTGTGAAGAAATAGATTAAAGTGTTGAGCAGAACGCCAGGTGAAAAGGCCCCGAGCTGCTTACAGTTCCACAGAAACTCCTCTTCCACACGAGAGTGAATATAACCTGAGAAAATATTAAATAAAGACAATGTTTGCAGAGTAACAGCCAAACAAGCAACTCAATTATGAGGCTCTCTGTTTCATTAACATGCATTTTTAGAGACCTCAGGACAGACTACTGGACCATTTTTAAGAAATACTTCTTAAAGTTCACATGAAATCAAAATGTTTACTTGGGTGAGAAATTAATCTGTGCGAGTTAATCTGCAGAATTCTCTTTTGTATGTTTAATCAGTCTGACCATTTGCTTTCAGGTTTGGAGGTGTGGTGCTTTCCTGTTGATGTTAGTTTGACTGCTTCAGCTACAATATCTTTAACGGGAACCAAGACATGTACTCCTTAATATAATGGCAATGGTGTCTCTTTGAGAAATATGTAAGGAAAAAAAAAAAAAAAGAGCATGACTTAAGTTATAAAAAAAAAATCCACATTTATTCTAATTTATTTTGAACCATGGGCATCTTCATTGTTTTCGTTGACTTCATTTGGGAGCTCCACTTCAGCCGCTTTATCAACTCCCATTTTAAAGCACTAAAAGTAGTCATACAAAATGCTCCTACTATGCCACATATGCCTCTTTTGATTGTATTTTCCCCTCAAATGCATCTTGAACTTCATTACCATTCATTTTTCCTGATATGGAGTGGCATAACATGAAATCCTTCTGGACATTGAGTGGAATTTACATTGAGAAAATAAGTAGCCAATAAAGACGTCAACGCTTCATATCTTAAACGGATAAAATGTGACTTCTTATAACTGGCAATACATGTCTTGATATCAAGTTGTAAACATGCTCCTCTTACCTTTAGTTTGCTATGAGGAAATGTACAAAAAGAAAGCCCCGCCCCTACTTAATATTCATTTGAAAGTACATTAACATACTGAGATAAGTCTCCGCAACTTCCAGTTTATTGCAAATGCTATTATGTCCTTAGTTTTTTTTTTTTTTTTTTTTACATTGACCATTTCGCTCAAAAAAAAATAATTATATTTATTTATTTATATATATATATATATATATATATATATATATATATATATATATATATATATATATATATATATATATATAATTATTTATTATTTTTTACTAAGACGTTTCTCAAGATAAAGCATAAGAAGAATTCTAGTCATTTATTGCAAAGGTTAAAGCTTGTGAGTTTGATAACTCTTGGGGATGTTTGATGCTATTGGCTATTTTGAAAGTGACCAGGTTTTGTTTCCATCCAAGAGGTAATTAATCAGGAACACCGATATTTCGATACAAACCAACGGACAGCCACACTTTTTTTCCCTATGTATGAGTGGAAAAGGGTAAAATATTTTTGCTATGTATAATAGGACATTTTAGGAACATTGGATAAAACTTTGGATTTAAAAAGGTCTGCTTTGCTGTCTCTATTTCTAAAAAATATTTGAAATATATATTTTCTTCATCTTTTTGAAAGAAATTTAACTTCGACTTAATGACATTATTTTCTTTTTCAAATATTAAATAAAAAAAAAAAACACTTCTACTTTTAACAATAATAGAAATGAGTGCTTGGCGAAGATTAATCGCATCCAAAACAAACGTTTATTTTAAACTTATAAAGGCATATATTTAATATATCTAATATGTATACGTGATAGAATAGTTTGTATAGTTTTGTTTATGTTACGTAGATCTAACAAATGTATATAAAAGTTGTATCATTTACATATAGACTTTATATCTAAATATATAAATAAATATTTTATCAAACGTATACCACCATGTGTAATTTACTACACACATAAATATACACAGTGCACGCACGCACATTTTGTTGTCAAAATAAACAGTTTTTTTATGTCAATAATCTTTTCCCAGCACTAAAAATAAAGCTCCATGTCTAATTAGTGCAGTAGATTTCTCTTTTGACAGGTAATGTCATAAAACTGCTTTAATGCTGTAACCTGGTAGCCAATAATTTCTAGTGTTTTTCTCCGGCTATGAAAGTCCATTGTAACAAGTTTTTATCATTCTTCAAACAATCTTCTTTTTGTAATCAACAGAAAAAAGTAAAAAGTTACTCAAATGTTTGAAGCCTTTCCACTTTTCTCTTGAAACATGCCCTTTGACTGCTATTTTTGGTGTAATGGCTTTGTTGGATAACCCCTTAAATAAGAATGCTCTAGCCTTTACGTCACTGATAGGCCGAAGACGGATTTTATGACACTGGATATCCTCTAAACCTCCTCCAATTTGTATATATTGAAAAATTTAAGTTTACATTAAGAGGTTCCACTGAATTTTTTTTAGAAAAACTGCAATCCTCTAAATAATTGTCAGGAATACAACATCTCTTCACTGATTTATAAGATTTAGTTTTTTCTAAGAAAGATCTCTGCCTTTTATTAATGTGTGCATTTGTCATTTATATTTTATGAATATTTATTTAGTTGCTTTGACAATTCTTGTACAGCAGGTGCTAATGTTGGTGTGTGTTTGTGTGTTTTTCTACTCCTTGGGGGTGGGATGGGAGACAGTGTTTTCGAATGTTTGTTTACCCTTAGTTATTGTAAAAAAAAAAAAAAAAAAAAAAAAAAAAAGTGTAAATTATTGATAGTGTTTTGTTTTTTTTAGTACACTCCACGAAAATAAAAACAAATAAAAAAATGTTTGAAGCCACAAAAGGTTAAGCGGTGGCTGAAATGTCATTTTGGTGAGAACTGTCCTTTTATTAGCAGGTATAAACAGGTCACGATCAAAAACTACTCACCATTAGGCAGAATAGTTGGTTTCCACCCCTTGAGTATGTTGCTCATTTCCCAGCAGAATTTAGTGTAGAAGACATCTGAGAAGATGTTCTCCATCCGATTGTTCTCAAACAGGTACTGCAAGCATGAATGACAAGAACGGAATCAAATCAAACCATACAGCACAGACCGACTGTGTTCAGCTTTTGTCTTTTCCTCTGGGTTTACCTGCTGGATGCCCAAGCAGAGGTAATAGATGCTGTCAGGACTGTATTTCTCTCCATTGGGTCGCCGGACTTCAGTGATAAACTTACAGAGACCGTAGCTTAATTCTGCCGTGCAACACTTCAACACGTCCTCCTTTAGTGTCATGCTGCGTGCTGTAAGAGATAAAAAAAAATAGTGTTTTTAATCTGTGCATGTCATTAAAAAAAAAAAAATTAACAGTTTGCCCTAGCAAATCTAAAATTGCACTTCCTGTTTGTTATCAGTTACATTCTTTAGGCTCGTACACAACGGGATGCTTTTCGTTTGTGTTTATCGTTAACGTTTTTCAAGACGTTTTTCCGGATTCAAAGCAGAGCCATTTTCACTGGCATCAAGCAGAAGAGTATGCGAAATTCCTCCTTGACACCAGGTGGCGCTACACAACTTTAAGCTTCTGACATCCGCTTGTAACACTGAAGAAGATGACAAAGTTGACACGCTTGTTATGGATGGTTCAAGCAGCGCCAGCTCTAGCGATAAAGAAATTATTATTGTTTACTAGTGCAATAAGCAGCTCCATGTTCATAATCGCCTCTGGGCATCTTCAATGTGCGATTGCATTGACAGTTTTGCGCTTGAGCGCCTCCAAGTGCTGTTCACTTTAACTTCAGCAGCTACATGCACATGAACAAAAGTCCTAATCTGATTGGTGGAGAAGGTTTTAAAGTGGCGCGTCAAATAAAAAAAAACACATGAACGAGGCTTTTTTTTTTTAATGACGCTTTTACGTCTGCCGTTTTGCGTGTTGGTGTCCACGATCACATTGACGCCCTTTATTTAGTCACGAGGTGTTAAACATTGACGCAATACGCAAATAAAAAGCTTTCCGGTGTGCATGGGCCTTAGGATTAAGTGATTTTGAGGTATTGGACGTGGCTAACATACTAACCAGGACCCTCCAACAGTCAGTTTTGAAAACAAACAGAAATAGTGAAGAGGAGGAGGTGTCTGTTAGGTTGTAATAACTCTCCCCAAACACTCTTCCTGAACGAAAAACCTACTTTACTACATGCAATCAGCTTGCAGCAGAAAAAAAAAAAAAAACAAGCCACGCCCACTGTCTTGTCTGTTCATATTCAATTTTAATAGGAACTGCGTCACAATACGAAAAGAAAAAAAATAGTCGCCGCTTCTGATTCATGTGGACTTTATTGGTTAAAAAAAAATAATAAATTTAATATGAGCTTTATTTATATTTATTTGTTTGTTTATTTATTTATTTTGTTTAAATTATTATAAATTTGGACATATCTTTGTATATCTCCATAAAGCAGATATTTCTCCTAAGTGAGAGAAAAAAAGGTGAAGGTTTTTAGAGATATCTGGCTAAAAAAAAAAAAAAAAAAAAAAAAAAAAACTATAATAAAAAATAGAACAACAATTTTTAGTCTGTCTGTTATTTAAGGACAAAATTATTAGCCCCTTTAAGCTATATTTTTTCCCGATAGTTTACAGAATAACCATCATTATACAATAACTTACCCTAATCTGCCTAGTTAACCAAATTAACCCTTTTAGGCCTTTAAATGTCACTTTAAACTGTACAGAACGTGTCTTGAAAAATATATTGTCAAATATTATTTACTGTCATCATGGCAAAGATAAAACAAATCAGTTATTAGAAATTAGTTATTAAAACTATTATGTTTAGAAATGTGTTGAACAAATCTTCTTCGCGTTAAACAGAAATTAGGGGAAAAAAATAAAAAGGGGCAAATAATTCAGGGGGGCTAATAGTTCTGACTTCAACTGTAATATATAAACGGTTATTAAAAACATTTAGTAAATGTATAAAAAAAGAAAAGAAAGAAATGATATGATAGGGTGAAAAATATTTTTCACCCTCTTTTAATTGATGTGGTTATCTGCAAAAATAAATTTAATTGGATTTATTCATTTTCAGGTTTTTTTTTTACTTATTTTAAAAAAAAAATAATAATATATTTTGACAAATGTCTTTAATCTCTCCATAAACCAGATATTTTTCCTAAGTGAGAGAAAAAAAACATTTTGAAGAGAAGAATTCTGGCTCTGTGCATTGGTAAAAAATAAATAAATTACAAGAAAAATAATAAAAATTATATATATATATATATATATATATATATATATATATATATATATATATATATATATATATATATATATATATATAAACATTATTAAAATATTAACTATATGTATAAGAAAAAAAAAGAAAAAGAATTACATGCTAAATTATAGCTGAATACATAAAGAGTAATAAAATAAACACTTTAAAGCAGGGGTGTCCAAACTCAGTCCTGGAGGGCTGGAGTCCTGCATATTTTAGTTCCAACCCCAATTAAACACCTAAATCAGCTAATCAAGCTCTTTCTAGTTATGCTACAGACTTCCAGGCAGGTGTGTTGAAGGAAGTTGGAGCAAAACTATGCAGGACATGCTATTATTTTTTTCAGGATGTCTTGAAACATTAAAGACGGCATATGTTGATGTCCACTGTGACAAAAATATTTAATCCTTGCATCCCGATGCCCCCAATGACACTTAAACCATCTTTAAACGTATAAGAGCAAAAATCAGGCTGACATCATATAGTCCGTACCATTTAATAACAGGTTCAATGTTCCACAAGTATACAGACTAAATCAACTTTCTTTCAAGTATTGCTTCAGAATCAAATATAGTACATCACAGAAATTATTTGAGAAATTAAATTCTGGATAAAAAGCAAAACAAGACTTACAGCCAAATTTAGGAGCATCCGAGTTGGGTTGGGCGTTTTTCCAGCGTACCCAGTCCCTCCAGGCCTTGACGCCGTACTCGTGTTGCAGTTTGGAGAGGATGTTTGAAGGAACAGACGCACACTTACGACCCTACACGCAAACAACAACAGACTTATCAGCATTTTATGATGACATGAATAATGTCTGGATCAAATCAGATAAACTCTGTCTTTAAAAGTGCGTTTAGACGGCTGTCAGAAATAATGCTGCTTTAGTTATTTTACCCGTTTCTTCTGAGTTGAGACATCAGGTCCTTTCTTGCAAGATCTCCGTTTTCCAGAATCATTTTCCATTTGCTCTCTGAGAAGCGCAATGGTCTCTGAGGTGTGAAAGGGACCACATATACATCAAGTTTAAATGGAGGATCGTAACCAGCTCTGATTGCGTTTGTTAGGGATGCACCGATACCAGTATCGGGTCGATACTTCGTTAAAATACTCGTATCGTATATGAAATGCCGATACCACAATACACTTCATATTCACTCATTTTGTTTGGTATAATGTTTACCTTAATTTTAATATATGTTTAGTTGGTCAGTTATCTACGAAATAAACAAGAACAACCAATAACAGAGGTGAAGTGCTTCAAAACCAGTCCGTTATATGCTTCAGAGCCAAAACACAAACTGGTTTGTTAAATAAAATTATAGTATAAATATAAAGTGAAGTATTAATAATTTCAGAGAAGTCCATGTTAAACTGTTAATGACAAAAACAAATTATCCACTGCGCCTGTTCAATCCCCTATTCGCAACACTGAAAGCATTACCAGATTACCTCGGAAGAACAAACTCGGTTGGAAGGTTGGTGCCGTGACCCGGATAGGAGCGAGGTGAGTGTAACGGAGGCCAGCTAGTGAAGTGCTGTGCAGGTAAACATCACTCCTCTGACCTCTAAAGGTGCTCTAGTGACAAACACCATGGTCTTTAGTCTCTTTGATAAAGCAACAGACTCCCATGTGGAAGGTCACTGGTTCGATCCCAGCTCTAAACGGGTGGTATAGGACCGACGGGGTTACGTTGGTGCCGTCACCTGGATTGGAGTGAGGTTTAGGGAGGTGAGTGTAACGGAGGCCAGCTAGTAAAGTACTGTGCGGGTAACCCTCACTCCTCTGACCTCTAAAGGCACGCTAGCGGCAGGCGCTAGAGGCCATGGTCTGCCGTAAGAGCAATGGACTCCCATGCAGAAGGTTGCCGGTTCAATCCCAGCTCTCAGCGCGTTGGGTGGTGCAGGGCCGGCAGGGTTACACGTCACCAATATGCAATGTCAAGAGTGAGTTCACAATGTAACGTAAACTGCACACACTTGATTATGTAATGTGTAAAGGTGTGGATACGTCAGTGAAAAAATAAACTATCCTTAAAACATCCATGCTTAAACGGGCTATCAATTTACAGGATTATCAACAATGCGTGTATATTTCTGGCTTGGAATAGCCTTCTGTTAAAGATTTGTGTTCATTCCTGCTACTGGCAAACATAAAACCTCCTTTCAAATCAACCAAGAAACCAAGTCTAAGTAGTATCGGAATCGGTACTCTGTATCGGAGAGTACACAAATTAAAACACTAGTACTCATATCAGCTTGAAAAAAGTGATATCGGTTCATCCCTAGTGTTTGTTAACTCTTATTAACTCCAACAGAAATTTTACCAATTGGGAAATCCGCCTCCAAGTCCATCAGTGGCTCCCCTGCTTTGGTGGAGACGAGTGTCATTGTGGCAGATCTGGATGATGGAGCAGGAGCAAAAGTAGGAGTAGAAACAGGAGCAAAAGTAGGAGTAGGAGTAGAAGCAGGAGCAAAAGTAGGAGTAGAAGCAGGAGCAAAAGTAGGAGTAGGAGTAGAAGCAGGAGCAGGAGGAGGTGGTGGTGGTGGTGGTTCAGGTTCTGGGGTTTGATCCAAAATTTGAGCAGGAGACACAGGATCCTCCTCCCAGCTCAGATTACTAGACAGATCTTGCAAATCGAGATCCTCCATAATGTTATCAGTCTGATCTAAGAATCAAAATAGGATTTTTTAGAGACCTAAACAGAAAAAGAGAGCCTAAACACCATAACTATTAATGGTTCCATCATTTACCACAGGAGCTGATGTGTTTCTCCTTCTCTGCATCCTCCGCCACCATCTCCGCCATCATGATGAGGTCGGCCTCCAGAGGATCATCAGGGATCTTCTCTTTGATTTCCTGAATGGTCTGTACAATGTGTTCGGCGCTGTCCAGAGTCGTGGGGAAGAACAAGGGCACTGGAACCTGTGGAGGAAATTACAGCTACATTTACATCATCATAAACTGCAAAAACAACATTCAGCGTCTGCATCTTAAAAGAATACTGTAGTCATAATTCACTTTAACACATATTATTATGGGCACACAATTTAATACGTTACAGGTGTCCAGAAAATGTGTCCACTATTTATACCTCACAGATATACCTCAAATTTATACCTCAAATCTGATTGGTTGATAGCCATGCAATATTCCCATAATTAAAGCACTCATACAGCCTCCTCACCCTTGTGTACTACTCCGCCCACATAGTGACAGCGAATCAATAATCTCACAACAGTTTGACAAATATGGCAGCTGTTGGATATTGTACTTTTGAGGCTATTTTCTGCAGGAATGTGCTAGTTTAGATTGCAACTATGCAGTTTATTTATAGTGATTTTTAAATATTTATATTTTCGGATATTTAACATGTCAACGGCCATCAGCCTGTCATACTAAGCAGAGCAAAGACAAGATGGCAACAGAGACCGCATAAGTCCTTAAGGGAGAAAACTCTTTATAACTACAAAAAAACTATAAAAAAAAATTATAACTACAGCTGATCAAATCCTTATAAACCAGGTAAGTGACATTATAAGTCAATCTCTCTTTTGTATGTCGTAGTGCTGTATTTATACCAGAGTAATTGTAGTGTTTCTGGTAGTGTTTGTTCTGGCTTTCTGGGGATTTTTTATTGTGATATCCCGATTGCAACACAGAAATATTGGGAAATCTCTGTAGACTGATGGCATTTCATGTTGTTCAGCCTTATAATCTTAAAATGTGAGCAAAATCACCTGTTGTGTCAACACTTCAGTCATTACACAAGAGAACCATTCAAACACTAACTGTAAAGTGACGTTATTGAAGTAGCAACAGATTCAGCTGTTCTGACGTCAGCTGCAGCTGTGAAGCAATGGCGGAAGAAAGTAGTTCCTCATACAAAAGGATTTTTAGACTCTCAACGTTAGATTTTCTTTTTTCTATACATTATGCCATTGAACTGTGGCATAAACCCAATATCACACTCGCAGTAGTGCGATATTGCTCATAGGATGCTGCAAATGCCCCAATTTGAGCAAGCATGCAAATGAGCCCCTTGAAAAGGGGTGGAGACTTTACGGCTGTGCCTCAGTTGCTTTGTCATCAACAAACAAAACAACTACATGCATGTAAAATAGTGCAAGTTTAAACACCTGACATCTTCATTTTCTTATTCATATAAACTTGTTTTAATAAAGTACTTTCTTTTTTTTTAATAAATTAATTTATGAACTGAAAATCTCTTCACTCTCAATCAACATTGGATCAATGAACTTATTTCCTATTGCACCCATAAGAAAACACTGTTCAGCGTTAGAGAATCAAAAAGGACTTTAACCAAAAATTGAGCTTTTCTGGTGCCTCCACCTTTCACTTCTTAGTTGCATGCTTAACTATTACTTTTTTATTAATCTCTTTAATCAGGAGCTTTTTTTCCTATTTGCTTTTGGCAAAATTATAATAAAAAATATTCTGTTAATGTTTGTGCAACAGGATTTGATTTACTTATCTTTGAAAAAACTGGGGAAAAAAAATGACTGAAAAAAAACAGCACACTGCTCTTCTAAAGTCAACCAAGAAGGCAGTGTTGTGCACCTCACATTTTCAAACCTGAAAAGTGCAATCTATGTGATCAGGCCTAAGGAAGGTGAAAGTGTAGAAAGTAGGGAAGGATCGCTTTAAAAATATTTGACATGCTCACTACAACATAACTTAAACTTGTAAAGTGATGATTAGAACGTATAGATGTACCGGAAGGGGCATCCCAACAGACTTTGGAACATATTGAGAGTAGAGATTCATGGGAACTGGCACATAGACTGGCACCGGAACAGGCAGCACTATCACTTTAGGTGCCTCATCTGCAAGATACAAGAGTTCATATACATAGCGTCAGCTTTGAAAACATTTTCTTGATTAATAAATAGTGCAGAAAATGGTAAATTTGCATAGAATGAAGGTTGTTTTAAAAAGTGTGTGGTAGCCAGTACCTTTCTGTATCTCAGCATCAGCGGTGTGGGGTTTACAGGTTGTGGATTTGTTTTTGCTTGGGGATTTGTTCTGTAGGATTTGGGATCTCAGATTACGTTTCTGATAGCAGAGAAAGGAGCAAATGATGAATTCACATCTAATCAGAGTAATCCTAACAAGCACTTTAAGAATCTCATTTCATTTTCAGTTGATCTTGCGTTACTCTGAGACAGATTTTTTTCTGATAAACTCACATGCTTCATGGTCACATCTGTTTGAACAGAGCCTGAGGAAACAAATGAGTGCAAGTAAATTATTTGAGCAACAAAATAAGCAATACATCTTAAGGTACCGCACACTAAATCCGAAACTTTCACATGTTAAAAAATAAATTCAACCTCACGTTGTGCCAATCATACTGACACACTGCCTCTGAAAATTTCTGTCATCTGGTTTGTTTTTTCCCCTAATTTTTTGCATCCAAAAAGCCATTTTGAGGGATGTTTTGATAATTCAGGGCCGCCATACAAGCGAAAGGCATGAAGCATCAGAATGCTTTTTGTTTTTAAGTACTTTCTAGGCCTTGAATCCACATGTCTGAAGTTCAAGTACTTTCAAGAAGCCTGGGAACGCTGTATAAAGTAAGGCTGCTGAAGTAAACAATATTACGCATTGAACTCGTGTGCATGACAATTTTTGGATTTGAATATGAGAAAACACGTGAAAATTTAGGACTTCAGTGTGTAAAGACGTTCTTTACTAGTTTTTTGAATATATGTTATGTAAAATTGTTTAACTTCAATATTAATAATTCTAATTACCTTTCGCATTCGTGTTTCCTGAAACGCCTGGCTGTTTGCTGGATGGCCCTGAAAGTGAAACGACACTGGCAATGACCGGCGTGGCCTCTTTAGGCTTCTGTGTGACTGCAGATGACATTGGCTTTGCACCTGTAGAGACAACACATGACTCTTGACTTTTAGCCAGTCAATGTACATACAGTTGAAGCCCTCCTGAATTATTAGCTATTGTATAACAATGATTTTCTCTGTAGACAATCGGAAGAAAAACATTGCTAAAGGAGAATAAAAATACTGACCTTAAAATGATTTTAAAACAAAAATTTTTTTATTCTAGCCAAAATAAAACAAATAAGACTTTCTCCAGAAGAAAAATATATTATAGGAAATACTGTGAAAACTTCCTCGCTCTGTTAAACATAATTTGGGAAATAATTTAAAAATAAAAAAAAATTCACAGGAAGGGGAATAATGTTGACTGCATGTAATGAGCTAAAAGCAGATTAGATAAAAGCAGAGTGATCAAGCCAATGATCTGCATGCGGACATACACTGTGTGGCCAGAGATTTGCTGGTTGCCTTGATGACGGCTCCAGTGATGCCCTGCAGACTGCAGAAAAACATCAGGCACCGCAGGCTGCAGAAGTGCTTCATCTCTCCCAGCCATTTCACAGACTCGTTCATCTTCTTGATCTGTCTGCACATTGAGCACTTTATTTCCTGTCAAAATTGTGCAACAGGAACATTTTCTGTTAATTTCAGAAGCCACATCTGTTGCATAAAGTATAATGTTGCAGCACAATGATGCTTACAAAAAAAAAAAAAAAAAAAAAAAAAGCAGCAGCAATAGCTCACATTTCTTCATATAAATAAGTACGTGACACAACTAAACTATCAATAAATACGTCATTAATAGACTAACTAAAATATAGTAATACTGCTAAATACAAATTACAATAAAAAAATAAAAAAATATAAATACAATAAATAAGCCAAAACAAAATAAACAACTAGATTTATATTATTAGTATTAAATGCAATAAACTACAACCCCCAAGTCAGAATAAGTTGGCACAGTAAGGAAAACATTAGTGATTTCCAAATGCACTTTGACTTGTATTTCATTGGAATCATTACACTAAATATCTTATGTTTTGTCTTGAGGGATTCATTTCATTTGTAAATGTACATCCTTTCCTGTCATTCAGACCTATAATACATTCCAAAAAATCAATTTAGGGCTAATAATCAGGTAAATTGGTTGAATAATGATAAGATTTAAAACAAGTGATGTCAACAGGTGATTGTAATTATGATTTGGTATAAAAGCAGCATCCAGATCTAGTCCTTTTGGAGCAAAGATGGGCTGAGGATCACCAGTATGCCAACAAATATGTGAGAGAATTATTGAAATGTTTAAAAACAATGTCCCTCAAAGAAAGAACGGAAGACATTTGGATATTTCATCTTCAACAGTGCATAACATCATAAGAATAAAGAAATCTGGAGGAATTTCAGTGCATAAAAAGACACAAGCCTAAGCTGAACTACAGTGATCTCCAATCCCTCAGGAAGCATGCATCAACAATTAATAATATTAATAATAATTCCTTACATTTATATAGCGCTTTTCTAGACACTCAAAGCGCTTTACACACAAAGGGGAGAATCTCCTCAACCATCAACAGTGTGCAGCATCCACCTGGATGACACGATGGCAGCCATATTTCACCAGACCACACACCAGCTGCAATGATGGACTGGGCCAATTTGACCTTTTTCTTTTTCGAAGGACATCCTGAGATTTTTAACGTCCACAGAGAGTCAGGACCTCAGTTGAACATCTCATCTGAAAGACGGCGCTCACTGAGCAGTATAGAGTCCCCTTCAATATATTGGGGCATCAGGACCCACACAGATTGAGCGCCCCCTGCTGGCTTCACTAACACCACTTCCGGCAGCAACCTGGCTTTCCCATCCATGTACTGACTGGGCGCAGCCCTGCTTAGCTTCAGTGGGCGACCATGTAAGAGTTGCAGAGAGCTAGCAGCTGTTAATTCTCATTCATCTAGAAGCCAGATCACCACATGGGCTCAGGACTACTTATGCAAACCTTTGTCAAGAATTCGCAGTTATATCCCCAAATGCCAGTTAAAACTGTACAATGCCAAAAGGAAGCCCTATGTTAACAGAATCCAGAAGCACTGTTGACTTCTCTAGCTTCAGAAGCTGGGATCGTTTAATTTCCGTTTTCCAAACTGTCCCAACTTTTTCTGATTTGGGGTTGCAAGTTTACTTTTGTTGTTGGGTTTAGTTATTTTAGTGATTGACAACTACCTAATTTAATATTTTGTTATGCATTCTGTTACTTTTTTTTTAACTATTCAGAAGTGTGGGTACTTAGAAGTTTTATATTGTACAACTGTTTTTAATATACACTATAGCAGGGGAGGTGCACAGTTTAGCTCCAACTCTAATCAAACACACCTGATTAAAGATTTTTAGTGATCTTGAAGACACTGATTAGCATGTTCAGGTGTGTTTGATTAGTGTTGGAGCTAAACTCTGCAGGATAGTAAGGCCCTACAGGACCGAGTTGGCCCACCCCTATACTATATTATACTATTATATAATATGTTCTAATATAAAACATCAATATTTTGTATGTTGGCTGGTTATGAACTTGTTTGTTTAGCTGATTTAGTATATTTAAAACATTACCTGACGAATCAGTAAATTATGTTGTGACAAGCAATCGCTCCCACAGAACTCCTCCTGTTTGCCATTGAAGACTTCCGTCACTACAGTCTTAGAAGTGCTGTTACAGTGGAAACAATTGCTACAGTGCTTTGTCCCCCAACGCTTGACCAGGTTCTGCTCAAAGAGTGCCCTGCATTCTGTACAGAAAGAAATAAAAGCACATATTCAAACTGACAAGCCAAATTTGTGGTAACTAAAATCTTGCATGACAGATTTCCAAATGATAAAATAAGATGATGATAATTATATGCATGCTTACTCTCTTCGCAGAAAGAGCGGTCAACTCTGTTTATCCTTCTCACGACTTTGACTCTTTTATTGAGGTTGCAGTTTTCACAGCGAGCCACCACACGGTTGACCTTTCTGAACTCATCGATACAATCGTTGCCACAGAAAGCGTACATTTTCCTCTGAAAATAAAAAATAATGTAGACCTGCAATCAAACTAGGGCTTCACAATATATGACAAAAATGATTGTTAGCATTATAATAGTTTATGCAATATACGCATCACAGACAAGTGATAAATTACATTTATTTTATGCATTGTTTTTATGCCAGATTGACTTGAGTGTGCCTGACTATTGATCCTAAAGGCTCTTTTCTGAATAAAAAAAAAAACGACACGTGATAGGAGTTTTTGTCCTAACCAATACCTATTTCTCCCAGGTAAACAACAGGATAAACTATGATCACCTCAGGTACACCTCATGCGCTTTATTCAGTGTTAAATGTTAAAATTTTTTTTTACTGCTCTAGCCAATAGCAGATTCCGGGAAGGTTTGGCTCAAGATAGTAAGGCCCCATCGGTTTTAGATAAACTCCACACACACTGGTAATGTTTTAAAGACTAAACGTTTGCAACATGACAGTTGTTTTCAAGTCTGAATTAGAATTAGTTAGATCTAAAAAGCATCTTTAATGCGTTTATTTTAATATCATTAAATAATTACTTAATCATAGCTAATAAAACAGTGTTGTTCTAGGGCAGGGGTGTCAAACTCAATTCCTGGATGGCCACAGCCCTGCATAGTTTAGTTGCAACCCTGCTCCAACACACTTACCTGTAGGTTTCAAACAAGACTGAAGGACTCAATTAGTTTGATCAGGTGTGTTTAATTAAGGTTGGAACTAAACTGTGCAGAGCTATGGGCCTCCAGGAATCGAGTTTGACACCCGTGTTCTAGGGAAATGTTATGCTGGAAGAAATATTGTTAAGGCAATGCTTAGCGCATATGGCATATATTTATAGAATCATGCAGCCCTAACTCAAACAACTAATAACAAGCATGGAAATTAAAATCAGCATGAAAGTGAAGCATGAGTACCTTATACTCCATCAGTTCTGGCTTGTGGAAGAAGGCGTTCAGACACTGACAGCAGGGGATTTTAGTGACGTTTTGGCCTTGACCACTAGGGGTGCTAGTCTTGGCTGCTGAGCTGGACTCCGATGAAGCAGGTTTGGGGGCAGCAGTTTTTGCTGCAGTAGTTGTGTTGCTGCTTGTAGAGGTTACGGTGTTCACTTGTGTGTTCGCTTTTTTATTATTCAAGGATTCCTAAAGCAAGAAAACAAAGATCCACACAAATTAATACCATGCAAATCACTCAAGTAGAAAAGATCAGTGCCAGACTTGACTGAACTGTACCTGATATGCTACTACGCAGGAGAATGTGCAGAAGTTTTGAACGGATCCTTCAGACATGGCTATGTGGTACTGAGGCACTAGTTTCAGCTTGCAGTTGTTGCATTCCACTGGAGCAGCTAGATTGCACGGAAACAAAAGTGTTTTCATTTTTACACATTAATAGAATGAAAGAGATGAAATGTCACACTGAACATACAGTGGTAGGCAAAATAGGTAGCATATTTAAGAGGTTTAATTGTTTTTATTTTATTGATGCGGCCATAACAATAACCACAATAATGATGATGATAATTTTTTTTTATTTATGCCATGTCAGCAACAAAGGCTATTTTCATGGTTACTGTTCACTGTCAATGACTACATTTACATGGACATCAGTAATCGAATTGTTTGCTTTTATCTAATTAAGAGAATAATAAGACTAATGTATTTACATCGAGTGTTACTTTCATGATCCCGTTTTACATGTTATAGCACATAATTAGACATAATAATATGACAACTATAAATTCACCCCTGGGTCTATTTTTGTCGCTGTTCAGACTTAAAGTGACAGTGCATTGATAACGACCAAAACACATTGAATGACAGTAAAAATGAACAATTTTACCCAATAATGCATTGACAAGATCCACTGATTTGTATGCAATGTTTCTGCTCTACATATGCACTGTGACAAGCTGCTTAAACTCTGTTTGTGCATGCGGTATAAAAGTGTGCCAGTGGAGGAGACGCTGTTGCAGGAGTTAGGGTGTTGGGCAGAGGACCTAAACTCTACACACAAATCACAGAATACAAAAGGAAAGCCTTTGGCCTTAGTAGCTGAAAACATAATTACATTTGTGTTGAAGCTCTCGTGAAATATACTGACATTACCAGAGAGATAGACAGCTGTGTTATAAGTGTATAAAAACACTTCATGTGTTATTTGGTGTCTGCTAGCAACGATCTGCATGTTTCATTAACATTATAAAACGCAAATAATGTTTGAGGCAAAAAGATCAATGCTTTGAGATCTACAAGATATTCAAATTATTTTGCCCATCACTGTATGTGTGTATAAGTGGAATTTAAATATAAAACATTTACTAATTTTATAAAAGGGTCTATAGCTGCATCAACCATATTTGCAATAAAGAAATGGTTCATAAAAAAAATAAAATAAAAAAAAATTCACTGCAAAAAATATACAACGATTGCAAAACATCCATTTCAAATAAATCCTGCGCTCAAATAAACTCATGCGTTCCGAAACAGGTGGTGGTCACTATTGACAGCCATAGTAAAAAAACATACTATGGAAGTCAATGGTGACCAATCAGTGGACCATTATGTAATGGACCGTTATTTTGATTGTGTTATCCACTATTCTTTAAGGAATATGTGGCCATAGTACCTGACAAACCCACGGTCTGATCTTTACTCGCAGTGACACAGGAGACAGAGCAGAAAAGCTCCCGGATTCCCTCTGCGTTTGGACTGTCCAGTGCATCTTCCGCAGGCCTCAGGGCATGACACGTCTTACAGGTGACAAGTTTCAGGCTCCTCTGTGAGTGAAGATCAGTTTATTAAATGTACGCATGCTTTAACAGTAGTTTTGCAACCAAATCACTTCCTCTGCCTTTACCTTTTTGTAAGCTGTAAGGCAGGTTTGGCTGCAGAACTTCATAACTCTGTCTTCCATGCGCAGAGATGGACACTGAGCGTCTGTGCCATAGCAGAATCCTCCACAGTTCACACAGCTGTTCATGTTCAGCTTATTGGAGGAGCGGAACTGGTTGAAGCAGCCATCGCTGCACAGCTTTTGAATGGAGCCTCTGAAGTTCACCTCATGAACGTGTCTCTATACGAGAAAAATCATGCAAATAAAAAAGCTTTAAAGGGGACCTATTGTGCAAAAATCACTTTAATAAGGGGTTTAAGGCATCCGGCTTTGAATATAAATCAGCTTCAATTGGTAAAAACATAATATTTTATAAACACACTTCATAAAAACAGTCTGCAGAAACAGGTTGTTGCTAGATCAGATAATAATGACAATTATTTATATAATTTATAAAATGTCAGACAGACAGAGATGGCTACTCACTATTCCTGCCTTCTGACACACACTGCACTTAAAAGTTAAAGCGTTGCGGCATTTCTGACTGCAAAACTCCTTCCCAGCCCCTGACATGTCCACTGGGGCAACTATGATGCTGCTGTCTTCATGAATCTCTCTGAAGGGAAAAAGGTACAACATGTTACTTAATTAAGCCATGCATAATTAGTCATCTTGGAATTCTAAGGTTTACTTGTGTTAAAACTGACAAACTTACTTGCATTGTGATTTATTACAAGGGAGTCTAAAATTGGTCCTGGAGGGCCAGTGTCCTGAGTTTAGCTCTAACTTGCTTCAACCCTGACAGGGAGTTTGTAGTGTATCTAGTAAGAGCTTGATTAGCTGGTTCAGGTGTGTTTGATTAGAGTTAGAGCTAAACTCTCCAGGACTGAGTTTGGACACCCCTGGTTCATTACAAAGTTGCACTCAAACCTGGTTCTATAAGGTTCTCTTTGTGAACCAACCAATCAACAGTTTGAACACATACAACAGAACCAATGAGGATCTCAGAGACCCGGATGAGTGACATTTATGAGTGACATTTGGTCTATGTTACAAATTGTGTCACTAGCAGATAGAGAAAGAAAAGTTTTACTAATGGCATCAATGCATTTAATTACACATCATATTTCTACTTAAAATTAACTTCTGCAATGGACAAAATATCTAGCACTGCCTTTAATGCTTATTTTTAAGAAAAAAAATGCATCCTAAAATACAAAAGCAGTATTAATGTGATTTTCTTATACTAATAGTTTTAAAGAAGATAATCATAATAAAAAAAAAAGTTTTTATCTGAGGGTTTGAAATCTATTTAAGAAGTCCCAAATGATTTGCATAGATTTAAAATACATTTAGGATCTCTCTATATGCCATTTTCATGCATGAGAGATTTGTTTACCACATTATTTTGCTTCAGGTAAAAATGTAAAATCTTTAAACTGAATATCACAAAAAATAAAGCTCAGGATGCAGATTATACACCACCTGACAAATTTTTTTGTCGCCCATCCAAGTTTTAGGAACAAGTAATAACTTGACTTCTAGTTGATCAGTTGGTATCAGAAGTGGCTTATATGAAAGGCAAAGGCCTCTAGATTACGCTTATTTTAGCAAAATAAAATATAATCAAGCCTTGATTTATAATTATTTAATTAGGACAGTAAGGTCTGACTTTGCTTAGGCAAAAGTTGTGTCACTAAACAGAAATAATGTACAGTATAATATATAAAGTCATGCTGCAGTGGAAACAGAATGAATATTGAGTATGACTCCCATGAGCTTGGAGGACTGCATCTACACATCTCTGCAATGACTCAAATCACTTATTAATAAAGTCATCTGGAATGGCAAAGAAAGCGTTCTTGCAGAACTCCCAGAGTTCATCAAGATTCTTTGAATTCATCTTCAATGCCTCTTGCCCCTGACATGCTTAATAACGTTTGTGTCTGGTGACTGGGCTGGCTATTCCTGGAGCATCTTGACCTTCTTTGCTTTCAGGAACTTAGATGTGGAGTATGAGGAGCGCTGTCCTGCTGAAAATTTGACCTTTCCTTCTTATTTGTGGCACAAATATCTTTATACCCCAGGCTGTTGATGTTGCGGTCCACTCTGCAGATCTCTCGCACTCCCACATACTGAATGTAACCCCAAACCATGATTTGTCCTTCACAATCTTGACTGATTTCTATGAGAATCTTGGGTCCATGCGGGCTCCAATAGGTCTTCTGCAGTATTTGTGTGGAGAGGGATGCAGCCAACAGATGATTCATCGGAAAAATCTACCTTCTGCCACTTTTCCAAACGATCAACTAGAAGTTCAGTTATTATTTCTTGCTTTTACAACTGGGATCAACGACAAGACTTTTGTGAGGTAGCGTATATGCCAAATAATATACTTGAAATTAGATATTAAAAAAAATAGTTATAGAACACAAAGCATACTTGAGGCAGTGGTGACATGCTTTATTCTTGGTGCTCCGGAGACATTCAAGTGAGCAGTAGATTTTAGCAGAGCCACTGCGCTGGAAGGCTGTTTGTCCCTTCAGCAAGACCTTATTGCAGGCAGTGCACAGAACACCAAGTCGCTTGAAATTCTGAATGGACTCCGTTTGTGCTCCTGTGAGATGAAGAGGAAACTTTAAGGATGCAGGAAGTGATTTCAGACCCTAAAGACCAAATTACACTGGAATCTTTAATCAGTGTTCAGCCGCAGTCTGGCGATGGTCAGTGTGAATTGTCTTTCAAGGCAAGGCAAGTTTATGTAGTCATTTCATACACAGTGGTTATTCAAAGTGCTTTACATCAATAGCAATAAAATAAAATACAAGTATAAGAAAATAAAACAAAGAATGAACATACAGAATCAAAAGATTAAAATGTGTTAAAACAGGCTTTAATGGAATGAAAAAGACAAAGACATGATCTTTCAAAGAAGTTGCTCATGCAAAAGAAATTATCCATTTTTTAAGGATGGTTATTAAGAAATGTGTAATAATGTCAAATTATACTGGATAAAAAAAAAAAAAAAAAAAAATATATATATATATATATATATATATATATATATATATATATATATATATATATATATATATTTAAAAATATATACAGCTAGTAATTGTTATAATGCTCATACCAGTGGATGCATTATTTACACCAGGCACCTGATGATAAGATCCGAGCCTCTGTTGGTCAAAATCCTAGAAAAGACAAAATTACCACACATTGGTATAATCCATAACCATTCATAAAAATCTGCATGCTCAAAAGTACTAGAAACATGTAGCTGACATCAGAATATTTTTTTTTCCACAATTTACACATTTATTGTCTGGAAATGCTATAAGCCATGCCATTATCTTATATAAAATATAGTGTAGTATTCAAATGTTTGTAGACTATAAATACAGACTGCTGCTAAATATTTTTCTTGTCCCACGAAATAGGATTCTAAAAAGAATAGAACACGTCAAGTATATTAGGTACACCTGTCCAACTGCTCGTTAACGTTAATTTTTTATTAGACAATCAGATGGCAGCAACTCAATGCATTTAGGCAGGTAGACATGGTCAAGACAATTTGCTGCAGTTCAAACCGAGCAACAGAATGGGGGAGAAAGGTGATTTAACTGACTTTGAACGTGGCATGGTTGTTGGTGCCAGACGGGCTCGTCTGAGTATTTTAGAAACTGCTGATCTACTAGGATTTTCATGCACAAGCATCTCTGAAAGACAAAATATCTAGTGAGCGGCAGTTCTGTGGACGCAAACGGCTTGTTGATTTCAGAGGTCAGAGGAAAATGGCCAGACTGGATGGAGCTGATAGAAAGGCAACAATCAAATAATCACTCGTTACAACTGAGGCATGTATTGAGGCAGATGGACTACAGCAAAGACCACAGCGGGTGTCACTCCTGTCTGCTAAGAACAGGAAACTGAGACTAAAATTTGCACAGGCCCACTAAAATTGATCAACAAAAGATTGGAGTAATGTCCCCTTGTCAGATGGGTCTCGATTTCTGCTGTGACATTCAGACGGTAAAGTCAGAATTTGGCATCAACAACATGGATCCATTCAGCCTTGTGTAACAGTCTAGGCTGGTGGTGGTGTAATGGTGTGGGGGATATTTTCTTACCACACTTTGGGCCCATTAGTACCAACCATTGTGTCAACGCCACAACATACCTGAGTGTTGTTGCTGATCATGTCCATTTCTTTATGACTACAGTGTACTCATCTTCTGATGGCTACTTCCAGCAGGATAATGCACCATGTCATAAAGCGCGAATCATCTCAGACTGGTTTTTTGACGTGACAATGAGTTCACTGCACTTAAATGGTTTCCAAGGTCACCAGATCTCAATCCAATAGAGCACCTTAGGGATGGGGTGGAATTGGAGATTTGCATCATAGATATGCAGCTGACAAATCTGTAGCAACTGCGTGATGCTATCATGTCAATATGGATCAAAATCTCTGAGGAATATTTCCAGTACCTTGTTGAATCTATGCCACAAAGGATTAAGGCAATTCTGAAGGCAAAATGAGGTCCAAGCAGGTACTAGTAAGGTGTACCTAATAAAGTGTCCAGTGAGTGTATTTACATATGAATTTTTGTTAACATTCTAAATGTTCTACTGTCATATATCGATGTAATGCATTCAAGGAATACAGTTTTTGAAGGGTAGTTTAAGTAAATAATTTGCTTCAAAACCCTCTCAGGCTCAAATTAAGTTTTAGAAACAGGAATGATATTTGGGGAAAATAATCATATGGGGTAGTACAATAAAATCCTGAGACCTTCACATGCAAGGCGTTCTGGGATGTTGCAGATTTGCAACATTGGCCCAGTGTGGTAATTAGACACTGACTACTGAATATGATATGAACAATAACTTTTTACATACAACTTTTCAAACAATGTAACAAATTGCTTTTCAGTGGCAGAACAACAACAAAAACAATATGGGATCCAAATCCAATATCTTAAATCCTCATTGAGTAGGCCATGTTTACAAGTCACTTTGTCATGTGGTACTCCAAGAAACAGTTTTTGTCTTTTGTAAAGCACAGAAGTACTTTGCACTTCAGGCAGGCCATTTGCGTGTAGCCATTCTTGCACAGTCTGCATCGTCCACGTTTCTCAGCATGGATGGGGAAATGATCGCATCGGTCTAATCTGACATCAACCGATGGTGCAGAGATCCTCTGAAGTGGAGGTGAGGCAGCTTGATGGGACGTTGGATCATCTTCCAATGAAGGTCGTACTCTTTTCCTACTGTTCAAGTCAACCTGTTTGCCAACCTTGATGAGGGCATCTGCAACTTGAACACGGAAGTCAAGAAGTGGCATATACTTCTTCTCCTGCTTCTGGGTGAGATGACGGCGATAGAGGAGCCAACCATTGACCAGTGATAGGTCAATCAAGTAGTACAAGATGCGCAGATACCAACGACGTGGGCGGAAGTCAGTGCGATAGAGAGCTGCAAACTTGTCTGCTAAGTCTACTCCTCCCATGTTGTGGTTGTACACCTTGACAATGTGGGGTCTGTCCACTTCCACATATTCCTTCTTCTCTTTCGACCACCTTCTGCATCTCTCAACAGGTTCAGGGCCGATGAAGGATGATGCCAGCAACACTGCCTTGTTATCATACCACTTCATGATGGACATCCCACTTGTCTTTTCGTATTTCACTTCATACGCACCACACCCGGCCTTTGAGAGTTCCTTATCACTCTTGAGGGTACATCCACGGAGACGGTTACGATTGATGGTAGCAACTGTTAAAATTACCATTTTCTTCAGTACTACAATGAGTTCAGGGGAAGGGAACCAGTTGTTGAAAAAGCACTTGTAGTTTAGTCCTTTTGGAATGTCTGATACGAGACGTAGCACAACTTCACCGGCAACACCAAGTCCACGTTCATTGGTCACGGTCCCTTTTCCAGTGTATACTTCAAAGTCATAGACTAGTCCAGTGACACCTGCACGAGTAAAGACCTTGATTCCCCATTTATGTGGCTTGTTCTTGATATACTGTTTCATTCCAATCTTTCCTTTGCAGGGGATCATCTGCTTATCAATGGAGTGGTTTTCTTCTCGTTCAACCTTCACACAGTTGGCACGGACTTTCTCAAGAACTGGACGCACCTTGAATAATGGATCGTATCCAGGCTCACCCTTTTGCTTCACATTGGTATTGTCGTTCATGTGGATGTATGTACGCAGATTATCAAATCGTTTACGTCCCATGACTGTCGCAATTGGGTCGTAGCGGGTTGCGATGGCATACGCACTACAGTCATCAAGATGTGTAAACCAATGAATTGCTCTACTTCAGAAGGGGTTGTTTTCAGTTCTGGGCCATTCTTCATAACTGCATACAAGTTAGATTGGTGAGAAATATGTTCAAACACAGATTTGTCCATGAACTGATGAAAATACCACTTTGGACTTGGTATTTCGTCTGGGGGAGGTGAGAATGCAGGTCCTTGGAATGAAGAGTCTATGTCAGCTGCTGGGGGTTTCCTCTGCCTCCAAGAAAACTCTTTGTTGACTGGGGCTGGGACTGGCTGAGGTTCATTGTCATCTGGGACCTCAGTATCACTGTCTGCATGTATGTTATGAATTTCAACATCAAGGTGGTAGAGATTAGCTTTTGGTATTGCTGCCAGTGGCTTATCATCATCAAAGCTGGAGTCAGACTCGTATGCTTTAGGAGATTCCTCAAAATCTGAATCAGCAATTTTATCGTCTGAAATGGATTCTGTGTCAGATAAAGCACCATCAGGAAGGCAAATGTACTCAATGACTTCCCTGGCTGTGTAAATTTTTCGTCTGCCTGCCGTAACACACTGCAAATCCTGCATAGAGAGTATTCTGTAAGGGAGTTTGCCAAAAATGCTTTGACACAATGATCTATGCTAATAAAAGTGCCATGCTATTTAGCCTATATCAGTTTTCCTCACTGCACAGTCAAATGAACATGGTATTGTGCCATTGCTTTTGATCAAATCTGCCTCTGATTGTTTGTAACTTCACTCCAAATTATTACATTTTCCATATGATATACCCTCAGTGACACCTCAAAGTAATATGTAAACACTGGTGATGGGAAAAAAAAAACCCTAGTATAAACTGTTACTCAAAATATAGGCAAACTAGTAGATAAAGCATGTGGTATCCAGTGGTACCTATCTGGCCACACGTTGCAAATCTGCAACGTTGAAAGAGCTGCATCAGGGGAAAAATCCAGAAGAGATAAAATCCATTAATTGGTATTTACTGTATCTATATACACTTATGATTCTTCTTATGCCGTTTTAGTTTCAAATTAATGGAGGTTCATAGTGATACTTACACAAAATTGATGCCAAGAAAATCAGTTTCAGGGTGCTTTAACTCCTGCCTTATTTGGTCCGATTGAATCGCACTACAGTTCGTTTTCCCTTTTGGTGCGGTTCGTTTGGGCAGGTAAGAATGCAGCAATCGTACTCGAGTGCGCACCAAAAGCGGACCAAATAAGCGTACCGAGACCTGCTTGTAGAGGTGGTCTCTGTACGCTTTAAAACGAACCCTGGAGCGAATCGTTTGTGGTGAGAATATGATTCGTACTAAAACAGGTCCAATCGCAAAAAGTACTGCGCCTGTTGGACTAATTCAGCTGCTGTAGGCTGATGCGCTGTGCATTATGGGATACGGAGGAAAAATATTTGTTGACAGCGCTTTACCAACAGAGAGAGGGGAAAACATTAACTGATGGATCGTAGGTAATATTTCCGCAAGATGAGCATGTCGCAGATTAGCTGAATTAATTCACCCCTCCTCCTGAAGTGACAAGCGATGCATTAAAACCCTGTTTTCCCAGCCATGGCCGCGCTTCATTCTCGAAATGTATAGTTTGTCTAAAGCAGGGATACAATCAGCCAGCGCAGTCGTCCCTCCAGAGTAGAAACGACATTTTGTGTCTGCGGGTTTTGTTTACTTGCGGGAGTTCATTGGCATTTTCCCGCATGTGAATTCTAACCAATCCATAAGCAGGTTAGGAAATATGTTCAACAACATTTGGCCAATGAGAGATGCGGATTTTGTCAGATGACTGCATTTTGGTTCATTTCAACTGGTTCGGACCAAAGCCAGCAGTGTGGTGTGAAAAAGACCCAAAGACGGCAGAAAATGCAACAATCTATCATTTATTGCCCCTGGTCCGGACCAAATGAAGCGAACTACAGATGTAAAAGCACCCTCAGTGAACCCATGGAAACAGACATGTTAGAAGTGAGACTACACGGCCATCTGGTGAGCAAGTGGGGAAACTGTTTGTTGCTAATGGACAACCAAGTCCTGCAGTGGTACTTCTGAGCAAAAAAAAAAGCTCATAAAATATGTATCTGGAGTAAAAAGGTAGTTAGTTTTTAACTGTTGCAAATCAGCAACGACTGCCTTGAGAGGGTTAAGGTAAAGAGGGTCCAACCAGGAACTAGTAAGGTGTACCTAATAAAGTGGACAGTAAGTGCATTTGCATATGCATTTTTTAAACGTGCTAAATGGCTTTACTGTCATATATAATCAATGTAATGCATCCACAGAATTAAGTTTTTGAAGGGCAGTTTAAGTAAAAAAAATTGCTTTATGAAAAGAATAACTGGTAGGAGATATAGAGCCCCTAATCGTAGGTTGAACCGATATAAGAAATCCTTTAAGAGGAGTTTATCTTAATTATCATTATAACTACTCTACTTTTTTCTTGATGTTTCTTAATGCAATATAGTGATGTCGATAACAAATATCCTTTCAAAGACAAGAAAGTTTACTACTCCTAATAATAACATGGCATAACATATCAACACACAGGAAAAAAAGTATGTTTAAATGTCTGTATATTTGAATAACCTCATCATCTTTAATGCTTCTCAGTGGACTTTGAGGTGCTTTCTTCCACTCTTCATCCATCGGTTCATCTTTGATCTTCACAGGTAAAACGTCAGAGGGGTCAAATCCTGCAAATCTTTTATCAGCAGCCTGCGTTTGCTGAATAACAGAGGAAGATTTTATTTTCAGAACTGTACCGCAAACAAACATTTAACATAAAAGTTGCAGCGTTTACCGTGACAGCAGATGAATGTGCAGGTCTGCTTTTAAGGCCTTTGGCCCTCAGTGCTTCTGTTGAATGAGAAAAGTAAATAAATCATGTTTAAAGATAATAAAAATAAATATTTTCCATTGTTATGCATGAATTGGCTATAAAATAAATTATGAACTACTTTAATGTATTGAGCAACTCTCTGGATTTGCAACTAGGGATGCTCCCATCAGAATTTTTGCAGCCGATACAGAGTACCGATTCTAATGCTTTATAATGCATTAAACACATTTTCTCTCCAAGTATGATACTTTAAGGGATATCTCGCCTTACCAAATAGAATAAATGAAAGATGTTGCATATAATCACACCTATTTTAAACATTTAGGTGTGTAAGAATTGAAATATTACAAATATGTTTGATGTCTTTGACAATTCAGAACATGAGCTGAAAACAGGGCCAATTGACTCCACAACCCAGCAGGGGGGAATGCGGGAAAAACCAGTTCCTGCTGCATTTGCATCTGAGCATGCTGAAACTCAGCTTCATCCCCCCCATCTCACGCATATGGTCATTTCAATGTTTGAATGTTCTAGATTAACCAAACTGACTTTAACTATCATGTTTGATATCATTTGAAATGTCTCAGTGCGATTGGTACAATGATCTCATTCTCTCAGAAATAGACATAATCAAAACAATAAATATATAACTTCAGGCATCTTTTGAACCACTGTGAAGGGTGTGACTTTCCACAGGCAGCACCAAGTGTGAAAGCTCTTTTGTTATACACACACCCTCTTCTTTGAGGGAATTCTTGGATTATTTAAGGTAAGGTTTGAGAAAGGCTCAGGGCGATTCTGCCTACCCAGATCAGCCCATAACATGGAGCCTAGGCTCCACGTTATGTAAAATTTACACGTTATGTAAAAGGTCAGGTATGCATCTTTTCATCTTGGATTTATATAGACCCCCAGGACCCTATGTCAAATTTCTAAAAGAATTTTCTGATTTTATTTCTGACTTACTAGTCAAAACTGATAAAATGCTAATTGTAGGTGACTTTAACATCCACATAGATGACGCTAATGATACATTAGGGCTCGCGTTTATGGATTTAATACACTCACTTGAGATAAAGCAAAATGTTGTGGGTCCAACCCATCGCTTAAAGCATACATTAGATCTAATTCTGTCTTATGAAATCGAGGTTATTGACTTAGACATTATACCACAAAGTGATGATATTACAGATCACTACCTCTTACTATATAAGCTGTGTTTACCTGAAATCAGCAAACCCGCTCCAATACTCCGCCCTAGTAGAACTATTGTTCCGTCAACTAAAGATGAATTTATAAATAACTTACCTGATCTCTCTCTATTTCGTAATGCACCCGCAAACTCAAATGATCTTGATGTAGTAACCAGCAGTATGGATGCCATCTTTACTAGCACACTAAATACTGTGGCACCCATCAAATTAAAAAAGGCTAGAGAGAATAAAACTATACCATGGTATAATAGTCATACTCGTGCGCTCAAAACAGCAACCCGCGCCCTGGAACGTAAATGGAAAAAAACTAATTTAGAGGTCTTTAGAATTGCGTACAAAGACAGTATGTCCAGCTATAGGAGGGCTCTAAAATCTGCCAGGACCGAGCACCTGCGCAAACTGATAGAAAATAATCATAACAATCCTAGATTTTTATTTAACACCATCTCTAAATTAGCTAATATTCGGTCATCCTTGGAACAAACTACTCCACCGCAAATTAGTAGTGATGACTTCATGAATTTTTTCAGTAATAAAATAGAAGGCTTTAGACAAAAAATAGGAGATGCCAAACTTTCTGCACCGGCTTATACTCCAAATCCTGTAAATATTTCATTAAATCATAATAATAACCTACACTGCTTCAAAATCATAGAACATGAAGAGTTAGTAAAAATTATAAATAGCTCTAAACCAGCTACGTGTATGCTGGACTCAATTCCAACAAAATTACTGAAAGAGCTGCTACCTGCTATAGGAGAACCTCTTCTTAACATTATCAACTCTTCTTTATCTATAGGCCATGTTCCAAACTCTTACAAGCTAGCTGTTATTAAGCCTATTATTAAGAAACCGCAACTAGACACCAACAACTTAGCTAACTATAGGCCTATTTCAAATCTTCCATTTATGTCTAAAATACTAGAAAAAGTTGTTTCCACTCAATTATGCTCTTTTCTGCAGACGAACAATATTTTTGAAGTGTTTCAGTCAGGTTTCAGGGCTCACCACAGTACAGAAACCGCCTTAGTGAAAATAACCAATGATTTACTCTTAGCTGCTGACCGAGGGTGCGTCTCGCTATTAGTTTTACTCGATCTTAGTGCGGCATTTGATATTATTGACCACAATATCCTCATAAATCCCTTAAAGTCTACAGGTGTCCAGGGACAGGCTCTACAATGGTTTAAGTCATACTTAACTGACCGCTACCAGTTTGTGAATCTTAATGGACAGCCTTCACAAATCTGCCCAGTAAAGTATGGGGTGCCTCAAGGATCAGTTTTAGGCCCTTTACTGTTTACAATTTACATGCTACCTCTGGGAGACATTATTAGAAGACATGGGATCAGCTTTCACTGCTATGCAGATGATACTCAATTATATATTTCAACTAAACCTGACGAGACGTCTGAACTTTCTAAACTAACTGACTGTATCAAAGACATCAAAGACTGGATGACCAACAATTTTCTTCTCTTAAACTCCGACAAAACAGAATTATTACTTATTGGGCCTAAATCTTGCACACAGCAGATCTCGCAACTCAATTTACAATTAGAGGGATACAAAGTTAGCTTTAGCTCTACTATAAAAGATTTGGGTGTCATATTTGACAGCAATCAAACTTTTAAAAACCATATATCCCATGTCACAAAAACTGCCTTCTTTCATCTGAGAAATATCGCTAAATTACGAAATATGCTATCCATCTCAGATGCAGAAAAGCTAGTCCATGCTTTTATGACTTCGAGACTGGATTACTGTAATGCTCTATTTGCTGGCTGCCCAGCATCCTCTATTAACAAACTTCAATTAGTACAAAATGCAGCAGCCAGAGTTCTGACCAGGTCTAGAAAATATGATCATATAACCCCAATTTTATCCTCCTTACACTGGCTGCCTGTTAAGTTTCGTATTGAATTTAAAATATTACTTCTCACCTATAAAGCTCTAAATAATCTAGCTCCTGTTTATCTAACCAACCTTCTGTCTCGCTACAAACCAACTCGCTCTTTAAGATCTCAAAATTCAGGGCTTCTGGTAGTACCTAGAATAGCAAAATCAAGTAAAGGAGGTCGAGCCTTCTCTTTCATGGCTCCTACACTCTGGAATAGCCTTCCTGATAACGTCCGAGGCTCAGACACACTCTCCCAGTTCAAAACTAGATTAAAGACCTATCTGTTTAGTAAAGCATGAACAGCAGCTACGCTAATTATTCTCTTTATTCTCTATTTTCACCTGGGGATACTCATCCCGAGGTCCTCAGATTATGCGGAGTCACTGATTGGATCCAAGACCAGCGACGTGATGATCCCAAGGATTACATATCCGGGACCAGGCCATATCCTGAGCTGCTGCTGCGCTGATGGTCGTGGGGAGTGGAGAACATGAGTCTGATTCCAGTGACGCTCCAGGGACAGACGAGTCTTCGCTGAGGCCATCTTCCAGCCTAAACCACGACGAATGAAGTTCTGCTCAAGACTTTTGGCCAGCGGAGAAATTAAAATGGTCGTGCCCAACTGAGTCTGGTTTTCTCAAGGTTTTTTTTCTTCACTCCCATCAGGTGAAGTTTTTTTTCCCTCTCCGCTGTTGCCACTGCCTCGCATGGTTCAGGATTGGTAGAGCTACGCATCGATGAATTTGCTCTTCAGTGTTTGAACTCTCAGTAATGATTAAATCACACTGAACTGAGCTAAACTGAACTGAACTTAAACACTAAAACCTGAACCACACTGTTCCAGTTACTGAACCACACTGTTCCAGTTACTATGACCATTTATGTGAAGCTGCTTTGACACAATCTACATTGTAAAAGCGCTATACAAATAAAGCTGAATTGAATTGAATCTTTGATAATTTGATGTTTTGTATTGATCATTTATGAATTGACTGATTGAATTGGCATAATACATTTACCTGACTAATAAATTGTAATGTTTGACCATATTTTGCTCACTCTGTAATTATTAATTCAAGTAGATTATGCTGTATCCTTGTTTCCGCACGTCTTGCGTCAGGTCAGTAGACGGACTAAAATCCAATTGAGATGGAGCATTGGGCACACTAATTGTGTTTTAGGGATCCGGCTGACTCTTGATATTGATTCATGTGTACTTAGGTGGAAAGGGCGATAACTTCCGTCTAGGTCAACAAGGTGTTGCACGACTAACCTAGATTGGGTACCCGACCTTTGTTTGAAGGTTATATTATTCTAAATTAAGTTCATATGGGAAACCATGGGCTTGGTGAAAACCAAAGTTATTATAGAGTCCAGTAGTCGGGTACATTTATATTAATGCCCTAACCTCTAATTAGAAATGATGATTGTCTTAACTCAAAGGTGTACACCTAAGCGGGACTAACTAAAGTATTTTAGAACGAGCGCGCTGGTAGCGGCCATCTAAAGTATTAGTCAATTACCTCTGTTTAATATTCAAGACTGACCGGAGTGTGACCGTGAGGGACGCCTTCGGCCGAGGCGATTTCTCTGAGCGACATGAGCACCCGAATGAACGGATGTAATAGTTACTAGTGAAGACAAAAGGTTCAAACATTTATCTAAATTACATATTGATATAATCTTCTTAATGTTTTATGATTGGAGTCAGATAAAACGAGGATAAATATGTTAATATTCTAAACCACCTCATATTAAAATTGGAGTCAGATATGAGCTAAGTTTAATATAAATCAACATTGTGCACTGAAAAGACCGAACAGGCATTAAACCTTCATCCACCAGTGGACACCGGCATTGAGCCAACTGGGTGGACCTTACAGGTGTGAACATATCATGGCCAGAAGTAAATGTAGATTTACAGAAAATAATATAACATGTATAAAAATTAATAAGAGATATTACAAACAATCGCTCCGCTTGTGTCACAGCAGCTCAAAACATGGTAAATACAATGGTTGCACTTGCAACGAAGAGACCAACACTTACACAAGTCACACCAATAGACTGTATAAACAGAGGTCACACCGTATCTGTATATATTTTAGCTGTTGTGAGGCAAGCACATCGATCGCTCACATTATTTACCTTCTCATGTGTCGTGGCTGTTGAAGGCCATGTTTAATACATGGGAGCACAAGTGTCTTCCTCTGCTTGTAAACTCCTAAACGAGTACCAGTGATCAGTTCATGAGATTGGCCAGAATGGCGAGTACTGATTGAGTCATTAAATGTGATTATTGGCCGATACCGATCTTCGGCCGATCAATCAGAGCATCTCTATTTGCTATTATTAGCTTAGTGTTTGGCGTAAAAAGTTATTTTGGGTTTTATTTTATAAACTATCCATGACATAGCTTTAAAATTCCAAACAAGAAAAATCCCATTTATTTGCAGAACAGATGTTTAATAGCATTACCATGTTTTCTGTAGATAATTAAATGGGTTGTTTTAATCCCTTTAATATATTAGCTTAGTCACTGTACTTCATAATAACTTGAAGAGCCCCTATTATGGGTTTTTGACAATGACCTTCCATGCAGCGTGTAAGTGAAGTGAAATATCCAGCTAAGGTTTAAATTTGAAAGTGCAACATGTTTAAATCTATTGATTCATTAATAAAAGAGTCGACTCAGAGTGGTTCGAATGAATCGCCGCTGTAACAGATCTTCCGCCCATTTGTTGCATGCGCAGACCCGGGAAAACTGAAACCCCCAGCCCCACCCACAAACACAGTAGAAAGAAAAAGAGTAAGACAAATACTGTAGCAGATCCCGGTTGAATCGTGTCAGGAAGACGCTGTGCTCTGAAGTGTGAGGAAAAGTTAGTGCTATTTTCCCTACCCAAAAATAAGGCTGTGAAGAGTCAGGTTGAAGTTTACTTTTGCCAATATACTTTGGCATTAAAGCCCCAGCCTTGTGCTGCGATCCTGTCATTTTTCTGACGAGTGCTTCAGCAATCTACACGCTTACAACAGGGGATTCATTGGCCGTTTGTTAAAGGAAGAATCAGACTATTGATGTATGGGACTTTATCAGTGCTTGACAGGAACTTTATCAGTACACAGCTCATGGATCAGTTTCTTCCTCCATTTCACAAGTTTAAGTAACTTAAGCGCAATTAAAAGCTAGCTTGCAAATTTTGTATTTAATTGTTTTTTTGTTACTTGTAATCGCTTGTACTGTATCTGGTTAACTCTTTATATTTTCATATTGCGTCTAAAGCCACGCTGAAAACACGACCCATGCCGCTTTGTTTACAGTTTTAAATGTGTTTGTAAGCTCACGATGCACTGCCATTTGTCAATGCTATGGCCACCGTCAGCTGTTCCTTCACACATGCGGCGGTCAAGTTTCAAAAAAGTTCAGCTTTTGCTGCGGCGTGGATTAATGCTGAATGTGTGTCATGGTTAAGAATAGAGCAATATGCTGGGGTTTAACTGCATTTCTTTAATGCACATGCACTGGGCTCACACATACACTCTGCACTCTGACTACTTCAAAATTGTTGATAAGTCATGGTGGGTGTTTCTCTCTGTCTCAAACTAAACGCAGTTAACCAATCACAACAAAGTGGGTCATTGGCCCAATCAGCACAGATTAGCATCACGCTAATGAAGGGTTTGGAAAAAATGAGTCGCTGAACAGGCGACGCAGTGGCGCAGTGGGTAGCACGTTCGCCTCACAGCAAGAAGGTCGCTGGGTTGCTGGTTCGAACCTCGGCTCAGTTGGTGTTTCTGTGTGGAGTTTGCATGTTCTCCCTGCGTTCATGTGGGTTTCCTCCGGGTGCTCCGGTTTCCCCCACAGTCCAAAGACATGCAGTACAGGTGAATTAGATAGGCTAAATTGTCTGTAGTGTGTGTGTGTGTGTGAATGACTGTGTGTGGATGTTTCCCAGAGATGGGTTGCGGCTGGAAGGGCATCCGCTGCGTAAAAACTTGCTGGATTAGTTGGTGGTTCATTCTGCTGTCCGCTAAGCCGACAAGAAAATGAATGAATGAGTCGCTGAACAAATCATATAAGAGTCGCTGGGATAATTAGGTAAAATTAATGCATATTGTAAGACAATGTAAGTGTTTTTTTGTTTTTTTTACCTTGCATGCATATCACCCTGTTATTGGAGACCCCCAAAACCTTTTTTAATGCACAATAGGGGTTCTTTAAATAATCTGGGTAACTGATGGACCTGTAATGGTGTCAGCGTTAATCATTTACCTGAATCTTCTGGTTCGTCCATGTCCATTTTCCCACTGTAATTCTCATTCTGATCAAATTCGGTTTCATTTGAGAGGTCCTCGACTTTAGTGATCACTAGCTCTTCTGAACACTGTGCATTTTCTTCTGTGTTGATGTCTTTGTCCTCATTATCTGAATCCGTGGCATCCTCTGGCGATCCCGGTGCACTTCTTTTAGATCCTCTATCCTGGCTTAATGGATTTCTTTTTTCTGGTCTGCTTCTCCGACACACATGTGAATGTCCTTTGGAAAGCTCATGGTTCAAAAAGCCACCAGCTGCAGATGTAGAGCCCAGCGGTGAATGTGGGAAATTGTAGAAGAATAAACATATTTAGAACACAAGTTAAATGCATTTTAAAATTAAAAGTATACACAATATTTGAAGCAATAGTTCACCCAAAAATGTTAATTCTGCCATCATATACTCAACGTCCACTTGTGCAAAACCTATTAGTTTCTTTCTTCTGTTAAAGACACCCACTGAGACAATATCAGACAGAGGTTCAGCAGCCTTTGACTACATTTATTCTCTTTAAAGGGCAAATAATTAGCTAACATGATGCTTAGATTTGCATTAGACAAATACATATTTAAAATTTATTATTTTTAATTTATTCAGTTTAAATTTATTCAATTTTATTTTCAGTGTAAAATTATTACTTGTGTTAAAATGCCAAAAACTTTCAGTTATTTTTAAGTTCAAACAGAAATTAACTGTTGTTTGTTTTTTTATTATAACTTTGTGCATTATTTGGTCACTGAGCAGCAATAAAAACACATTAAAATAAGGAGCTTCCGTATGATTTTATGAACTAGTCATGTTTTGAAGTGAATGAATGTATATTAATCATGATAACCGTGATTATTCCTCAGACTATAATCGTGCAACCAAAATGAATAATTGTTACATTCCTAATAAGTCGGTAATTAAGCATACTTCACCTTTAACAATATTTATTAGAGAAATTACAAAGTTGTGTGCCCTTTCAATCAGAATGGTGGCTAAATTTAGAGGACAAACTCACTGAAATAATAAGATCTTACTTGCCTTCTTTATTAGCAACAAAATCCATGTTGACGTTTTCATTGAACGGTTCTTCCATGTGTAGTCCAATCTTTGAAGGATCATCCTGACAAAAAAAAAAAAAAAAAAAAAGAATACAGTTACAAAAGCAACATGACAGTAAAACTGCACAAAAACACTCCTTTCCAGCCTAAACTATCCGCTTGTTAAAGGGCACTTATGATGAAAATCACCTTTTGTAAGCTGTTTGGACAGAATGTACAGTGTACAGGTATAGGTACAGTGCAAGGGTCACCAATCTTGTTCCTGGAGGTCCGGTGCCCTGTAGTGTTTAGCTCCAACTTGCCTCAACACATCTGCCAGGGTGTTTCAAGTATACCTAGTAAGAGCTTGATTAGCTTGTTCAGGTTTGTTTGATTAGGGTTGAAGCTAAACTCTGCAAGACAACAGCCCTCCAGGAACAAGTTTGGTGAACCCTGGTATAGTGTCCACAGTCATATTAGGATGATAGAAACAATAAGTGACTTTTAAAAAATTCCTGGTGTTGAAATAGGATTGAAATCCCTCCCATTTTAAGGTGCACCATAACATGACGTACGAGTGCGGCTTCCCCGGCCACCGAATTGAATGACAGACACGTATTAACATGTCTCCATAGTAATGCGTTTAATCATATAAACAAGACAGGATGTGCGCAAAGCAATTGGGATCAAAAGATCTGTTCAGCTCTCGGTGATCATCAATCATCATCAAATGTGATCAAGAACAAGTTTAAAACGTATTTAAAACAGTGCATGTTTGTAAAAAATACAGTAAAAATTGCTGTAATTGATCACCACAGCGGCATAGTGTCAGTACAAATATAAAAGAAGACACTTCAATCCTGGTTTGTGGACTTTAATCAGGTTTATTTTGTACATTAACATAACGGATGTCCATACAACAGTGGATATTAACATGTATCCTGCCACATTCTCTGTGCAAAAACGGTGCAAAGCTAAACGTGTGTGACTTATCCTTGCAGAAAGGCTTGAATTAACTCCACATCAATTATAACAAATAACAGCTGATGAAGTTCTTACTGTAGTAAGGAATATCTGCTTTATTCTTGTCTGTCACTGTGCTGTTTATCTACATGAAGGCTACGGCTCTGACAAGCACATGGGAACGATGGGTGGGAAGAACCAGCTTTAAAAGCACAGGCAACAAAAACAATCTACAATGCCATTACAGCTCAAGATTTAAAAAGGTATGATAAATAATCTAATGGGTGTTATGAGCTGAAACTTCACAAAAACATTCTGGAGACACTAAATATTTATATTAAATCTTGTAAAGGGTTAAATCAGGTGCCCTTTAAGTCGTGACATGGAATACCATTTTTGGGTGCAAGCCGCTAGTCAGTTGAATTGAGAAAATATTAGTTTATGACCCCTTTTTAGTCATATCACACATTAAAGTGATTTTTTTTTTAGAAAATCGTGGAGTACACAACTGTTTCTGGACTTGCAGCATCTTAGACATCAATAGTTTTAACTATTTATAAAAATGTAGCACTTTCTGGCTATCTGATATTAGGCATAGATATATATTGCGATCGTGATTTAAATTGTTCCATTTATTGAGCCTCCCCTTACAGATCGATAGAGCGATTAGACCCGGAAGCTTCTTCGCGTGATGTCAGACTTAACAAGCGGATGAGAGGATTTACCATTTGGTAGTACCACGTGGGAGAAAGAGCATAATAGGTGCCAAATACAGATGGAGGTGTGGTTGGTTCAGTAGATGGATTTGTAACGGTTAAAATGAGTCTGGACTGAAGACGTTCACCAGGGCAGGATCTGGGGTTCTTTTGCCTTCCTACAGTTGACTGAATATCATCATCATCATCAAAATATGCCTCTTCATCTTCAAAATCAAAGCTGTCATCAATTGATTGGCTTTCTGGATCAATCTCAGTCTCCTGAAACAGAAGCAAATGAACAGTTTTAAAGGAGTTTAGCCAAACATGAAAATTCTGTCATGACATCCACATTCGTATGCAGTTTTAAACTGGTCTGCTTTAATTTCCACTGAATATATATATATATATATATATATATATATATATATATATATATATAAATAATATATATATATATATATATAAAACTGTTTGCAGTGACAACGGATGCTGTCAAACACCAAATGTGACTGAACAAAGCACTATAAATTCACACTCTTTGTTTTTGTTTACTCCATGTGAGAGGTTTTGAGAGCCGAGATGTATCAGACATATCAAGGTAAGTGTGCAAATGTCACTTACACATTCACACACTTTGGGTGTACTCACACTATGCACAGTTGCCTTACACCGTGCCGAAGCACGCTTGCCCCTGAAGGCCTGCACTCACATTGCATCCGCACCCGAGCCCGAGTGGAGTCACGTGGCCCCGCTCTGTTTATTCTTCTGCATCAAGACCCCTCGCCGTGGCTGACACCTCTCAAAAAGCTAAGCTACCTCAGAATGAGGAGGTTTGAGCTACTTCTACATTAAGGTAGAGTTAACCCACGAAGAAAGCGTGCGTTTAAAATTTTATTTACAGGATATACAAGTCCTATTTTATTTAGAAGGTATACTGCTCACTTTCTATTTTTAATATGAAAAACACTGAAAATATTATCTTTTCAAAAGTGCAAATTGTTTATTTTCACTTTTATATATATATATATATATATATATATATATATATATATATATATATATATATATATATATATAAAAAGAAAAAGTGATTGTTGGTGTTAGGTTACGCGTGTTTTTTTATTTTCATTTGTTCAACGCTGACGTTTAATAAATAATCATGGATAGTTGATAGTGTGTGCTTCCTTCAATTATTTTAAAAGTAATGCACCCTCACTTAATAATCTCTCATTTGCAATATGTGAGCATATTTACTGAGCAAAACATGCCAGTGGACTATGATGGAAAAAAATAAATAAAACAATCGGTCATTAATCGTAATCAAGTTAAATTTTTCAATTATTTTGGATTTAGATTTTAGGCCAAATCGCCCAGCCCTATTCTAAAATATCAACCTCTACCAAATGGTAGATATGTCTGTTTATGGTAAAAGTGCCAGAATTACTACATCTACTATGAAAAAACTGGATATATTTAGACCGATTCATTTAAAAAAATTAAATAGAAGTTAATAAAAAATATAAATTAAATAATTTTGAATACTAAATCATCTTTATTAAGTATGCTATAAAATATGTCAGATTCTCATGTAACATTTTTCTTTCTTTTTTTTTTTTAACAATAAAACCAAAATCAAGTGTAGTAATGCAACAGGATTGTTTGGTTGATTTTTTGTAAACCAACAATGTTGTCTCTAAACCATTATTTAAAACAGTCAAAATATGGTCAACCATTTGGTAGAGCAGGCAATTAAAGGGTTAAACAGTAATCTAACAAACAAATCATAGCATACGAGTTTATTTATTTTTTTTTTCGTCGTATCCAGTCGTTAAAACCCACCTCATTCGCATCGAGTTCAATGCAAACCTCGTTCGGCTCAAACCCCTGCACAGGAACAGGCACAGCGGACGATTTCAATAGGCGTCTTATCTGTCCCTCGTCTGGCTTGTAATCCTCAGGAGTGAAATGTTCACTGCACAACCTGGAACCGTCGATTTTTTTCCACGGTGTGTTTACATCCCAGCGAATAGCGAGCAGCCACTGCGTCAAGCGCTCCGGGTCGTTTAGAGGAAATCTGTGAAATGTTAGTTTCTCATCTCCTGTTGATGAGGACGCGCGCAATCTCACTACTTTATTTAAATTAAAGCATCCCGGATAGACGCACGAACGCACCATTCTAAGACAAGAGACAACTCACTACTGTTTACAGTTTCTTCCTCGGAGTTGAAAGGGCGAATGGTAAACCAACTCGAAAGTGCGTCTTCCGCCATCTATAGAACTGGCGTGTAGGGTAAGAAAATACACACACACCGGCCACTTTATTAGGTACACCTGTCCGACTGCCAGTTAACACAAAATTTCTCATCAGCAGCAACACAATGCATTTAGGCTACATGGTTAAGACGCATTAGAATGGGTGACTTAAGTGACTTTGAACGTGGCATGGTTGTTGGTACAAGACAGGCTGGTCTGAGTATTTCAGAAACTGCTGATCTACTGGGATTTTCACGCACAACCATCTCTAAGATTCACAGAGAATGGTGTGAAAAAGAAAAGATCCAGCAAGCGGCCGTTCTGTGGGCGCAAATGCCTTATTGGTGCCAGAGATCAGAGGAGAATGGACAGACTGGTTTCAGCTGATAAAAAGGCAACAGTAACTCAAATAACCACTCGCTACAACTGAGGTATGCAGAAGAGCATCTCTGAACAAACAACACGTCCAACCTTGAGGCAGCTGGGCTACAGCAGCAGAAGACCACACCGGGTGCCACTCCTGTCAGCTAAAAACAGGAAACTGAGGCTACAATTCGGATAGGCTCACCAAAACTGGACAATAGAAGATTGGAAAATTGTTGCCTGGTCTGATCAGTCTCGATTTCACATTCAGATGGTACGGTCAGAAAGTGGTGGTATAATGGTGTGGGAAATATTTTCTTGGCACACTTTGGGCTCACTAGTACCAATTGAGCATCGTGTCAACACCACAGCCTACCTGAGTATTGTTGCTGACCATGTCCACCTCTTTATGACCACAGTGTACCCATCTTCTGATGGCTACTTCCAGCAGGATAACACACCATGTGACAAAGCATGAATCCTCTCAGAATGGTTTCTTGAACATAACAAGCAGTTCACTGTACTTAAATGGCCTCCACAGTCACCAGATCTCAATCCAATAGAGCACCTTTGGGATGTGGTGGAAGGGGAGATTTGCATCATGGATGTGCAGCCGACAAATCTGCAGCAACTGCTTGATGCTAACATGTCAAAATTTCCGAGGAATATTTCCAGTAAAGGCAAAAGTGGGTCCAACACAGTAGTAATATATATATATATATATATATATATACATACATACATACATACATACATACATACATACACACACACACACACACGTATAGTAATCTCTAACTAACCTAACTCGAGGAACGCCTGCTAAATAAGCAGATTAATTTATTTGACAAAGTGTAAAAATAACAAAACGCAGCTAGAGTATTTTACACACACAGGACATTGCATTTAAAGATACTGCTGTATTAATTGCAGTATGAAAGTGTTCAATGCCCATACTTGTGAGTTTTTTTTAACAATGTCAACCATCTGAAACATCAAAAAGCTAATGCGCCCTTATGCTCTGTCTTCAATTAATAATGTTCAATGTCGGGTAAAAAGTAATATATATTTCAAATTTAATCCTATATTACTCTTAAAAAATGCAAAAATAACACCACATTCTTCCACACTACTTTCCAATGTGGACTTAAGATTTTACTTTCCCCCAACACTGGTCTTGCTTTCTTCTGTAACTAACCTTTATATATATATATATATATATTTTTTTTTTGTGCTTTGTCAGTTTTTCCTTGTTCCCCATTATTATGCATGTTGTTCAAAAGTATAAAAACACCCCTAACTTACTAATAACAATACTATAAAATAATCTGGCATAGCTAAACCAGCGCACACACACACCTCCGTTTGTTGTTGGGTTTTAGTTTTCGTCGAGTTGGTCCTGCCAGATCGTCTGGTGTAAAATGTTCACTGCACACCCTCAGCGCCCGGACTGATCTTATATCCAGTTTAAGAGAGCGCAGCCACCGCTTCAGCTGCTAGATGGAGTCGTATTGCTTTTTCTTTGTTAGAACCAGGAAAAAAAAAATCGCACACGCGGACCATTTCAGAAAACAAATCTATTAAACGGAACGTAAAGCCGCCATGTTTAGACGGGCAGAAGCGAAAACACGTTCGAAAGGAGATGTCAAGATATCTACTTAAAATGCAATGAATTTGTCTTTTTATGAGCTTTGAGGTGTGTCAAATGGGAGTTCGCTTTGACAGAAGCAGTCATCCACTTTTATATGGAAAAAAATCCTTCTAGCGGATGTTTACAAAACAAAATTTGATGCATTTGCCCCACCTAGTGGACTGGGGTCGTAATGCAGGACCACTTTTTTTGGAAATAGGCTTATTTTACAACTGCCCCGGAGTTAAACAGTAGAGCTTTACAATTTTGAATAATTTCAACTGATATATGGGTCAGGCGGAAGCATTTTCATGTTAGCTTAGCATAGATCATTGAATCGAATTAGACCAGGGGTGCCCAAACTCGGCCCAGCAGGGTGTCTGGCTTATTTTAGTACTGACCGCAATTAAAAACACCTGAACCAGCTAATCAAGCTCTTTCTAGGTATATTAAAACTTCCAGGCAGGTGTCTTGAAGGAAGTTGGAGCTAAATTATGCAGGACACCGGCCCTCCAGGACCAAGTTTGGACACCCCTGAATTAGACCATTAGCATCTCGCTCAAAAGACCAAGGAGTTTCTATAATATTCCTATTTAAAGGTCCCGTGAAGTGCTTTGAAACATGCATTTTTATTTGATGTTTGACGTAATCAACCAAAACACGATAACAGGGTGGGACACATTGTAGCTCCTTCCCTTAAAAAACATCCAATAGTGTTTTGCTAACACAGCTCTGTCAGCGAGAGTGTTTGAGCTCAAGTGCATCAAATGAAAAGCCAATGAGAAGTATCTTGAAGGGAGCAGGGTATGTCAGATACTAGAGAGCATTGGATTGGTTATGATGTGATGAGGAAACAGTGAGGTGACATGACTAAAACAGTTTGTCGAAAGTGACAAACTACAAGTTTGACATGTTTATATCGGTTTTATATTTTCTAAATGTGAATTGTCACTGTTTTGGGGCACACTAGCTTATAGATATCATAAAAACAAATAACTTTAACATTTAAAAAACTTCATTTTTAATTTATTGGACCTTTAAAGCTTGAAAATGCAAGAAACTATGCACTACTTCCCCAGAACTCTGCAACAGAACTAATACATACTCCATTAACCAACTTACCCTCAGTGATGACAGTTCACGAGTTACATTCGACAACAGCGGTGCTTTATTAATCTGCTCTTTCAAGGTAACTAAAAATATGGTTACACTTACAGTCATGGGTGATGATCCACTTGGTCCTGCCTGCATTCTGAAGATTGTAGGGATGGCAGTATCCTTTAGACGCCGTCCTGTGGGACTGTCCATGTTTACCCAGTAATAGTCATCTGGTTGAAAATGCTCCGAGCAAACTCGCCATTTCTTGATCGTTTCTAACGGTGTTTTGTGATCGATGTTCAGAGTAGCCAGCCATTGATATTTTAGCATGTCGTTTTTCGTTGGAATTCTATGAAACATGACGGTGGAGTACACCTTCGACTTATTATCACAGCCCTTTACTACGCACATAACCATGGCTACACTTGTATATTTAGCCAATAACCAATTTGTCGGCTTTAACTCTGCACTAACTTAGTGCAGGTCACATTGGAAGGTAGCTGGGGAGTATTTTCAGGTGCTGCGCAAAATAATTGCACCTGCTGTAGCCATGGCACTGCAGCAAAGTTCCTTAATTATTACGCCGGAAGGAGTACAGTTCCTAATCATATGAGCCAAGAAAATAGTAACTTTTCATTAAATTTCGGTCTTCGTACAAAAAGATTTGAGCTTTAAATAGGAAAAATATTTGAGCGAGATGCTAATGGTCTAATCTGTTCCAATGATTTATGCTAAGCTAAGCTAAAGTGCTACTGTCAGACCTGGAGGTCGGCTGAATGGATTCAAAATTGGCAAAACTCAATCATTTAACTCTATAGATGTCGTCAAATGAGCTTATTATATTTATTTTTACTTTCCTAAAGTGTTGTGTTCCTTTGACAACGAAAGTGATTTAATAAATATAACCAAACGACTGAAGGATCGCTTATGTACTTAAATGATGCTTTTAATAGTTTTAAACTGCACGTAGAAATGTTAATAAGGGTTATAATTAACAAATTTTACTCTGATATGAATTAATCGAGCAAAAAAACTTGCATTAGAAGTTACTTGAATATCAGAAGTTACCTGCTTCGGCTGAAACATCCCCGCAGGCTTACAAACAGCTGACCGTTATACGGGCTATCCCGGATTTTGCTTATTATATTCGAAGCTGAATTATTACCTGCACATCAAGCGTTTAAGATATCTTTGCTTATTTATATTAACATCTCAGCAAATAGCGATCAGCCATAGCGTCGGCAGCTCGGGATCATTAACGGGGAACGTGTGAAATTCTACAGGCGCAAATCCAAGTTCAAAGCCTCGCACGTAATCTTTGAGGTTTAGCTTTGCTGGAGCATTCCGGAGATACACACCGGAATAAAACGCCGTTTCATAACTAATAAATAATGTGTGGATGGCTAAAACACTTATTCAGGTGGGTTTTGCTTTGTTGTTATCCAGCCCTCCCTCGCTAACTTCTTCTTCTGTTAGATTTTTTTTTTAAATGGTGAACGCAATCCCGCCACCCACTGATCAGGAGAGCTCTTCTCAATACAGTCAAACGGGTTTGCCTCAAGTAACTAGCCGTCACGTATGATGTTTCAACATTAAAAATACAACCGTTTTAATAAGTTAAAACTGTCCCCTTCACTATAAAAGCATTTTACATCATGCGTCAAACATCGAGTCAGGCATGAAGTGGTCTAAAAAATACATTCGGCAAGCCACTTAAAGTCAGTGGTTTGAGTTTGTAGTTTTAAATTTAGAAATATTTAGGTTGCAAAAACAAAATCCGCTTTATGAGATGTGCTAACCCATGTACAGATCATATACACTGAGGATTAGTGAATAAATTATGGGTAAATGATGCAATTCCAGAAGGTGAGGTCTTGCTTTTAAAAAACTATGTTTCAGAAGAGATTTACATCCTTGTGAAAACATTTTCAATGAAGATATTGATGTATTAAAAAAATATGGTTATAAAGAATGCTCTCCGTATGATGGCTCTACCTACAGCAAGACACTTTTGGCTTTCATTATTTGCTAATATTTCTTAGACTAAAGCTTGGAAGTTGACAGATAAGTTTTGCTTAAATAACAAGACTAAAGAAGTGTCGTACAAAATACTCCATAGAATTTATCCTGCTAAACATGTTTTGGAAAGATTTGTGTGTATTTTTTATTTAGTGCCATGTCAGCAACCAAGGCTATCTTCATGGCAGGAATCTTTCAACAATAAATATACAATTTAAAAATCAACAAACAAAATAAAACATAAATGAAATAAGATTTTTTGATTTAATACATGATAAAAATTCTAAAATCTTTTCTGGTTCCACTTTGTCAAAAATGTCCTTAAAAGAGTTAATTTCATAAAAAGTCCTTCTGGAATCAGTAAAAGCAGGACAGTCCAGTAAAATATGTTTTACAGTAATAGGAGTTTTGCAGCACAAACACTGAGTGGGGTTTTCACCTTGGAGCAAAAAACCATGTGTAATTCTCATATGCCCAATACGACATCTGGTAAAAACTACTTGATCAAATCGATTCTTAAAATGTCTTAAAATTCTGTGTGAAACTTCAGGTTGGATTTTTTTGGAAAGATTTAAACTCAATATTTCATATATGTGTGAATTTTGTTGTCAATAAAAAGAAACAATTTTGCATCTTTCGTTTCATTGTATTTAGAATATTTTGCAAAGATTTGGAATTGTTTATTAACAAAAAAAAATGGAGTATAAGATAGAAATTGGTTTATTTGATGTACTGTTTTATTCTGATAATGAGAACTTGAACTGTTAAGGACAATATATATTTAATTTGTTTATGTTGTAAGGAAAATACCATATACATAAGAAAAAGTGGACTCAATGTAAACCAAACTGCCCATTTTGTGAATGACTTTAAAGTATATGTAAATCTTTTAAAACAATTTACAAAACAAAAAAGCACTGAAAACATGTAATGCTCTGAAAACATGTAATTTCATGTAAATGTAATTTTACTATATATATATATATTTTTTTTTTTTTTTTTTTTTTTTTTTTTTTTTAACAATATGTGAAATGTAATACCTCTCGTACTTGTGGCATTGAGTTGAAAAAAATAATGGGGAAAAAATAAAAATTTTTTTGCAAAATATTCCTTTAAAGATACACTTCAACAAAAATCAAAATGAATTCACCGTTAACTCACCCTCAAGTGTTTTCAAACCTTTGAGTATCTTTCCTCTGCTGAACATTTAAAATTATACTTTGAAGAAAGCTGAAAACCTGTAATGATGATTGACATTAACAGTAGGAAAATATAATAGTATTGGAGTCAATGGTTACAGGTTTCCAGCATTCTTCAAAGTATCTTCCTTTGTGTCCAAGAGAAAAAAGAATTCAAACAAGCTGAGTAAATTATGACAGAATATTCAGTTTTGGGTAAACTGGAACAGATCATCTTGCCAATAATACGAATTTTATGCTAATTCGAGCCAATTTTCAGTGTAATCTTTTCTATCCCTATACAAAATGTCTTGTCCTGAGAATATTACACCAATCATATCCTCCGTCCACTTGACAGCAACCATCTCTGTTCTGTAAACCCCTACTTGATAAGAAACTCATCAATCAACTTGATGAACAAGTAGAAATACCGCACAAACACAAATACTGTTTCATCATCTTTAAATCTGTCAGTTACAATTGTGAGCACTAAGCGAGTAACCATAACATTGTTATGTCATTAATAATTTCTTGCTAAAGGACGACACAATGGCTCAGTGGTTAGCACTGTCACCCCACAGCAAGAAGGTTGCTGGTCCCAACTGGGTCACTTGGCATTTCTGAGTTTGCATGTTCTCGACATGTTTGCGTGGGTTTCCTCTGTGTACTCCAGTTTACTGTATAGGTCAGGGATGTCCAAACTTGACCCTGGAGGGCCAGTGTCCTGCTGAGTCAACACGCCTGCAAGGAAGTTTATAGTATGTCTAGTAAGCTTGATTAGCTGGTTCAGGTGTGTTTGATTAGGGTTGGAGCTAAACTCTCTAGGACACTGGCCCTCCAGGACCGAGTTTGGACACCCCTGGTATAGGTAAATCGAATAGCAAAATTGGCTGTAGTGTATGTGTGTGAATGAGTGCGTATAGAGCAGTGGTGCTCAACCCTGTTCCTGGAGATCGACCTTCCTGCAAAGTTCAGCTCCAACTCTGATCAAACACACCTGAACCAATTAATTAGGACCTGAACAGCACTTGATAATTACAGGTAGGTGAGTTTGATGATTGCAACTGATATCTGCAGGAAGGTCGATCTCCATCCAGGAACAAGGTTAGTGACACCTGGTATAGAGGATTCCCAGTACTGGGTTGCAGCTGGAAAGGCATCCGCTGCGTAAAACATATGCTGGATGAGTTGGTGGTTCATTCCACTGTGGCGATCACAGATGAATAAAGGGACTAAGCTGAAATAAATCGATGAATTGCTTGATAATTAAAATCTATTAATGGTAAAGGGAATTATTTTAAAGTGGAAAATAACCCTCGAGTAGAAACCTATATGTTGAACTCAAAAGACATTACTTTAAACAAAGCTGAAACCGGTAACCATTAACATATATAGTAGGAAAATACAAAAAATCTTTTGTATTAAACAGAAGAAAGCCAGTCAAGTCAAACAGGTTTAGACCAAGTGAAGGGTGAATAAACGATGACAGACTTTTCAGGGTGAACTAAGGTATACCTTTAAATAGTGCTTGCTTGCCAAGTCATTCTTTATATGCTAAATAACACATATCTGTGGTGTTTGGAATTTAATGTTTCTTCATAGTGTAAAATAGGCACAAATACGCCATATAAATACATTTTGCCTATATGATTTAGCGGCTCGCACCTTTACTTCCCGTGATCTACACAACATAAATAGGGAGATCTACACATTCAGTGGTAACGTTACATTAACACTGCGACGCATGCTTTTGTTTACATTAGACTGCGAGCAGAAAGGCGCGCATACTGCTAGTGCTAACTGTTCAATACACAAGTGAAAGCTTGGATATCCTAAATACACAAGAAACATGTTACTGACAGAAATAGTTTTGGAGTAAATTTGACTTACCACAAATTGTTCCGATAAATTCATCGGCACAGCCCATGACTTCAGTTGAACTATACTTCCTTTGGTGTCTTTAAAATCAAAGGGGGAGAAGTGATCACTACAGATTCTCCTCGTCTCAAGTACACTTAATGGAGTGTTGATATCCAGCCCAAGTGCGAGTAACCATAACTTCAGCCGCTCAGGGTCAGACGTCGGAAATTTGTGGAATGTTAATTTACCAGGGTGGAATTTTGAGTCCGAGCGTAACCTTAATGTTTTATAGCGATTGTCGCATCCAGGACAAGCACAGGTAATGACCATTTTGGCAAGCACACGCTCCTCCTAGCTGACTTGATAGTATCCATCTGCAGGCCAGCAGTTTCAGAGCCTAGCTTTTTGAACCGCGGCCGCAGAACAGGAAGTGAAGAGGCGGGGCTAATTAAGCATGGCGGCAGAGCTGCAGACCAAAAGATGCGAGAGGGCTTGTCAACGAAAACACACAAGACATTTCTACGAAACATCAATTTACGTGTTCCCTCACGGTTATTTTTTAGTTATTTGTTTTTTTTTAAAGATATAACAATATATGCTGGCAATGTTTACATATATTGCTGTCAATTGTTTTAATTACTTACAAAATTCATACAATTACTTTTTGACTGTAACTTGACTTATTCCTATGAAATATTCAACTCGTTGCTTGTTTACATTTTTTACGTTTACATTTTATTTTTTAGCATATTTTAAAAGACTAGCTACATGCAAAATAGTTTGTGCAAAATGCATGTATTACAAGGTTTCTGCAGGTCTCAACCAGTTAAAACCTTTTTAAGACCATTATGAATGAAATTTTAGACTTTTACAGGGCTAAATGCTAAGGATTTTAATTTTGAATATCCAAGTTGGAAAAGATTTTCAGCTGCCCTATCAAAAATGTGTTAGAATTTAATCCATTTAATAGTACAATAATAACAATTTTAAAAATAAAAAAAATCTAGGCAAGGTGAGTATCAGCAGTAAATAAACTTACAAAAATAACTTTTAAACAAATGTTATATTTCAATAAAAAGTTTGCTGCGATTTGTTGCTATTTTTTAGAACAGCACAACAGTAATTTTCACGATTTTTGCCATGTTGTTTAAATAGCAAATCCATTTGCGCTACTTTGTGAACGGTTCCTGTCTATAAAGGTGTGCATTGTTGGTGCATTGCTATTTTGAAGAACTGAAATAGACTGTGCTATTGACCATCTAAAAGCAGGTCTAAAGTCCAGTGCAGAGCATGTTAGTTTTGCGCCTATGCAGGTCCAAACACTTACACATTGCGTACTACACACAGAATGTACAGCAATGCACAAACATCTTTATGAATGAAAAAAATTACAGAATTAAAATGTAACAAATTATTATTTTTCTATACAAGTATAAAACCCCCTACCTCCATGCCTTCACCTCGGAGTGCTTTTTTTCAGTTTATTCATGACAATCTGCTTTTGTATAATGTTTTTATTATTATTATTATTATTAGCAGTTTTAGTTATTAGATGCATATTTAAATTTGTTTTAATAAAAACAAGTTTAGATTTGTTCACCTGTCGGGTTTTGGAGACGTATGCATCACCATAAGGGGCATAATAACCGGTCTTGTGTTTGGATATATGGTTTTTTGACCAGACTTCATTATTACTGTTCATTTATTCATTTGCTTAAAATTAGAACTGAATTTAAAAAGAGTTGTAAAACTCTTTGCACTCAACAAATGAAATTAAACATGTTAGGCTAATGGATGTCTTCAATGGAGTGCGTACAACCCGTTCCTTCATCCACTAAAGTAAAGGAGTAAATAGTAAAAGTAATAAGAAAGTAAAAAGGCTGAATGGAGGAGGCCTGTTCTTTATCCTCGCGCTGCAGATGCTTTGTTTGATTGTTTTCGCACAAGTGAAACACTCAGTTTTTCCATTTACAAAGTTCGTTATGTAAATATCAAATGCGCCATGGTGTGACGCAACTGACTCTTAAAGGGAATGGGAGATGAGACTCTGATTGGTTTAATGCACGTGATGCTCAAAACACACCCCTAACTTATTAGGAGAATAAGCACAACCTGGTTAGACCATGCGCCAGGGAACAGAGCATATTTTTCCATCCTTAAAATAGCAAAAATGGATTCAGACACACCCTTAATGCTTTTGCACCTGCACTTTAAGCCTCATTCACACTATCAGCAACTCACAGTGGCAAAGTGACAAGCGACCATTCATTTCAACAGAGAGTGAGTGACTTCCGGCCACCTCCGTCTATGCGAGCAACAGTGGCTGCTAGTGTGAATGAGGCATTAGACCTGGTGTCAGATTGTTAAAATAGAACCTAATATCTAAAACAAAATGAACGACTCAAAGATTAGAGTTGTACTGTAATTTTTTTATCCAAAGGAAGAAATCATGATAAGCGGTAATGTTGCAAATAAAAAACAAAAACATAATCTCAATCACAAAGGGCAGATAACCAAGTCACGGTTATTAATACCTGCTGTAGATGCTGTCAATCTCTTTAGTGTTTCAATATAATACAAAGAATCTTCAGCGATCCCATTAAAGTTCCCTTGTGTGTAATCTGGCAATGCATTAAACTCAGCTCTGTCCTTTTTAGAGCAACCAAATGCACTTTTTGAAATGTTTTCGGTGACCCCAGCATATCATTATACTTCAATTATGGAAACTGCACTGACAAAGCACTTTCCAAGGATCTCCAAAAAGCCAGTTCACTGGTGTGTCTAGGTTTTGTCAGTGAAGAACCAAAGAGAAACCTTTTCTCCAAGACCGTTTTCAGCATCACGGACTGAAGTCGGAGTCGCTGTCTGATTCGTTGTCAGCGGGTGTTTTTTCTGTGTCCAGATGGAGCTCTCTGACTGTGAGGATGCGGGTTAACATGCTGTTTAAAGCCTCATCGCTCAGAGCGCTGATGGAGAACCACATGGGGCTGTTGGGCACGCAGGAGCGCTCGGGGCTCAGGTAGAAATCAGTCGTGCGCTGTCTCACACTCGGTGAGCTGAAGGAAAAACAAGACAGTATATTTAAAATTGACAATGACAAAGATCAAACCTGGGAGTCCTTTTGACAGCTTTTAATTCATTGTAATAGCTTTTATTTCTGAGCTTGTTAGGGCCTGATAATATCATATTGTTTTTCTGATCAGATAGCAATCCCATCATGAAATGGGCAGAACAAGCATTCGAGATGGACATATATTAGTGGTGGGCCGTTATCGGCGTTAACGTGCTGCGTTAACGCGAGACTCTTATCAGGCGATTAAAAAAAAAAAATACAGCTGTTAATCTATTCTCAAAGTTAAGTTGGGAGTTGGGTCTATTCTAGCTGTGATGACTTTCACCTTGATATTTTAGCGTAGATGTGTACCTGGCCGAATTGCACTGTAGGTCAAGGAGTCTTCAAACCTGTGTGTATTCCTACTGTAAAAACTACCACATAAAGATGACGTGCTAACATGGATGCAGTTCACAAGAGTGAATGTGATTAAAGTTAGCTCCACATCTGACTATCAGGCACCTGTAGAGTTTATGCGTTCGAGTAAAACATTTACAAATAAAATGGACCGGGTGCTTTAAAAGTAAACCGGTGAGCAGTCTGACAAAGAAGTGCCCCTCTGAATCAAATCAGCAGGATGCCCTTCTGGATCTTTCACTTACTGTGAAGACACTACTGACTAAGCTTGCATAGACATCTGTAATCTAGTTATTTGCCTTAATAGACAATAATATAATTAAGGTGTTTATGTGAAGTGCTTTCATGTAAAGCCTGGTTTATACTTCTGCGTCAAGTGACCGGCGTAACCCACGGCGCATGCAATGCGCATAGCTGTGCATTTATACCTGTGCGTTGTCTCTGTTGGTCTGCATTAACACTTCTAAAATGCTAGTGGGCAGTGAGGTGTAAATGTTCCTTTGTGTCGAGTTTCTTCGCTGTTTAGCTTTTTCTGAATGCTTCCGGGATGTACAAGTGACTCAAACTTGCTTATTTTGAGGCAGGAACCGGCGGACGTGCAACAACTTTAACTATGAGGTAAACACAAAACAAAACTTTGCATCCGGAGCTCCTTCATGGGACTCCACACTTGTAAACAATCGCTCCATTGGGCTCTCTGTCCCGCCCTGACTCGTCAGCGCTACCAAGCCGACCAATCACAGAGCTTGCGCTAGGTGTCGTTGCGACGTGTAGTTACATTTTTTGAGAGGTGCACATCAGCGACGCCAACGGACACGGCGTAGGGCTATGCGTCAACGCGCAGGCTGTGTCGTAGCACACACATGCACTTGACGAAGAAGTATAAATCAGCCTTAGGAGTTTCACGTAATTTTGGGTGACTAACTGCAGTTCGGCAGTTTCACATTCACTCAATTCATTCATGGCCCCTGACAAACTGGGGTATTAGACGCATATAAGGAGTAAGGACTGGTGAGAGTATTATGGAATTTACTAACGCATGTCGAATGGAAAGAAAAATAAAACGTCCTCATTTCGCAATGTGTGTGTGTGTGTGTGCTGTCCTTTACTGACAGCCGTGTGTGTGGATCTTGTCTTAAATATGACGAAAAGTCCTACATTACAGTAATAGTTTGACTGTGGTGTTTACTTCAATAATTCCACTAAAATATGCATACTCCACATCTAAATTCCATTTCTGTTTAGGTCAGTTATGACTTTAGTTGGATTAAGGTGATCAAAAATCACTGTTTCGAGTCTAGATGGATATATATTAGTGGTGGGTTTTTTAAGTTATAAATTCATGTTTAACTGAATAAAATTAGTGAACACAAGTACATCTTATTGATTTCAGTATATATTTTATATACACATACTGTTTTATTCTAGTGTTTGAACTGTTTTTGACAATGGTTTATTTTGTTTTCATAATTTAACTTGCTCAAACATTATACTTACCTAATTTATTTACCTTTATCTTTGAGTCTGAATTATTTATCTATCTAAAATAGATAAGATATGTTGTTATTTCTATACACTCTAGTGAGCGAACTAAATTCTGCTGATATCTGGTCCTAAGAAAATAGCAAATACTGTAAAAAAAAAAAAAAGCCACAATAGTAACAACAATAATGCAAAGAAACAGGTTACACAAATCTAACTGTAAGTGGACAAAATGATGCTGATGCTGTCAGGGTTTGCTTGTATTGTACGGATGTTGTTGTTTTTTTCTTAGTTTACATGTGCACAATGTTTAAGCACTATGTTCATATTTATGTTGTGGTGTTAGTGATGTTGATTAATGAATGTATGTTTTTTGACCACTTAAATAAATAAAAAAGGGTTTTTTTTTTTATTGTAACTGCTCCAAGTTTCAATCAAACGTACCATTTTGAGAGATAGAACTCATAGAGCCTGACAGGACAGCGGAGAGGATTGTCTGAATTCTCCTTTATCTCATATACAGTTTCATCCTCCTCCTCTCCCTCTTCTTTCCTCCTCTTTGCCGGAACGCCGTCTAAATTCATCAAAAACAAACAAGTGATAACACACAACAAGGACACAAATAGACAACCAGGTAAAGACAGTATGACTGACCGGCTTCATCTTTCGGAGGATAGAAACGCAAACAGGCCACTTTTGTGTTGCCTTTGCTCCGAGAGCAGCGCACGATGTGGCCGAAAGAGAGGAGACGGTGCTGCTCCGCTGTCCTGTAGTTAAAGTATTTTGTGAAGAAATAGATTAAAGTGTTGAGCAGAACTCCAGGTGAAAAGGCCCCGAGCTGCTTACAGTCCCACAGATACTCCTCTTCCACACGAGAGTGAATATAACCTGAAAACACACACACACACACAGATGTTTAACAAGCCCATCAGTTTTAGCCAACAATGAAATCATGGTAACTGAGATCTTCACTTTTATTATTTTGGTGTATTTAATTTCTTTACAGCAGTGATTTACAATTATATACAAAACTTATTAAACCAAGATAAGCTGAGTATGCTTAAAGTGATAAACGATCCAAAGAGTTTATTTAGAAGATATTTTGAAGAATGCTGAACACCAATAGCCTATTAACATCCATTGTATTTTATGTCAATAGCTACAGGTTTACAACTTTTTTCAGTTTCTTCAAGTATCTTTTGGTTGTTTTTATAAAAAGAAAACTTAAATCAATGTCAAAGATCTGGAAAGACTTGAGGGCGAGTAAATTTTTATTTTTTTTGTCGAACAATTCCTTTCAATGTTCACATGCACATCAAAATAGTGAACAAGTTGTGTTTTGCAACTATTCACATCAACTTATATCTAAGACAATCAAATGTTTACTATTTTACTGGATCAGCCTAAGACAGCAGCCTAATATACCCGATCATCCAAAATCAAATAACACTGACAGAAAAAGAAAAATCTATAACTTAAAAAGCCTTCAATAACCTTTTTTTGCATTTGTCATATTGTTTGGAATTTACTTTGTTGCATTACTTTTTGTTTGCTATATTTGTACGGGGAAAAAATAAAACTCAAGGTTAAGTCTACATAATAAAATACACTCCCTGGCCACTTTATTAGGTACACCTTACTAGTACCGTATTGGACCCACTTTTGCCTTCAGTACTGCTTTAATCCATCGTAGAACAGATTCAACAAGGTTCTGGAAATATTTCTCAGAGATTTTGGTCAATATTGACAAGAAAGCATCACAAAGTTGCTGCAGATTTGTCGGCTGCACATTCATGATGCGAATCTCCCAGTCCACCACATCCCAAAGTTGCACTACTAGAGATCTGGTGACTGTGGAGGCCATTTGAGTACAGTGAACTCATTGTCAGAAGATTGGTACACTGTGGTCATAAAGGGATGGACATAATCAGCAACAATACTCAGGAAGGCTGTGGCGTTGACATGATGATTGGTACTAATAGGCCCAAAGTGTGCCAAGAAAATATCCCCCACACCATTACACCACCACCACCAGCCTCACTGTTGATACAAGGCAAGATGGACCCATGGTTTCATGTTGTTGAAGCCAAATTCTGACTGTACCATCCAAATGTCACAGCAGAAATCAAGACTCATCAGACCAGACACGATATTCCAATCTTCTACTGTCCAATTTTGTTGAGCCTCTGTGAATTGTAGCCCCAGTTTCCTGTTCGTAGCTGACTGTAGTGGCACCCGATGTGGTCCTCTGCTGCTGTAGCCCATCTGCCTCAAGGTTGGACATGTTGTGCGCTCAGAGACGCTCTTCTGCATATCTCGGTTGTAATGAGTGGTTATTTGAGTTACTGTTGCCTTTCTATCAGATGAAACCCGTCTGGCCATTCTCATCTGACCTCTGGCATCAACAAGGCATTTGCACCCCTTTTCTCTTTTTCGGACTATTCTTTGTAAACCCTAGAGATGGTTGTGCATGAAAATCCCAGTAGATCAGCAGTTTCAGAAACACTCAGACCAGCCCGTCTGGCAATATCAACAAAGTCAGTTCATAGTCACTTAAATCAGCTTTCTTCCCCATTCTGATGCTCTGTTTGAACTGCAGCAGATCGTCTTGACCATGTCTACATGCCTAAATGCATTGAGTTGCTGCCATGTGATTTGCTAATAAGAAACTTATGTTAACGAGCAGTTGAACAGGTGTACCGAATAAAGTGGCTAGTGAGTATATAATATAATATAATATAATATAATATATTTTGATCATATTGCTCACTGCTAATTGTTAAATAATCATGATGACAGTTTACAAATAATAATGATGATTCTGATTTACTCTACTCACCACTGGGCAAAACAGTTGGTCTCCAGTCACGGAGTATGTTGGTCATTTCCTGGCAGAATTTAGTGTAGAAGACGTCTGCAAAGATGTTCTCCATTCGACTGTTCTCAAACAGGTACTGCAACCATGAATGACAGGGAACCAAATCAAATAAACCATACAACATGAGCAAGTAGTGGCGTCTATATTTTTAGATTGAATCATTTTCATAAATAAATAAGTGTGTGTCTATGTGTTCATTAATGTCAGCTGAGCTTGCATTTTGTTAAAACCATTTCCTTGTTATAATAGTAGACGATACTAGACAGTTTGTGTCTTTTCTTCTGGTTTACCTGCTGGATGCCCAAGCAGAGGTAATAGATGCTGTCAGGACTGTATTTCTCTCCATTGGGTCGCCGGACTTCAGTGATGAACTTACAGAGACCGTAGCTTATCTCAGCGGTGCAACATTTCAACAGGTCCTCCTTCAGTGTCATGCTGCGTGCTGTAAGAGATGAAAAGCAAGAGTTTAGAGGCATGTGAAAGGATTCTGTAGTTAAAGCCAAATTTGTTTTACAGATAGATCACATTTCTAAACATAATGGTTTTAATAACTCATCTCTAATCTGATTTATTTTATCATTGCCATGATGACAGTACATAATTTTTGACTGGATATTTTTCAAGATACTAGTATTCAGCTTAAAGTGACATTTAAAGGCTTAACTAGGTTAATTCCGCAAGTTATGGTAATTAGGCAGGTCACTGTATAACCATGGTTTGTTCTGTAGACAATAGAAAATGACATTTTTTCGGGAATCCCACGGGACATGGGATTTCCACGAGATGGGAGTCATCTTTGCTTTTAATCACAGGATTGGATGGTACAGGATAAAATATTAACGGGAGCAGAAATCAACCAATAGGAAGTTGACAAGAAAAATGCACCTCCATTTTCTAGTTTTCTTTCAATATGACTATGACGTAACGCAATTAAAAAAAATACACAACCCAGAAGCCATCAGTGCTGAAGGGAGCAAACACCCGTGGAGAAACTGATGTGGTGAAAAATTTATTCGCAGCGATAAGTCAGAGGTGATGATGACATGTCCATTAAATTAACAGAAGTAGTGGAGAAGTCGGAAATATTAAAGAAGTTCAGAGAGTAAACCGCAATGGTGATAGCACTCCATATGCTGCTTGTAAAACATGCTTATTCTTGGTCAAGTACACCAGTGATTCAGGGACAAGCGGTCTGAAAAGGCACACTTAAGTCTCATCTGTTCGGTAGACAATTGGAAAAATATATATTGCTTAAGAGGGCTAATAATAATTTTGTCCTCAAAAGGATTTTAAAACAATTTAACTGCTTTCATTGTTAGATGAAATAAAACAAATAAGACTTTCTATACAATATAGGAAATACTGTGAAAAATTCCTTGCCCTGTTAAACATCATTTAGGAAATATTTAAAAAGAAAAGTAAATGAATTTGAGTTGTCTGAAGTCTTTTGGAAAGAAATGCTGAATATAATGAGACCTACAGCCAAATTTGGGAGTCTCCATGTTGGGCTGAGCGTTCCTCCAGCGCACCCAGTCCCTCCAGGCGGTGACTCCGTACTCGTGTTGTAGTTTAGAGATGTTAGAGAGGTTTTCTGGAGCTGATTTGGCTGGAAGCTCTGCTGCAGTCTTACGAGCCTATATGTCAACAAAACACAATAATCAAATGTTATAACGTGATATTAAATTAACTCCTAATTTAAAAAAAGAGAAAATAATCTAATATTTGTTAGTAGATAGTATTATGTTCAAAAGCATACATCAACTTTGGCTTTTCCTTACATTAAAATAAAATAAGCATTTTTCCATTTCATTTACCATAGTATATTATTATCAGCTGTTGTAATTTATTATTTTAAAACGCATTACAGTCAGTGCAGTGGATGGTTACAGATATTGGACTAGCTTTAAAAACAATGTGAGCTGATGAAATGTAAATGTACATTGCATTCTGCTGTTCATATGTTTGAACCAATGGTAATATTTGTAATGTTAGGAATGAAAATGTTTTCTAAAAATAAAACTTTATATAATCAAAATTCATCAAATCCATAATGGTATAATATTTGTATTAATTTTTTAAGGGCACACACATCTACAAACCCCACAGCCCTTACCAAAAACAGAACATAAGATAGACGAAAGTACAGGTGTCTGCAGAGGAATAATTAACATATTAATATACACAACAGTTCTGTCTGGTTCTCAGTCTGATTGGCTGATAGCCGTGCGATATTCTCCAATAACAGCACTCTTACAGCCTCTTCACTGTTGTGTATTACTCCGCCCACATAGTGACTGCAAATTAATAAACTTACTACAGTTCGACAAATATTGCAGCAGCTGAACAACATGTACTTTGAAACTTTTTTTAGGTGAGAATGTAGTTGTTTAGATTGCAACTATGAGGTTTATAAGGATAGTGCCTATTTTAAATATACATTATTTCGGAGATTGGCAACCATCAGACTGTCATACTGAGCAGAGCAAATATATATATATACACACACACATATATATATATATATATATACACACACACACACATATATATATATATATATATATATATATATATATATATATATATATATATTTTATTTTTATTTTTTTTTTTATTATTTTTTCTTTTTTAGAACTCATTGATTATACAGATTTTTAAAATTTATTTTTAGTTAATTTTATTGTAGCATATATTGTCCTGTCTTTTTAATTGTTTATTATTTTTGCCACGTTTGTGAAGCACTTTGGTCAACATTCATGTTGTTTTAAGGTGCTTTATAAATAAAGTTGACCTTGACCTTTTGTCTGTTTTGGTCAGTACAAGATAAACGTGTTTTAAAATAATCACATGACCAAGTCTTGTTTCATAAAACAGCTTTATTTAGTTACATAAAAACATTCATATATATACACACACACACCATGCATACATTAGTAAAAGCGTGAGTAATGGTCTCCTTAAAGAGGTGTAAATGAAAGATACACAAGTTTCTCAAAATCCCCACTGTAAAATAAAAACATGTCGTCTACTGTTCACAACGCCTGTAGCCAACCGTGTTTCTTGGCGAGCGCAAGAACTCATTGATTCTGTCTTTAATGCATTTCCGGTCAACATCACTCAAGCCGGGGAATCTCTGAGAAACCGTATCAATGATGAAGCTCCGCAGGTTTACCGGCAATGCGCATTTACCCCTTGAGCCATCCCAGTTGGTATTGGACGCCCATTCTTTATACTTGGTTTGAGGTACAATGACACGAAATAGCAGGCATCCGTAACGATCCGCACGCTTCTGACTCTGATTAAACAGGGCGTTCAACTGCTGCTTTGAGGGAGGATGAAAGTCGAAATTGGGATGGCAGGACTTTGTTTGCATCATATCATCTTGACTGCATGAACTATGACGCTGGGTCCGTAGTGGTTGTTTTTTGTCCAGTGCATCTCTCAGTTGCAGAACCACAGCCATGTGTGCCTCCACGAGCCCCTTATGAGAGCTTTTCAGATCGGTCAGAGCTGCTTTGGTGGTCTCATAAACCTCCTTGCAGTGGTGCAGCTCCCTCCTCAGTCCAGTAATCACTGCGTCTCGTCTTATCAGCCTATGACTTGAGGATCCCGGCGTTTTCTGTGCCTGCAGACCAGCACTGCCGACATCAAGACTTGACTTCACTGACATAAATGTGCATGCGGATGAAACAGCCTTGGTGGAGCATAAAAAATAGGGCTGTCAATTGTGATGAATCAGTGCATCAGTTCAGTTTGACTGTGTGTGATGGGCAGACTTTAACCTTGTGGTTTTAAATTAATTTGCATTTTAACTTTGTAAGACATAAAATCATGGGTCTCCTCACGGTTTGAGTAATTTCTTTTAGTCTGATTTTATGAGCCGACTGACAGTTGTGTTTGCTGCCCTCATTTTCCCCTGCTCTGCTGGCCACGCCCACTCCTCCCTCTGCTCGCAGCGCTCCTCACCCATCATGGAGTGGAGCTTTTTTTTAAATTCTGAGATGGACTTGAACCAAAATAGGACAGTTTCATGGCCCTTTAACAAAATTCAGCTTTGCCACCAGATAAATATATTACATCTAAAAATACAGCAAATACAAAAAATATTTGATGTATAAAATAATTGGAGATGGCCAACTCAATGATTAGAAAATAACGCAGAGACCTGATGGTGACATTGTGGCTAAATGTAAATTAATTAGAACATTCCTACCCTGTAGTGCACAGCAATGATAAATAAAACATTTATGTATGATAAAACATTATTTTAAAGTGTTTTTAAAATACTGACTGAGCAAACAAATGTTGTGAAGTGTTGTTTGATATCTTCCATTGCTGAAGTTATTCATGATTCTGTCACTATTTACTTGGTTATTTCTTCTGTTGAACAAAAGAAGTTATTTTGATAAATGTTGGAAACCTGGAACCATTAGGTGCGTCCCAAATTGCATGCTTATGCACTATTCTATGCCATTTTTTTGTATAAATAGTGTAAGTTGTGCGTTCACACTGAAAACTCTAATAATAATAATAATAATAATAATAATAATAAGTGCACTTTAATTACCCGGATGATGCACTTATTCAACCTTTAAACAGAAGTGTGTAATGATGGACAGACACTTCAAGCACTCAACGGCCACTGCTTTAGCAGTAGGGGCAAAGCTTTTGGTAAACTCGCTCTTTAAGATCTCAAAACTCAGGGCTTCTGGTAGTACCTAGAATAGCAAAATAGAGTAAAGGAGGTCGAGCCTTCTCTTTTATGGCTCCTACACTCTGGAATAGCCTTCCTGATAACGTCCGAGGCTCAGACACACTCTCCCAGTTCAAAACTAGATTAAAGACCTATCTGTTTAGTAAAGCATACACTCAATGCATCACTTAGCGGGTTCCACACAGGCTTCTGCATCTTGCTTATATACACTATAAACAGCAGCTACGCTAATTATTTTCTTTATTCTCTATTTTCACCTGGGGATACTCATCCCGAGGTCCTCAGATTATGCGGAGTCACTGATTGGATCCAAGACCGGCGACGTGATGATCCCAAGGTTTCCATATCCGGGACCAGGCCATATCCTGAGCTGCTGCTGCGCTGATGGTCATGGGGACTGGAGAACATGAGTCTGATTCCAGCGACGCTCCAGGGACAGACGAGTCTTCGCTGAGGCCATCTTCCAGCCTCCACCACGTTGACTGAAGCTCTGTACAAGACTTTTGGCCAGCGGAGAAATTAAAATGATCGTGCCCAACTGAGTCTGGTTCTCTCAAGGTTTTTTTTTCTTCACTCCTATCAGGTGAAGTTTTTTTTCCCTCTCCGCTGTCGCCACTGCCTCGCATGGTTCAGGACTGGTAGAGCTACTCATCGATGAATTTGCTCTTCAGTGTTTGAACTCTCAGTAATGATTTTAAATCACACTGAACTGAGCTAAACTGAACTGAACTTAAACACTAAAAACTGAACTACACTGTTTCAGTTACTATGACCATTTATGTGAAGCTGCTTTGACACAATCTACATTGTAAAAGCGCTATACAAATGAAGCTGAATTGAATTGAATAAACTGATGTTGGATTACTTTATTTATTTTGGATTGTGAAAGTAAATTCTTCAACGAGAGTGATTATAGCGACTCCCGGTGGAGAATGCGATTATACTCACGGCAGGTATTATCCGGTAGTTTGGTGATTTCACTAATTTGGCAACCGTCAAACGTCATCTGGGAAACGGTTTGAATTTCTGCTTAGAAAAACAGGGTTCCATTTGGGACGACACTACATACAGAAGCACATAGTGTATAAGTGCATAGTGTATATTGTGCCATTTGGGATGCAAATTATGGCTTCCATAGTACTTGTTTTCCTTCTAAGGATACCAATGGTTACAGCTTTCCAACATTTTTCAAAATATCTTCTTTTGCGTTCAACAGAAGAAACTCAAAGCTTTGGAACCACTTGAGCTGGAATATAGTGAGTACATGTTTAATTATGGGTGAACGATCTCTTTAAAGAGTTTAAATGCTTTGATGGAAAGTCAAAAATAACTTATCAGCTGTTGTTCTCACCCGTTTCTTCTGAGGAAAGCCATCGCGTGCTCTCTTGCGAGATTTCCGTTTGCCTGTTGTCTTATTTGGCGTTTGTTCTCTGAAGAGTTCAATGCTCTCTGAAATATAAAACAAACAAATATACAGCTGAAGTCAAAATTATTCGCCCTCCTGTGAATTTTTTTTTCTTTTTTAAATATTTCCCAAAAATAAAAAATAAATAAATAAAAATAAGAAAATGTAATTAAATTTATCTTTTTTATTTAAATAAAAGCAGTTTTTAAAAGCTATTTTAAGGTCAATATTACTAGCCCTCTTAAGTATTTGTTTGGGATTGTCTACAGAACAGCCATCATTATACAATGACTTGCCTAATTACCCTAAATTAACAGCTTTGACTGTATTTGTGAACTCTTAACTTCAGCAGAAGCTCTTACCGATTGGGAAATCTGCCTCCAGGTCCATCTGTGGCTCCTCTGCTGTGCTGGAGACGGGAGTAACTGTGGCAGATCTGGACGGAGGAGGAAGAAAACGCTCCGGCTCTGGAGCTTGATCCCATGTCTGAGCAGAAGACACAGAGTCTTCCTCCCAGCTCAGATTACTGGACAGGGCTTCCAGATCAAGGTCCTCCATTATGTGTACAGGCTGATCTGAGTAAAAATAATAATAAAAAATGCTTATGAACAAAATAGAAATGAGCCTGGTTTTTCTTGAGGTTTTTGCCTTCACTTTCGTCAATTACTGAAGTTTGTTCCTCTCTACTGGCTTGCTTGGTTTGGGACTTGTGGTGGTGCATCGATTGATTTGCTCTTCAGTGTTTGGACTTTCAGCAATGAAAATTAAATCACACTGAACTGAACTAAACTAAAGTCAACTCTGAAAACTGGACTGACACAGTTTCAGTTTACTAGAACTTCTATGTGAAGCTGCTTTGACACGATCATTGTAAAAGTGCTATCGAAAAAAAGATGAATTGATTTGAATGGATGTATGCATGGAACAACAGGAAAAGTTGACATTTTACAAAAGTTTGCATTAAAATATTTGTACTTCATTTCAATTTATACAATGCTTAAGATACAGTACATACAACTGTAATGTCAACTTGTCATGCAAAGAGAGATTCTTTAAAAATATAACATTTGAAGTGGATCCAACATTTTTCAAAACTGTCCAATGACAAGAATGGGTGTTGTTCAATAGTTTTCAACAAGACCATACATGATAGTATATAATACAGTATAAGAGAAATTACAGACTGTCTTATTTTGCCAGTCATTCATTTATTCATTTTCCTATGGCTTAGTCTCTGATTTATCAGAGGTCTCCACAGCAGAATGAACCGCCAACTATTCCGGCATATGTTTTATGCAGCGGATGCTCTTCCGGCCTCAACTCGGTACTGAGAAACACCCATACACACTCATTCAGACACTATTCAGGACAATTTAGCTTATTCAATTCTAAAGGTGTCACGATCCTCCAAATCCTCGATTCGATTACATTTTCGATTCTAAAGGCACGATTCGATTCAATTTTCGATTATGAATAATTAATTAATGACCAATTAATTATTTGTAGCCTACCGTTTAAACTACCTGACCTGCATGGTCTTTGTTTTACCCATAAACAAATCATTCAGTAAATGAATAAAGGCAAGATACACACATAATTACCACCTGTCAATCACCTTTTCTGCGGGACTCGTGAATAGGCAGTGATCTGTGTCGTTATAATAGCGTCGGTAAAAAAGACGCACAACCAACAGGAACCAGCCAACAGTATCTGAGGTGTTCGCTATAATGACAAAGTACAAGTGAGTGAAAGATTGAAGAAGTCCTCTGACTGCCTGGACCTGCTGTCTCGAGCGCATGGCTGTGTGTGTGTGGTCACGTGATGTGCATTTTCAGAGGTAGAGAGGAAGGAGGGCTGCTCAGGAATGCTACACCCCACTGTGGATGTCAAATCGTTGTCGTTCTAAAATGCCATTTAAAAACAAAGACAGTGTAAACAGGGCCTGAGTGTGTACTTTTTGCGAGCGGATTTGCAACGGGGGCGAGCGGAGGATCGCGATGCCGGTGTTGTCTATCGGATGAACCGTACGTAATACGTGCATAGCAGAGCTTGCAAAACTGTTTTTTTGTCGACAACACGAACGTTGTCAACATAACTCACTGGAAATCCAAAATGCTTACACACCGGCGACTTCATTGAAAGAGGAGAGGGTTTAAGTTCTGCTGGTCTCCTGCTTCTGCAGTTTAACAAGCACTTCAACAAGCCTGTTTTTTTTCCCGCTTGGCAAGCCAAGCTGATGTGACATGGGGGCGTGGCAGCATCGACGATTCTATTTTTTGATTCGATAATCGAAATTGAGCATAAATTTCAATCTTTCAATTCACCTATAGCACATGTCTTTGAACTGTGGGGGAAAAACGGAGCACACTGAGGAAACCAACACGAACACGGGGGAGAACATGCAAACTTCACACAGAAAGGCCAACTTGAACTAGCAACCTTCTTGCTGTAGGGCGATTGTGCTAACCACTGAGCCACCATGCCACCCAATTTTGCCACTATCTGCTCAAAATAAAAAGAATTCAAAACAAATATATCCCCTGAAATAGAAAACAAATCAAAATAAAAACATTAAGCTATGTTACAAAACATTAGTAAATAAGAGTAAAAAGAAACCGTTTAATAGAGCCGTCCAGAGTCAATTTTCCCTATTTCCAGTAGTTGACCATGTATTAGAGCAGATATTAACAGAACCGGGTAAGCCTTTAATAAAGTCTAAAATGGGTTACTAGAGCTTGTAAAAAGATTTGAGAGATTCTCTTAACTTCCAAGTTTCATGCAGCTAAAGATTTCTCTGATCCACATGTCATGATGATGGAGGAACAAACTGTTTCCATTTGAAGTTGTTCAAAACAATCATAAAATAGTTGCAGATATAAAAAAAAGCCCTTTAAATGTTGATCATTTACCAGTGGAGCTGATGCGTTTCTCCTTCTCTGCATCCTCCGCCACCATCTCCGCCATCATAATGAGGTCGGCCTCCAGAGGATCATCAGGGATCTTCTCTTTGATTTCCTGAATGGTCTGTACAATGCTCTCTGCACTGTCCAGTGTCGTGGGGAAGAACAAGGGCACTGGAACCTGCATACACAGACAGGAAAACACATAATGGTATATGTACATACTTAACCCTAAAACCAGATTTACTTCACTGCTTTTGCCGACTCAAATCCTCATTTGATTATAAAGTACACGTGAAATAAAAACTCACCATATTGATTATGTTCACACTGCTAGATTTATGGTGAACAATTTATCCGTGCATGTCATTGAGAAAATTAAATAGTTTGCTAGTGTAATCTAAAATTGAAATCTGTAAATGCACCTCCTGTTTGTTTTTAGTTAAATGATCAAATTAGGTCTGTCTGCGGTATTAGGCGTGGCTAACATACTTAACCACACCCCCTCCAACTGTCACTTTTGACAGAAATGCTGAGGAGGAAGGGTCTGTTAGGTTGTAATAACTCCCCAAACCCATTTCCCAATCTTTTTTGGATGAAACACCTACTTTACTACATCCAATCTACATACTACATACTCGCGTCACAATATGAGAGAAAAAAAAAAAAAAAAAAACAGTTGCAGCTTCTAGTTCATGCACACTTTAAATAAAGCCATTATAATGATGTACTAAACATATGCAGATAAAATGTGACCTGGACCATAAAGCAAGTATTATGTTGGACGGGTATGTTTTTGCAATAGCCCAAAAAATAAAAACAAACAAGAAAACATAGAATGGGTTAAAATTCAATTAAATTAAATTCATCTTTATTTCTGTAGAGCTTTTACAATGTAGATTATGTCAAAGCAGCTTTACATAATAGTTCTAGTGAATTAAAACTGTGTCAGTCCAGTTTTCAGAGTTGAAGTTCAGTTTAGTTCAGTTCAGTGTGGTTTAAGGGTGCTTTCACACCTACACTTTTGTTTCGGAACCTGTCTCGTTTGCCCAGTTAGCGTGGTTCGTTTGGTATATGTGAACAGGGCAATTGCGCTCTGTTCCGCGCCAAAATAATCGCTCCGAGACCACCTGTGTGAGGTGGTCTCGGCTCGATTGAAACGAACCCTGGAGTGGTTCGATTTCAGTGAGAAAACGATCCGATCCGATCGCGGTTATATCACAGTATTTTATGGATATGTAATAGGCATACGGCTATATGAAGAGAGAATTATAAGTAGGGCGGGAAGTTTTGCGAGTCTCTGGATGCCCGCAAACAAGTGATGATCTCCCTGTAATCTCGCGTCTCCCTCCCGGTCCTCAAATAGGCATCGTCGCTCACCCTTCTCACCCCTCCCCACCGCATCTCTCCTCAGACACGTCGCGCGCACCTTGTCAATCACCACCAAATTACCACCTCTCCTGACAGCTGAGCGGGACGCTGCAAAATAAACACTCTGACAATGTGAGGAGAGTTTACTCGCACGTGACTTGTTTTAGCTCTTTTGGTCTGATTAGAAACTTTGCAGTGTGAAAGCGAACCGCTCCAAGAGCAAAGAGCAACAATGTAACATTTGTAATCTCTGTTTCGGAACAACTGAATCGATTCACAGGTGTGAAAGCACCCTTAAACAACATAACAGATAGTTTAGTTTAGTTCACTGTGGTTTAAGTTTCACTGTTGAAAGTCCAAACACTGAAGAGCAAATTCATTGATGCACATCAATGCGCAAAATGATCAACTTTCCTTTAATGCCAATTATCATTGGAATATTTTAAAAAATTTATATTCCATGAAGATAATATTTTGAAAACGTACTACTATAAATATGTCCAAGCTCAATTTCTGATGATATGCACTGCCAAGACCTTAATTTGGAGAAATTTTAAGGCAATTTTCATCTGTATTTTTTAACTGTTACATTACAGTTTTTCAAATAGCTGCTAAAAATTGTCCAAATTCAATTCAATTATCAATTCAACTTCATTTCTATAGCGCTTTTACAATGTATATTGTGCTAAAGCAGCTTAAGGGTGTACTCACACTGTGTACAGTTGCCTTGAACCGGGCCGAAGCATGCTTTTAGTCATTTGGGATGCAGTGACACGCAGTCAAATATTTCGCCGAACAGATCAGCCACTTTTGACGCTCATAAACAATCATAAAGTCCCGGTGCTGCAGAAATTAGGAGGTTGCTAAAGGTGCAGCTGTCATGCAGTGAAGGGTTTGCTTTTTTAATAATCTACGACAGTTTGCGTTCATTGAACAGTAAGAATGATTAATAAATCCAGGGGTTCTCAACCTTTTGCAAGCTGGGCCCCCCCAAAGCTGGTTCATAGCAGTTTTCAACTCCACCCCTGCCTGCGCTCGGCTAATCTCGTTGAATGCTGGCTGCAGCCGATCTTCATGTTGAACGCAGCTAAAGTCTGCAAAGCTGGGGAACATGTCGCAGTTTTATGACGGCAAATCAATGCCAAAATTAATCAAGCACATCTGTGATTACAGGCCTACACGCAAGGAAACTACAGCTCTTCACAACTTCAGTCTGAAGAGATCCACTACGAGGAAAGGGGCCTCATGCACGCACAAACATGACTTGTTTTTGTTTTTCGTTTGTTTTTTTCCCTCCCATCCAGTAGCTTACTCCCGTCCTGATGTATACGTCTCAATTATAAAAAAAACAAATGGACATTTAAAACTTTTTGTGGTCCAGGATAACAAATCACGTGAATTTGGATAGTTTTATGTTAGATTGACTGTTTCACAAATGTGTTAACTTGCATTTCATTACAAATAAGAAGATCTGAAAAGAGAAGGTTGAGAAGAGGTTGAGATGCTCACCGGCAGTGGCAAGCCTACAGATTTTGGCGTGTACTGAGTGTAGAGACTCATAGGAACAGGAACATAAATGGGCACCGGCACAGGAAGCACTATAACAGCAGGTCCTTCTAAAAAACAAAAAAACACATCTGTCATATGATATACTATTTTTATGACAAAAAGATTTCATTACTTATCTACAATTAAAAACCACAAATTAACACATACAGTTAAAGTCAGAATTATTCGCTCCCCTTTGTTTTTGTTTTTAAATATTTCCTAAATGATGTTGAACAGAGCAAGGAATTTTTCACAGTTTGTCTGACAATCTTTTTTCTTCTGGAAGAAGTCTTATTCGTTTCATTTCGGCTAGAATCAAAAGCAGTTTTTAACAATAAAAAGAAAAAGTTAAACAGGGGGGCTAATAATTCAGCAGGGCTAATAATTCTGACTTCAACTGTACATTTACAGCAATATATAATATATAATAAAATTGGAGGCACAGCAGCTCAGTGGTTAGCACTGTGCCAGTACTGGGTTGCGGCTGGAAGGACGCAACCGCTGTGTAAAACATATGCTGGTATAGTTGGTAGTTCATTCTGCTGTGGCGACCCCTGATAAATAAGGGACTAAGCTTAAGGAAAATGAATATTATAAAAATTGTAAAATTGTTCCTGCTGACACTTTGCTGAATGTCTCGAGTAAGTTCATTTAATGAAAAAGCCTTCTGCAGTCATTAAAAGCAGAACCATCCAACAGAACGTGTTTTACAGTGATATTAATTTTGCAGAACAAACAATGAGTGTAATCTTCACCCTTTAAGCAAAAAACATGAGTTAGCCTTGTTTGTCCAATATGAAATGTATTAGAAATCTGTTAGAAAGTCCAGGTTGTGTTTCATACAATTCATTATTTTTCCATGTCATCCAAGTGTCAATATATGCAATGCTCACTAGAAACATGTACTTCCAAGTACCTGTTTGTGAATCCATGTCACAGACATTGGGTTTGCAGGAAGTGCCCTTGTTCTGGCTTAAGGGTTTACACAGTAAGGCTTTGTTTTTCAGGATTCGAGGTGGAGGAGCAGAAGGCTTCACACTGTCTGTCTGTGTGCTGGCCGTCTGGGGACAAATGTGAGAATGATTGAAATGCTGGAATGAATCATTGATTTACATGAACACTTTAAAAGGATCTTTAGCTGTTCAGATGATTTGCGGAAAAACTCACATTTCCTGAACTTTTTGTAGCAGCAGCTGGAACAGAAGCTGAGGAAACAAAAAGAAATCCACAGAATTAACCACAGAAAAGGTAGGTAGAGATTCCCAAAATAGGGCCCCCGGGCTAAAATTGGCCCATGGTAACCTTTCATTTGACCCACCATCAGACTTTAAACTAAATAGTCTCACCTGGCAGATGCACAAGACATCTGTGAGCAAATCAAAGAAAGCTTGACTAGTGTATTCAGCACTGAACTTGTGTTATAAATGGGATTATTAATGTTTTCTGTAATAAGTTCACTACAAAATGTTAACAATTATACTGCATTAGTCAATATGATTTACAAAAATTTACAAAATTACCAATGGCAAGTTTAATATATTGATTGAATTGATTGAATTGATTGACAGGCACCATGTTTATATAATATCATGTATAAACACAACTACAGAACATTTTTTTGCAAAGAAACTGAGATTAAAATATCCGTTCCAACTCTTAGTTATCAGCTGCACCTCAGTAATTAATTTAACAAGTTTAAAAAGTTTTTAAAGGGCCATGAAACCCCCTCGTTTCAGCAGGGTGTTTTCACACCTCTACTTTGGAAAAAGTCAGAAAAGTGGGCGTGTCCAGCTCTGTTTAGGGGGGAGTGTCGGAGGAACTAAAGTGGGATGGTGTGGGAGTGTCTATTTGTGCACGCGCGAGTTTCAGAGTCAAAATACACACCCACACAGACAGGAGAAAGCAATGGTGTTTAACCTACATGGACATCTGTAGTCTAATTATTTGCCAAATTATTAAATGTTGGACTTTAACTGCAGTTTGGCTCTTTCATTCAGGGAATTCATTCATGCCTCTCGCGACAAACGAGATATTTGATTCGAGGAACTGCTGCAAGCGTGTATTTTTCATGCAATGTTTGATACCGCACGGCGAATGAGAGAAAAAAAAACTCTGAATTTCCCGGAAACTTAGATGCACACGGCAGGTAGTGTCAGAAAGCCGCGTGTGTTATTCCGGTCACAAAATGCGGTGCTAACATTTCTGCACTCGGTGCAATAGTTAACTTAATTCGATACGAACAAACTGAATAAACAAAGAGCACTGGTCGCTCACTTACAAAATCTGTAGAGACAGGACAATCACCAGCAACAAGAGCCGCGTCTTTATGAAGAGAAGACTACAAGCAAATCCAGATTTCAGCGTTTGCAGATGAGAACAGCTCTCAGGTAAACAATCCTCCTTAGACACGTAAGTTATTGTTGTCGCGCGTCGCGTACACTGTTAATCCACACGTGATCCAGATAAGCTCTCACAGAGAGAAAATGAAAACGAAACTTAACAGCAGCAAACTATAAAAGCAACACTTCACGCTTGTTTTGCCAACACAACGTGGCGTCTTTGTGGTGTAAACACGGTGACAATAATGAATATTAATGAAGTTGCACAATAGAGCGCGCTGATTGGTTTGACCCAAGCCTTACTCATGCATTAATGCATCACACTGTAAGACGTAATAATACTCACTCTGGCACAGACGTCCAGTCTGCAAGCTGGAATACACGCTATTATGTCATGGCCGTGACGCAGCTTCAAAAATTCGTTTCAAACAGGAAGTACAAATTTGCTTGAAATAACGCAAAAACAACCAATTTACACTTTTTAGTGAAATATAGGTGTCCTAATAGTGTTTTTAGCAGTGTGGGACACATATACAACTGTCAACAGCTCAAAAAATGTGTTTTGGTGTTTCGTGACCCTTTAAAGCAGCGATTTTACTCTTACTAACATGTCAATCTAATCCTTAACCGCTATAATAACCACAGCCGTACGGTGTCAGTAAATGATAATATATTTGTGTATGTGTGTACTGCAAACAACGTGTGTGACTCATCATTTCAGAAAGGCTTGAATAAACTCCATCACAAATACATGAAATACACTTACTCAGTATTTTTGACTAATGACCTTATTTCAGCTTAATCTGTGCCTGTCTCTATCACTGACTGCTGTTTATCTGACGTAACGCAGGAGAAGCAGACACACATGTGGAACGGTGGGCGGGGAGAATCAGCTACTTTGGATTTAAAGCCACAGGCTGCAAAAACAGCAACTCTATACTCAGACACCAAAATGGGGAGATTCTAGATTAAGATTAAATTTTTAAGGACAAAAATTAATACATTTTTGTCCTTAAACTCTTAACATCTGAAGCATGAAAACCCCCACAGAAACTTAATGTAATTATATGGGCTCTAAGCTATACCTTAAATACTACAGAAATATTCAGTAATATTCGGCCTATATGAATATTTCACAACTAATACTTCTTACTTATACTAAAACTTAAAGCTTTTTTATAACATTTGTATTTCTTCTAAATTAGATATCTTTAAAAAATGTATTTATATCAAAATGTACTTGAATTATTCATAATAAACCTCAACTATTTATTCAGTAAACCACTGCTTATTAAACCATTTAATGTGTACTCAACTAAACCAGAATTGTGGTGCATAAACTGTAATTTTTGTGTACTATGAAACCCCCTAAATCAGGGTACAGGGATTATAGATGTTAGATTGAAGATTCACCTTGCAAAACACTGTTTCCCAAAACCGTCGGCTGTCCATTGGATGCATTTACAAGCGAGATAACATTGGCAATGACTGGCGTGGTCTCTTTAGTGGTCGGTGACACCAGATTAACTGTACTTTGAGGGGCTGGAGAAGGTGCTGGGCTTGTCCCTGAGGAAAACAACCATCAAAATTTAAGACACAAGCTGAAAAGAGAGAAACAAGTACACTCAGATATCCAAGAGAAGTAAGGATGCATGATATATCAGCGGCCATATCCTTATCTGCAGATAAACGCTATTTTTAAATGTTATTATTATAGGTTAATTAAAAAATTAGGCCAATAAATTATGTATTTTTTCCCTGGCTTGACCACTCCGCATGCTTTTTGCCAGCCATTGTGTATCACTTTATTGGTGTTTTTGTTAATGTTTAGTGACTTGGTTGCTTTATTAATGCAGTACAGTGGTTTTTAGTTATCATGGGAGTTATGTTCTAAAAACAACCTGCAATAGGTGAAATCGGCAAAGTAGTCAGCTTTATTTTTTAACAATTATTATAGATGTTTTAAGGCTGTAAAACCCCTCACTACACACTTTATACACTTTTCTCAGACAGGCATTAACATTTTCACACTTTTCTCTCTTGTTTAAACACTCAAAGTTCAAACCTTTTTAGAAAATAAGTCCAGTATTACAAAATGAAACCAAAGATCAAAACCTGTTGTCAGACGCAAACATTCATTGCTGTCAACAAAAGATTCATAAAGCTTTTTAGCGTTCATGAGGATAATGTTGCCATCCAGCATAATGTTCTTTTTCCTGCAGTCACTGATCTACAAAGCTAAAGCAGACTCGGTCCTTAAGGGAGTTGATGTATTGCGTACATGACAGTTTAAAGTAACACACACCGGACAAGCACATTTACATGTTGCTTAAAATGAAATTATTCAGATAGCGCTCTGTAGCCCAGCAGAAATATGGACAGTGTCTTGAGTTATAGCTGGGCACAGCCGGTTATTTGCGGCGCTGGTGTGTACACCCCGATCTAAACCTATGTTTACAATTCTGAAATGTATGGCACTGCGTGGCAACTAGTTGTGCGGCACATCCAGTGTGCGGCCCCTTTACGATGGTCTTGCTGAGGACATTTACAGACCTTTTTGCATCCTTGATGAAACACTGGTAGATTTAAGTTAATTTGGCAAGCTGAATGAATTATGTACAGTACAGGAGACACAGAGGAGATTGATTGACAGTGGCCAACAGCCAATCAGGACACAGAATACAATGCAATAATCAGGACGCAGAATACAATGTGCTGTTTAAAAAAAAAGCATGTCAAATTGCACACAAAAAATCTGCAAAACTGTGAGGCTGTGAAAGGTGAATTACATTATATAGAGAAACCACTATTTAGACATCTTTATTTTTTGTGTCAGGCAGTAGATTTTACTTATATTAAAGAAAGCTTGCTATAATAATAATAATACTAATAAATACTGGATTGTTAAAGATCAGAGTTTTTAAATAAAATCATTTGTTCATTGTATGTGTTTGGTTTTGCAATCATGAGTAAAATGTTAGTAATACTTTAAAATAATGGTCAATTAGTTAATGCAATTACTAACATGAACAAACAATTAGTAATACATGTATTACGGTATTATCGTTATTTAAGTTGTGACGTTAGTTTATGGTAACTGATGGTGCATTAACGTCAATAAGCACAGCTTGGGATTTTAATAATGCATTAGTAAATGTTGAACTATGATTAATTAGTGTTTTACTAGATTATTTACACTTGGTTAATGTTAGTAAATACACTAACTAATAGACCATCATTCTAAATGTGTTACCAAAAGTTTGAAAAATGTATAATTATCTGCTAATTAGGGTTGTAACGGTATGAATTTTTTACGGTATGATAATCGTCTAAAACAATACCACGGTTTGACGGTTTTGCGGTATACGGTATGTTACAAATGTTACAAAATAATAGAACAGTGAAGCAAATTTGACTTTTTCCAAATAATATATTTTCAGTTACTATAAACAACACCACTTACAATGAACAAATAAAAAAATAAGAAAATAATAAATAATGTGTCAAAGTCCAAATAAAGTCCAAATAAACATGGTGCAAATCCTTAGTAAAAAATAGATATAAATATTTACTATACTATAAATAGTTACATAACGAAACTAGATTCAATATGGAACATCCTTAGGTTTTATGTGCCAGCATGGATATGGTTGTCTGTGGATATGGATTTGGATATGGTTGTCTGCAATGCAGACAAACAGCTGCACCTTCATTTGCGTCTTTTGAAAACAGCAAGAGCAGCAGTTCGTCTTTGCTGTGTCACTGTTTTGTCATGTTTCTGTGCTGCTGTGCATGCAAAAGTACTTAGTATGAGAATTATTTCATGCAAAACTTTTTTTTTGCGTTTTATTTAGCTGCGCATAAATGTATGTATCTCTCATTCCGTGTTGTTCAAAAAGCTCATTGTTGGTCCACAAACAAAAGCAAAACCTATGCTTATTGGTTGTGATATAGCGAGTTTGAACCAATCTGGGCATGGAGGAGGGACAATGCATCAATGTATCATGTCTGGTTTGTCCGGAGACACAGTGACGAGCGTTTCTTTGTCAAATCAGCGTTGTCAAATTTTGATGACGTAACCGCACTGATTCCGGAGCCTCTGAAAGTCTGCAAATGTTATGTAGCACTGTATGTTATGCAGCACTGGAAAGCTGAGATTCTCTTCTTTATGCCAATCTTTGAATTGTATGAATCGGATAAGCGGATCAAAAGTTATTAAACAATTAAGAGCAATACTTATTTTTAGCCGCGGGCGGCTGTCTCGGTCTTTAAGGGTTAAAACCGTTGATATGCAATTGTTCATGGTATGATAATCGTGCACTTTCAAATCGTGGTAGACCGTCATACCGGTATATTGTTACAACCCTACTGCTAATATATTGGCTATCATCCTCTAAATCTAAACCGTGAACCTAGGAGGAAAAATAACAAAGAAAACAGATGACAATGGCTCAGTTATACCATAGGCAAGTTTTGGGAAAAGCTCAGAGTATTCTGTCAGATGATTGTCATTCTATGCACCACAAGTTTTATCTTCTCCTTACTGGTATTCGATACAGATCTCCTATTAATGAAATAGATTGGTTCAAACTTTCTTTATTTATCCCCTCAGCTGTAAAGTTTTTAAATTTAGGGTAGATTTGTATTATACAATGTGTTTTTGTGTGACACATTTGTATGCTGCAACTAAATTGCCTTCGGGAAATGAATAAAGACTAACTAACTAAATAGTTATTGATATCAGCCAAAAAAAGCCTCCATATCTGTGCATCCTTAATAAGACATACCTTGAGTGGGCTGAGGTTTGATTTGAGGTTTGACAGTCCCAGTGGTGCCCTGCAGACTGCAGAAAAACATCAAGCACTGCAAGCTGCAGAAATGCTTAATCTCTCCCACCCACTTCACCGTTTCCGTCATCTTCTTGGCCTGTCTGCACATGGAGCACTTGATCTCCTGTCAGGAATAAGCTCACCGTTATTGTGATTATTGTTGCAGAAAGAGAAGCATCATACAATTTGGTTGACATTAATAAAAATAGACACATTACCTTCCGCAATAATGAGGTATGAAGCGATAAGCACATGGTCCCACAGAACTCCTCCTCAACATTATTAATGATTGCGCTGACTACGGTTTGAGCCGAGCCGCTGCAGTACAAACAATTGCGACAGTGTTTCTTCCCCCAGCGCTTCACCAGGTCATGCTTATAGAGTAACCTGCATCCTGTACAGGGATCAATCTGCATTAGTGCCTCTCAACTTTTGTTCAGGGAATTTTCCCTCATTCATTTTCCCCATAAAGATTTGGAAAATAAAAAAAAAAGATAGGAAAAAAAAACATTATTTGCAATTTGTAATGTAGCCGTCCTTTAAAGGGATATTTTGGCACATTTTTTGAGATGTTGACAGTCATATAAGTGGCCCACATTGCTAAAAACACTTCTAGGACAGATACATTTCACAAAAAGGTGAAAATTGGTTGGAAAATTGAGCAAATTCGCTCTTCTGGCTTGAAAGGAAATTTTGAAGCTACGTCACAGCAATGAATCTGTACTGAGGAGTACAATGTGACGTCTTTGAGCTTTCAGCATTAAATCATGAGAAAGACTTGGTTCGAACCAATCAGCGACCTCTATTGTGTATGAGGTGTAACTTCATTAATATGCATAATATAGCTTCGAAGACTCCTTTTCCCTGTTACAGTGTTCAGATGGCAGAGAGATGTTATGTTGTGTTGTCAACCGTAATTAAAACAAGTGGAAGAGGAAGAATTGTTCGGAGACATGGGCTGTCAGTGTTGTGTTGATAAATGTGCTGCAATGAAGGTTTTGGTTTGTGTGGATACAGTGCTCTGCTAACACAGAGCAAAAATACGATTGTAAGGAAAAAAATTTTAACCAAGAGCTTTTCACATCGAGAAATGCTGAAATACGGATTTGCCACTCGCCCTCTTTTAAAAAGGACACCCAGTTGGTGTTGATTGTTAAGTGTTGATCTACAGATTTGGTAGGTGTGTGATCAATCTTCTTTGTTTTTGTTTATTCAGAGGCAAAGTTAGTTAGTATCATCAGCAGTAATCTTTCAGTTTTTAAAGACAGACCTTAGTCAAAATGATTTAGTTGTTAAAGACAGCCATAAAAGTGAAACGGAAAGTGCGCACATCTTTTAAATGATCATATCACATTTTAGAGTTATGATTACGACAAGCATTTGATATGATTTTCTTTCATAGCAAACACAGAGTGTTGTACCCGCTTGTTAAGTGATGACGTATGTAATACTGTTTCCAGGTCCAAGTCGCCATTCGTTTGAGTGGAGAAATCATTAGTTTATGATCACGTTTTATTTCTATCACACATTAAAGTTAATTTTATATAAAATCATAGTGTACATAACAATCTCTGGCCTTGCTGCAACACAAATGGCAAAAATTTAACAATTTATAAAAAAAAATCATCACTTTCTGGCCATCGGATATTAGGCATGGACATATATACTGCATATATATACTTCACATATATACTTCATTTTCGAAAGTATTAAATCGCTTTGTAAATGTTTATTATTACCATTTCATGAGTCTCCCCATTCAGTTGAATAGAGCGATTGGACCCGGAAGCCGCTTCGCGTGACGTCACACTTAACAAGCGGACAGGAGAATAAACTTATAGAAGTGTCAGTATAACTACTCTAGCCTATATTATGCTGAATATAATACAAGCAGAAATCTGATAATGACAAATGTCTTGTTTTACTAGTGAATAAATGGTCTAATAATGTTGTCAATGACAGACTGGATGTCTCAGGCATAATAATTCAACTTCAGAATTATGAATAGCTATATTCTGATGTCATCATTTTACTGTATAATAATAATAATAATAATAGAAATAATAATTTCCATCTATAAAATCAGCAGAAAACCGTGATCTTGATTTTAGGCAAAGAAAATTGTGATTCTCATTTTAGCCAGAATCACGCAGCCCTAATTTTTACATTTTAAATCTGAAATTTAGACAGAATTTAAATCAAAATGTAGACATAAAATTATGAAGTTCTCAAAATTTTTCTTGGAGATTTTGTTTGGCCACTTAAACTTTTCTTCAAACAAATAAACAAGTGTCCTCTTTTAGACCGATTCAAAACCATCGACGGAAATGTCTTAATTATTACTAATTATTGACAGTGTAATATTAATAACAATAATCATAGCACATACATTTAACAAAGTGATTTGGTTTTTTGATAAAATCAGTTAATCTCGCTGTTTTTAATGAGAGCAGAATGTATTACTCAGCTAAATATTTTAAAGAATAAACAACAAATAATACAGCATTTTCCCAACAGCCTTCAGCTCATATTGAGTAGAACAAAAAAGAAAAACATATATTACATGCAGCATACATCATACAACACAAACATTTTCATTTTGCTCTTAACACTTACCCTCACTGCAGAAAGATCGGTCAATTTTGTTGATCCTTTTCACCTCCTTGATAATTTTGTCAATCTTGCAGTATTCGCAGCGAGCCATGACGTTGTTGATCTGCTTGAACTCCTCAACACAAGCCGTACCGCAGAAAGCGTACATTTTCCTCTGAAAGGTCAGGAAAAAGAGCAACCAATTAGTGTCAACCATTTTGCCAAATACAAATTATGAACAAAAACAAACCATTAACTGCTAAACTTAATGATAGTTAATAATAATAATTAGTTGATGATTGGTAATAAGCTTGTTTGGCATGCCGTCCCAGGAGAGAGCCCTGAGCTTATCAGATCCTCGAGCTGGGCAAGAGAGGAGTTTGAGCTCAGGTAGATCTCGATGAACTTTCCAGACTTATTTCTGGTTAATGAGAGATATAGGGATGGCTAAGGAGAGATATACGGCTTGCTAAGAGCTTGACGATGATGCCAATTTGGTGTTCAATTTACTTAGGTTGGGTGTTTATAAAGAGTTGGAGAAACCCAGAGAAAACCCATGTGAGCACGGAGAGAACGAGCAACTCTAAACAGAAATGTCTACTGGTTTAGTAAGGACTTTAACCAGAGACATTCTTGCTGTGAGGCAACAGTGCTAATCACTGAGCCATCGTGTTGCCCATCTAGAAAAGAGAGGGGGAGTAGGGGGGATTTTTCAAGATAAAGATATTGAGATAATAAACTCTGGTTACTAATAGCAAAAAATCATCTGATTGGTGAATCAATCGTAAACTAACGTGGGACCAGCCGTGGACAATCATAAGCACATGATCCTCTCATAATTAGTTTATAAATCAACTTTACAAATATAAATAAGAATACATGATATCTTTACCTTAAAATCCAGCAGTTCTGGTTTGTGGAAGAATGAGTTGAGACACTGTGAGCAGGGGATCTTTGTGACGTTCTGAACTTGACTCTTGGAAGTGCTTGTCTTGGTTGAGGAGCTGGACTCTGAAGAGGCAGGTTTTGGCGTTGATGCATTCGTCGTAGAGGTTACAGTGTTCACCTGGTAGTTTGGTTTCTTACCAAATGACTCCTAAACAAAGAAAATGAAATCTTAAGATAACTCTACTTGACATATTCAGCCTTCTTACATTTTTAAATGTAGACAGTAGCCCCTTTCAGTCAGTGATACTGGTTAAATATCCAGAAAATTATGGGAACGACTTTACCGGTAAGTTCAAAAAAGCGATGTTTACACAGGCAAGGACATTACGGAATGTTTCCGAACAGACCATTCACACATCCATTCCAAAATACTTGTAAATTCAAAACAGCAGCGATTGTATAGTAGATTTGTATTTGTAGCTTGAAGGTAAACAAACAGCGGTTTATCATAAGCATTTTATCGATAATGTTTTACACAGTTGGCATTAAGGAGCATAGAAACGTTATCTGTCTAACATCAAGCAGCTAAATGTGTCTGGAAAAGTATCCAAAGGCTTTTATTTTCATAAACCGCCCGGATTTGAATGCGTCTGAATGTTCTGATTGGCTGGAGTAGACGTCTCACGTCAGTGCGTTCTAAGCGTGAACAGCTCTTTCCAGCAATCATCCTTCTGTTTTCACACAGAGCAGCATTCCGGCAAATTACCAGTAATGTTACAACTTCTCTTTCTGGAAAATTGGCAGAACGACTTTACCGGTATTTTCAAAAAAGGCCTGTTGACACATACAGAGCTTTCCGGAAAGGGGCTATTGTCAAAATGTAATTTTTTACAAGAATTTCATATTCATTTTTAGAATTTTCCAGCATATTACAAGTTTTGACATACATTTGGGGCACTTTTGCCCCAAGCCCAACACTAAATTACTGTAATTTGCTCTATAAAATTTTTTACCTGCATCTTAAATGGCAAATTTTATTTTAAATTTACATTTATTATAATTTTAAAGGGTACAGAAAAAAAACAAAGGCAGATTAAGAGCATATTGAGTCTCCAGAGTTAATACCACCAATTTAGTAAAATAATATATGAAAGAGACACATTTACATTTTCAAGCACTATTTAAAATCGAAGCACTTTTAAAACCTTGAAAACAGTAGACTAAAATTAGGGATGCACGATATATCAGCAGCCATATCAATATCAGTTAATAAATTGTTTTATACAGTAGATTAAAATTAGGGATGCACGATATATTGGCAGCCATATCAATATCAGTTGATAAATTATTTTATACAGTAGATTAAAATTAGGGATGCACAATATATTGGCAGCCATATCAATATCAGTTGATAAATTATTTTATACAGTAGATTAAAATTAGGGATGCACGATATATTGGCAGCCATATCAATATCAGTTGATAAATTATTGTATACAGTAGGCTAAAATTAGGGATGCACGATATCGGCGGTCATTTCAATATCAGTTGATAAATTGTTGAAAACAAAATATTAAAATTAGGGATGCACGATATATTGGTGGGCATATCAATATCGTTCAATAAATTTAAGATGATCATTATCGATCTGATACTAATATTAGGCCGTTACCTTTAAGCCGATAGGTTAATTTAATGTACAGAACAGCCTGCCTCATACATGCACAGGTCGAACTTGTTCAGGCATGTCCAGTGCACTATAATGAAGCTTTCCTCGCATTGTTTATTCCATGTTCCTTATCATTGTAGATATGTTTGATAGAGTGTCATTGTGTACTTTGGTTTAAATTAAATAAAAATATTACGTAAACATTTGGTTAATTTTCCTAACCAGCAACCGCTGCTCATTAACCGAATATTAACCCTTAACTGGTCAGATTAATATTACATTATACTTAATTTAAAAAAAATGAATTAACATGCGAGCAACAGCATATAGAACATATATCGGTTATCGGCCTTCAAATAAAAAAAGAGTTATCAGTTATTGGCATCGCCCCACAAATCCATATCGGTGCATCCCTAATTAAAATTCAAGCATTTTCAAGAATTTCCAGCACTCGTATGAACCCTGTACATTTCGATTTGAAAGAAATTAGTAAAATTGCTTCACTTTACCTGATATGACACTACACAAGAAAAGGAGCAGAAGTTCTGGATGCTTGAATCAGACATGGCCAGATGGTACTGAGGCACCAGCTTCTGCTTACAGCTGTTGCATTCCACGGGAGCACCTTGTATAAGCATGCAAACAAAAGACACATTGGAACTTAAACCTCGATGTTTCTGAAAAACACTGCGATTCCAAGTGTGCTTCATGGAGATAAGTGGGCTTGACATCCACCTGTAATGCCCTGGTAATTTATTCATTTAGAGTATTAAACAAGGGACAATATGCACCAGAGACTTACTTACAAGCATCCTAAACTTCTTGTAACAAATTGAGCAATTCTGAGTGTGCTACACGCAGATGAGTGGGCTTCACAAACCACCTGTAACGCAGTTGGTTTGTTAAAGTAATGAAGGTAACGCACTCTTTTCCTATCTACAGTTAAAACCAGAAGTTTACATACACTGTATAGAAAAGGCACATAACCATTAAAAAAAAGTCAGATGTTAATGTGACTAAACTTTTTGTCTTTTAGGCAAGTTAGGATTATCAAATGTATTTCTGTTCTGCTTAATAGTAGAATAATGAGAGATATTTTTTGAGAAACTGTTATTACTTTTCTTTAAGGTCAAGTTTACATACAATAAGATTAATATGCCTCTGACAAAGCTCAGATGATGGTGTCAAGGTTTTGTAAGTTTCTGATTGGCTAATTGGCAACATTTGAGTTAATTGGAGGCATAACTATAGAATAGTATTCAAGGAAAACCTCAAACACACTGCTTCCTTGTGTGACAACATGGAAAACTCAACAAACCAGAATCAGCCAGATTACAATTTGTTAAATTACACTGGGAAATAGAATAATTCTTGGAGGCATGTCCTGTGGTCTGATGGAACTAAGATTGAACTGTCTGGTCATAATGATCAGTGTTACATTTGGAGGACAAAGGGGAAAGCTTACAAGCCTAGGAACTTCATCCCAACTGTGAAGTATGGGGGCGGCAGCATCATGTTGTGGGGCTGTTTCGCTGCAGGAGAATGGTCCACGTCACAGCATAGATGGAGTCATGAAGAAAGAACATTATGTAGAAATACTGAAGCAACATCTCAAGACATCAGCCAGTAAATTATAACCTGGCCACAAATGGGTCTTCCAAACAGACCATGACCCTAAGCATAATGCCAAATTAGTTAAAATGTGCTTTAAGGACAACAGAGTGAATGTTTTGGAGTGGCCATCACAAAGCCCTGATCTCAATCCTATAGAAAATGTGTGGGCAGAGTTAAAAAAGCTTGTGCGAGCAAGACAGCCAACAAATCGGACTCAGTTAAACTAATTCTGTCAGGAGGAATGGGCCAAAATTCCTTCAAACTACTGTAAGAATCTTGTGGAAGATTTGATTAAAGTTATACAGTTTAAAAGCAAAGCTAAAAAAAAACACCAAGGAAATGTATGAAAACTTTTGACTGTCTAGAAATTAATAAAAAAATTCTCTCTTATTATTCTGGCATTTAGCAAAAGTAATAATTCAGGTAATTCTAACGGACCTAAAATAGTAAACGTTTAGTATGATTTACCATCAGATATTTTTTATAAAATGGTTAGGATCCTTTTTTTTTTAGAGTGTATGTAAACTTCTGGTTTCAACTGTATACAGTGAGCTCTGGACTGTTCAATGACATTAAACTCAAGAGACACAAAACATCACTTACATAAATCTAAATGCTAGTGTTAATTATATATAAATATTGCATCTTGGTGGGTATTTCGGTGTTACCTGAAGAACTGACAGTCTGAACTTTATTCGCTGTGACACAGGCGGCAGAGCAGAAAATCTCTCGGATTCCCTCTGCGTTCATACATTCCAGCATTTCGGCAACCGGGTGCAAAGTGCGACAAATTTTGCAAGCGACAGGTTTCAGACTCTTCTGCAAAAAGGATAATCAATTAAATTAATATTGACTTTCAACTGAATAGCAGGCTCGTGTGTATGTTTATTTGAGGTTACCTTTTTGAAGGCTGTGAGGCAGCTCGGCTTGCAGAACTTCATAACGATGCCCTCTATCTGCAGAGATTGACATGGAGCGTCTGTGCCGTAGCAGATTCCCCCACAGTTCATACAGCTGTTCCCGTTCAGCTTATTGGAGGTGCGAAACTGGTTGAAGCAGTCGTCGCTGCACAGAATATGGACGGAGTCCATCAAGTTCACTTTGTGAGTAAAAGTCTATGAGAAACACAAATGGCAACATCTCAAACCTCTGGATTTTATTTGTTTGTACATCATACTAGTAGCCATGTAACGTCAGAGACAAGACAAAAAAAGACATAAGTTGGGAAATAATTTTCATTATTGTTGCATTTATTATTTTTGACACCATTGCTGTACATCCTCTGTGTATTTGGCAATGTGTAAGGATTTTTTAGCTGCATAGGCACATAATTAACGCAATCTGCTGGACTTTAGACCAGCTTTTAGTTGGTCAGTGAGCACCATCTATCGGATGGGGCCGAGGTCCTGACTCTCTGTGAGTATCTAAAAACCTCAGAAAGTCCTTTGAAAAGTGTAGGATCAAGTTGATATAGCAATATGAGGTTTTATTGTAGTTGTGCTGCTAAGTTTATTAGCACTTACACAGCTCTGTAATTTGTGTTATGGTAATGTCATCGTTTAAAAAAAAATCACAATTTTTCAATCCACACGGCCATGGGATTTTCCCACTCTGTAACCCATTATATTAAAAGTTAATTTCATGGCACTGGCTATGCTGGTGTGGTGTGGACAAAAGGGCAAAACAATAATACACTGTTGCGGATCGACCTAAATCCATTGGTGTGTGAATGCGGCCTCATTTTGTAGGTGAACAATTCAGTAGCAGAGTTTCAACACACAAAACGCCAGCAGACAGAAATAGCAACTTACTGTTCCCGCCTTCTGACACACACTGCACTTGAAGTTTAATAAACTGATGCATTTCTGACTGCAAAACTCCTTCAGATTCCCTGCCATATCCACCGGTGCACTGATCACATCCTTAGAATCAGTAATATCTCTGTGGGAAAAAAAAAATGTTGCACATTACTGTTTTAATTTAATTTAACTCCTATTAAATTTTATTTAAGCTTTTAAAATAAATTATTAATTAATTATAAATGCTACATTTGTTTATTTATTGGCATATCGGTAACTTGTGGCAATTTCAGGGCAAGATCAATATAAATAAATACATAACAACAACAACTTCTTAATACGAGATGCAAAAAAAAGAACAAAACTGCACATTAAAAACATTGGATATGATTTTCAGCTTAATTTATGAAAAATAACTTAAAATTATTTGAGGAATACATTTTCACAAACATCAAACCAAATCGCTTTTAGTATAGACATAATGGGTGTAATAGATCACGATCGATCCATGATTCGTACTAATCACAACCCACGATTCGGAACACACGTGACCCAGTTTTTTTTTACTTGTAGATTAATTCTAAATTTGTAACGATCACAGAGAGATTGCCTATGACATCATTTAAATCACATGTATAAAAGCATTTGGGCTTTCCTGTAAAATATAATGAGGACAGAAGAAGTCATGGTAGGGTATTAGAGATGTGGTGGGTTTCGTAAGTTAATAAAGGAGTTTTCGGTCACTACTATTTTAGCCTGAATCAATGCATTCAAGTGTAAACTAAACGATTAATCATTAAAAGATCAGGATCTTAACACCCACGCAACAAATTATCAATGATGGCGATTTGCATATGGTTATTAATCCTTTGAATCGCTGCATTCAAATCTGAAAACACAAAAATCAATAGAGATTGAGTCTTTTGAGTTATGAAGTTACAAACAGTCAAATAGCACAGAGGTACTGGCATAACAGTTTATAGTTTAGATAAAACCACTGATGTTTATGGTAAAGACTAATCACTGTCATGTGCATTTAACAAGGATAAAAAATGAAAGTTGTAGACAGCAATTACATTTTTTAATCAAAAAAAGTGGCAAAAATCAGCCATCAAAAACATGCCACTGAATAATTCTTCAAAAATGACACATCTAGCAATGAAACATTAAGTTTTAAGGGTGAATAACTGAATCATTTATTGAAAAGGAGACAAAAAATTAATATGGGAGTTACGACTCAATTTTATTCATTCATTTTTTATTGCGTATTGCATGTGTCTTTTTCTTTGTGCCGCCGCCTTGTTTTTTTTGTTATCCCATAGGCTACTATTCCGGAGTGATTCGTGCTGATTGGCTGCTGGTCTTGGATGCCTGTATAAATAGGAGCTTCTGGCAGGGTTCGAGGAGCTCATTTGTGCTATGACAGTTGCTGGGAGCTGAGCTCCTGGATTTCCCGTACCCCTCCGGCTGACGGCCAATGTTCAATTTTGTTACCATGGTCCATACATTCAACTTCTTTTGAGAGTTTGAGCTTGTAGGGGTGGCCTGCCTATTTATTTGATTACTTCTGACTATGTTTATGTTTGGGGAGAAAGGTAAGCTTCTTGTATTTTTTTTTTAATATTTATAATAATTAGTTAATTTAGTTAATTTACTTTGCAGATTCTTTTGTTTGTTATTTTGGCCTGTAGCCACCCTGAAGAGAAGCTCATTTAAAATTACTTGATTTTTTTCTAAAATAAATCTATTAAATTACACTCAACTGAGTGTGCGAGTTTGATTGCCGACCGAGGGGTATTTTTTGCATCAAGTTTTTGTTTTGTTTGGGAAATCAAACAAATTTGTTTTCCCGTTTATTATGCCCATGCTGTTTTCCCCTAGACTTGAGGCTTAATAATGAGTTGCACAAATTATGTTGGATTTCTACATTTAGCGTTATTAACAACAGTAGTAGTAAGAATGCATTTTTCACAGTTCTGAATATTTTACTATTTATTTTTAGAGCTGATTACTTCTTCATTTTATTTTTATTAAAATTACATCTTCTAAGTTCTGTTTGTTAAATCCAAATGTCTCCTACAGCACTGTTTCTGTAATAAATGGAAAGCAAATGACATGTCTCCTATTTTTGGCTAATCTAAAAAATGGTCCAATCTGTGATTAAAAAACCATAGTGTGATCTGAGCCGTGAGATTTGTGATCCGTTACACCACTAATGGAAATCTTGTTTAGCAGTCTTTAAAAATGTCACATTTTAATAAATTGTGTTTTATGCTGAGAAAGGCTTGATATTGATGTTGGCTTGCATGTTACTTACTAGGGGTGTTACGATACACTCAGCTAACGATAAGATGTGTATCACGATATAATGTTCACGATTCGATCTGTATCACCATATTTGGAATAAAAATTGAAAATTAAACTGAAATGCAAATTTTACCAAGAAAACTATTTTTTATGTATTACTTTTATTTCAACTTGTTAAACTGAACCTTCTTTAAGAAAATAAATTAAACAGGCCTGTCTCTGGAAAATAAAACAATTTAAAAACTTCCTAAAAAATATTATTGAAATGACAGAGACAAAATTAAGGAACAATTTAAGTAAAGGTGCAAAAAAAAAGCTTTCTATTCAATTGAATTTAACAGTAAGAGCTTAAGGCTTTGCTTGGTCACTTGCGTTTTTTTGTGTGCAAAAAAAAATCCACATTTCCAGGTATTTAATTCATATTTAATTAAATTCATTTAGGGATATCTCTAATTACAATTGTGACTAGTCAAAACTCATTTAGAGATATCTGCAAATATTTTTCAATGGAAGTCAATGGAGGAATATGACTAGTCATAATATATTTGCAGATATCTCCAATCTGATTTCGTACTAGTACAACTGTAATTGCAGATATCTCTAATTGTCATTCTGACTAGTCGAATTATAATTATGACTAGTCAAAATATAATTAGAGATATCTCTAAATATATTTATGGAGAGTCAGAACAAAGGTTTAAATGCTAAAACGGCTTGCCATACGCGCGCGTCTAGTCCGCCCTCTGTAGTAACAGCTCACGGTCAGCTCACGTCATGTGTGATTTTGCGGCCGCAAATACATCATTATATGAAGACAGAATGATATTTTAGGGTGAATTGTACCTTATAAATACAGTATGTGACTCTTTCAACACCATTAGGAGGTATCCATGTCTCATGTGCAAAGTATGTAAATCACTGTGAAGACTTTTAAACTTAGGATGTTTGACCCAGTATGCGTGTCAAAAAGCGGACGAGTCTAACTGTACAACCGAAATGTTGCCAGACGTCTGATTTTGAGATGATGGGCCATCCTCTATTTCAGCTCCACTCATCTTGGTCTGCTAACATTACTGCTGCTGCAATCTGAACTCACGTGCGACAGCAGGTGGAACGTAGCTCACGTGCAAACAGCTCAACTAATAAGAGAAAACGGATGTCATATCGTAATCAAATCGTCATAACGCCACGATGCTTATTGTGACATTTTTGCATCGCAATAAATCGTACAACGATAAATCGTTACACCCCTATTACTTACATTCCTGGAAGTCAATCTGAGCACATAATTTACACAATATTTGAAGTCAAGGCCTGTAAGCTTACTTGAGGCAGAAGTGACATTTCTTGGGAGGCATCTTGACCACCACATTGGAGTTGCTACAGAGACATTGAGGTGAGCAGAAGAGTTTAGGACAGCCTTTGCGCTGGAAAGCCGTCTGTCCCTTCAGCAGGATTTTATTACACCCTGTGCAAACCACACCGACCGGATTGGCTGGAGCTAAAGGACGGAGGGACAGTGTAGGGACTGGTGCTGGCTTCGCTGAGACACTTACTTGAGCTGTAGTCACATGAAAACAAATATGTCAGAAACAAAAAAAAATCTAACTTAAGTCATCATTAAGTCCAATCACCAAATGATGTTGATATATTTCATACCAATGGGTGCAGGAGTTCCTCCTACAGAAAACACTGCACTGATCTTAATGGCACCAGTCTGGTTGTCCTGAAAATATGAACACAAAAAACATAGTGCTGTCGCCTCACAGCAAGAAGGTCGCTGGTTTGAGCCTCGGCTTGGACAGTTGCCATTTCTGTGTGGAGTTTGCATGTTCTCCCCATGTACACGTGGGTTTCCTCCGGGTGCTCCGGTTTCCCCCACAGTCCAAATACATGCACTACAGGGGAATTAGGTAAGCTAAATTGGCCGTAGTGTATGAGTGTGCGTGAAAGTTTATGGGTGTTTCCCGGTGATGTGTTGCAGCTGGAAGGGCATCCGCTGCGTAAAACATATGCTGGATAAGTTGGCGGTTCATTCCGCTGTGGCGACCCCTGACAAATAAAGTGATTTAGCCGAAAAAGAAAATTAATCTTTAGCAGATTTTCAAGCATTCTGTGCACAAAAATTTAACCCGTAAACAACGCAACTGAAAGAAGCTTCCCTACAGCATCAATGTAAGTGACTACAGACTATTTTTACTGAATTATATATTACAAAACTATTAGCGCAGCCCAACTTTGGAACAGTCAGGTGTTAAGCAAATTTCATTTCTTCTTCATTAATCAAGTTAAGTAGTTAGCATATGAATGATAGCAAACAAGCTAAAAAAAAAAGCTTCCCTATAGCATTAATGCAAGTGACCACAGACTTGTTTTTACTGTATTTAAATATTACCAAAAAAATCTGAATCGGTTTTATTGCCAAGTGGGCTTCACACACAAGGAATTTGTTGTGGCTACAGAAGCTTCCAGTGTACATAAAGTGACAAGAGACAACACGGATATAATTTTTAAAAAAGACAATAAACATTAAACAGAGATGCAGTTAGTCAAAGAGATCTGGATGCTGAATTGTATGTACTGATTTGTTATAAATATACAGGTTATAAGGTGCTGTGTACAAGTGCGTATGAGAAAGTGTTGCACATGTTTATTGCACAGTTGGGGAATATTTAACTGTTCTTGAGGTTGATGGCCTGTGGAAAGAAACTTTTCCTGTGTCTGGCTGTATTTGTGCTCGGTGCTCTGTAGCGGTTAACACCTTGTGACTTTATAAAGGGCGTCAATGTGATCGTGCATACCAACACGCAAAACGGCAGCCGAAAAAGCGTAATAAAAAAAAAACAAATCATGCTCGTGTTTTTTTTATTTGATGCGCCGTGTTAAAACCTTCAGGTTGGCACATTTGTTGCCATGCACGGAGCTGTTGATGTTACAGTAAATAACATGTGAATGCGAGTGCACATTGAAGAAGATGCCCAGAGGCGATATGAACGTGGATCTGTTTATTGCACTAGTGAACAATAATCAGTTCTTCATCGCTAGAGCTGGAGCTGCAGCTTGAACCATCCATGCTTGTTCGAGTCACCAGTAACAATAGCTGCGTCCCAAATCGCACACTTATGCACTATTCTACGCCATTTTGTAATATAAATAGTGTAAGTAGTGTGTTCAAACTGAAAACTCTAAAAATAATAAGAGCACTTTAATTACCCGGATGATGCACTCATTCAGCCGCTAAAATGAAGTGTGTAATGATGGACACGTCACGCACTCAACGACCGCAGGTTTGCTTACGTAGCGGAAGGGGCGGAGCTATCGGACGCACATTTTGATTAACTTTATTTATTTTGGATGGTGAAAGCAAAATTCTTCTACGAGAGTGATTATTGCGCCTCCCGATGGTGAATGCGACAATACTCACGGCAGGTATTATTTGATAAGTCGGTCGTTAATTTCACTGATTTGGCAACCGTCAAACGTCATCAGGGAAACGGTTTGAATTTCTGTTTAGTAAAAAAACATTACTGTGCCATTTGGGACGCAACTACATACATATACTATCCTGTTAAGTGTGTAAGTGCAAAAGTACATAGTGCATGAGTGCATAGTGTATAGTGTGCCATTTGGGACGCAGCTTTTAACAACAAGCGTGTGAACTTCCTTTCTTCCTCTTCTTCTGTTTTACAAGCAGGTGTCGGAAGCTTAAAGTTGTGTAGCGCCATCTAACATCAAGGAGTGGTTTTGCATACTCTTCTGCTTGATGCCAGTAAAAAAATAAATAAATAAAATTCGCTAGGGTTTGAATCCGGAAAAATGTCTTGTAAAACGCTGACGATAAACGCTGAAGATAAACGCAAACAAAAAGTGTCCCGGTGTATACGAGCCTTAACAGTTCACCGACCAGACGGTAACGGATCAACTCGTAGCAAGCTCCAACTTTTGAACAGTCTCATGTGTTATAAGCCAATTTTATCTCTTTTTCAATAATTAAGCAATTAGCAAATAAATAATAGCAAACAACGTAACAAAAAAAATTTCCCTTTAGCATCAATACAAGTGAGCACAGACTTGTTTTTACTGTATCGAAATATTACAAAAATCACACCAAACCCCAACTTTGAACAGTCATAAGCTAATGTTATAAGCTAATTTAATCTCTTTTGTTCATTAATTAAATTACTAGATAAATAAAGAAAATTGAAACAGCTTTACAAAAAAAGTATTTTAAGTATAGAAAAGTTTGACAACCTAACTAGAAATTGAATATTGTAATAGACACCTATTTATTAATTCGCTTTCTGGGCCCTTTCTAGCGAGTTCTTTTACACCCCTATGATTGGTCACGTGCTCAACAGAAAGGGCTGTGATTGGCTCTAATGCTCTGGCGCTGTTCACAATTGAGCGACACAGATAAACGCAGTGGCGATCACAGCTGATTACCTAAGGTTTTAAAAATGGTTTCAATTTCTTGTGGCTAAACAGCATAGACTTCTATGACACTGATCAGTGATCACCTCAGGTACTGATTATGTGCTTTATTCATAGTTAAATGCTACAAATTTGAGTTTGAACGCCATATTATGTGACATTTATTGCCATGTTGCATTGCTTTAGCATTGTTTTTCAGATAAACAAATTCACTTAATATGTTTGTTAAATATCTGCAAACATATTATGGTATTTTTATGCTCTCAAAAACTTCCATACATCACCTTTATACTTCTATAAAAGCAAATAAAGAGCAGGAAACTCACCGCTGCAGTGTCGGGTTCATCTTTAATGTCTCCCTCTGTGTGCAGCGATACTGATGCTTTCTCGTACTCCTCATCCATCGGCTCGTCCTTCACCTTCATCGGCAGGTCCACGGAAAGCTGTTGAGGCTTCATATCAGGTTTTACCGCTGATTGTGTTTGCTGGATTTAAAAAAAAAGACTTTAGTTTTTGGAGTGCTTTAGCAGCAGGATAAAAACCTAAAGCATAATGTGTGTGAATTTCATCATTTAAAAACATTTACTGCTGTATGTTTTGGCTGTGAATTCAGTATTGGCACTTTCTATAGTTTTTACACTACTTTAAAATGTCCAAAAGGTGTCAACACAATCGTTTTACAGCCAAAAAAGACCTACAGCAGGTGACAAAAGTATGTTAGTAAGGATATTAAAAGATACTTGCATATTAATATAACTATTTATTTGATGTTATACACTATTTATGCAGAAGACATTGAAGTCAGTCATTTAGAGTGGAAGAGAAAGCTGGTAGATAGATAAAGATAGAGATTATGCTCACCAATGCAGATGGTTCAGTTCTCTCCATTTTAATGTCTTCAGACAACAAACAAACAAAAAATATACAAGAATTAGCAAGAAACGAGTCCATTTTGGTGTAAAAAAAAAAAACACACACACACAAATATTATGCAGCATCTTCACTTCTATTTTCAACCTATTTTTAAGACATTAAACATTATAAAAACAATAAAATAAAAATAAAAAAACAAGAAATAAGTCAATTCTGGAGTAAAAAAAATAAAAATATTATGCAGCATCTTCAACCTATTATAGAAACATTAAACATGATTAAAATTATTAAAAAACTAAGTAAAGAAAAAGAATTCAGCAATAAATAAGTTACTTCTAGTGCAAAAACACACAAAAAACACACACAATCTATTATTAAGACATTTAACATTACTAAAAAAACAAATTAAATAAAATAAATAAATAAAGTATTTTTATTACCAAGAAATAAGTAAATTCTGGTGTAAAAAAAACCCACAAATTTTATGCAGCATCTTCATTTCTATTTTCAACCTATTATTAAAACATTTAACATCATAAAAACATAAATTAAATAATATAAAAAAATATTTTTTGCAAGTAATATGTCAATTCTGGTGAAAAAAATACAAATATTATGAAGCATCTTTATTTCAATGTTCAACAAATTATTCAAAAATTATAAAAAATAAAATACATAAATAATATTTTTTAGCAAGTAATAAGTCAATTTTGGTGTGAAAAAACACAAATATTATGCAGCATCTTCATTTCACTATTTAACCCATTATTAAAACATTAAACATAATAAAAATTAAATAAAGAAAAGTGAAAAAAATCTTCATTTCTATTTTCAACAAACTATTAAAAAACTAAACATTATAAAAACATTAAATAAATAAAAGTATTTTTTTATTAGCAAGAAATAAGTTAATTATGGTGCAAAAACACAAATATTATGCAGCATCTTCATTTCTATTTTCAATCTATTATTAAAACATTTAACATTATTAAAAAAAATAAATAAATAAATAAAAGTAACAATTAAAAAACTTTTTTTTAGCAAGAAATAAGTCAATTCTGGTGTAAAAACATGCAGCATTTCTGTTTTCAACAAATTCTTTAAAAAGTTAAACATTATTAAAACATAAAATAAAGAAAGAAGGGTACAAAATAAATTATTGTTTTGAAAAAAAATTATTCAATTCTTGTATAAAATACACAAATATTATGCAGCATCTCAATTTCTATTTTCAACCTATTATTAAAACATTAAACATTATAAAAACAAAGTAAAAAATAAAAAATAAAGAAATCAAATACATTTTGTCCTTGAAAAGCTCAGTAATCAACACACAAAAAAATAAAGTAGTTTTGCACCTCATCATATGTTGAACTAAAGGCAGCAAGCAAAAAACAAGCTCAAACCAACCTGCATCCTCTGGTCTGGACATTTCATTAGTGAAGTCCTCCACTTTAGCGGCCACAAATTCAGCTGAACACTCTGGTTCTTCAACTTCCTTCTGATTCTTTGTTGTTCTGCTTTCATGCTCTTCCTCCATCTCCTCCTCGTCGACCTGATGGCACTCCATCAGCATGTTTTCAATGAAAGGTTCATTTGCATCAGTCTCAGTGGTGTCCATCTTCCCTGACTCTGCTGTTCCTCCTATAAAATCCTCAGTAGACATGTAAACACCGGCTGCAGACGGAGAGCGCAGTGGTGAAACCCACTCTGCAGATGGTGATGGGCCAGACTTAGCTCCTGAAAAAGAAGAAATTAGGGCTTTCAAGAGCCAATATTATGGGTTTTGAAAATGACCTTCCATGCAGCGTGTAACACAGAAGTCCTGACTCTCTAATGTCATCACTTCTCATAAAGAAAAGAGGTGTAACCCCAGTGTCTTGGCCAAATTCCCTCTATCAGCCCATTCCCAGTATGGCTACCAAATCATCCCCATCCACCGAATTGCCTCTATCACTGTCTATCCACTCCACCTATAGCTGGTGTTGTGTCCTGTGGCTGCCGTCGCATCATCCAAGTGGATGCTGGACACTGGTGGTGGTGTGGAGAGACCCCCTCATGATTATGAAGCGCTTTGGGTGTATGTCCATACACAATAAATGCACTATATAAATACACATTACATTACACTAAACAAGAGTTACCAAAACAAACCCACATGGCTTTAGTTACACAGTGTAAATGACTGTTTTATAACGCATAAGTTTGTCCTTCATAACACCGTTTCCAAATTATCACCTCAGAAAAAGACTAACATTTAAATTCCTAACGAGTGTACAATTGCAGAAAAAATACTTCAGCAATAGATTATAAACATGCATCTCTGGTTAACTGAGGTCAGGGTTCATACACATTTCTTCAACTAAAAATCCATGATTTTCCATGACATTTCTAGGACTTTCAAGTATATATATATATATATATATATATATATATATATATATATATATATATATATATATATATATACAATTGAAGTCAGAATTATTAGCCCCCCCCCCTTAATTCTTTTAAAATATTTCCCAAATGATGCTTAACATTCATGCATTCAATAATTTTCAGCTTATTCCCTTTATTAATCTGGGGTCGCCACAGCGGAATGAACCGCCAACTTATTCAGCATATGTTTTACACTGCGGATGCCCTTCCAGCTGCAATCTACCACTGGGAAGCTCCCATTCACATTTCTTCACACACATGCACAACGGACAATTTTAGCTTACTTAATTCACTTATAGCACGTTAGATAGATAGAAAGTGGTTTTTACTACAGTAAACAGGGGGGTTGATCCTATTTAGCTTGCTCACAATTCAAATGGCTGTGCCTATCTATGTAATACAGTGGAATACTAGTATACAACCCATATTAAAAAAAACATTTTAAGTGCATTACTATTAATTACTACTTATACATGTAATAGTAGGCTTTATATATATATATAATTTTTTTAACATTATAAGAAGCTAAGCCCCTCTAAAATTATAATCCTAAAATCGCCCTTTATTCTTACATTCTTAACTTGCCATAAATAATGTCATTTCTGAAAGGTATTCTTTGCTAATAATAAATATATGAGAAGCCAATGACTGTCAAAGTACAACATTGTTCAGTCAAATTAATAGTGATTATGTTATTTTGAAGTCATACTTGCATGTGATTTCAGACCCAATATTCAAAGTACCATGGTAAACAATGATGGGAGCTGTCACAATTTGTCACTGTACGAATGTGTGAATTTTAAACCAACTTTACCACAATCTCCGTTAAATAAATCATTCTCAGACCATTCTCCCCTTAAATTCGCTTTAACCTTTGTTTGTATTAAATAGGAGCCTGCCTATTGTGCTCAACACGACAATACTACTATAAAATCCTCCATTATGTGGATTTAAAACATGAATGCACATCAATATTTAACCAGAATATCGTGTACAAACGAGCAATACTGCAAGACCTGCATGTTTCTGCAGCGAATCTCTGCACAAATGATAAACAACACGCGGGCCACTGTCGCCAACTGTTTACATACTCACTTTAAAGCACTCAAGCGTGTTCAGTCGACAAGCCTCCTCAGATGAGTAATAGCACACGACGTTTGCAGGACGCACGATAGCTCACTTCTGCATCAATACATCAGATGAGGGGATAAAGTTAAACTGGACCAACTAGCTGGAAAGACTAGCAGGCTCTCCCGCGAAACCACTTCCCCCTATGCGTGCAGCAGGGAATTATGGGAGATGCGCACAACACGCGTGGTGGGGTTGTTGCTAGAAGAGATACAGCTGCGGCCTGAAATTAACGATAATTGTTTATTAAATGTTCATTTATTGTATTTTATTAACCCCTAACCCTACCTCAAACAGTAATGTAAAAACAGTACGTATAACGAGTATTGTGCACATTATTTATTACTTTGCCCATTAAATTGTATTACATTAACGTCTACCCCACCCTGTTTACATAAAAAATAAAAAGTAACTAACGAGAATTATTTATAGTATTTAATTAAATTATCAATTATTTGTGTTTTATTAACGTCTGCCCCTACCGTAATGTAAAAACAGAAATACTGCGTTCACATTATTTATTAAATTGCCCATTAACTTGCATTTTATTATCGTACACCACTACCCCAAACCTCGCAGATAATTAAAAAAATATTAATTATTGTTGTACAGTGTCCTAAAAATGCTATATTGGCGTGCGTACCCGCAGCTGTATCCCGTTTAGATTTTACCGCGTTTTGTGGTCGTCGTTGACTTGTTACAGCGAATCTATTCCTTCGAGCAGTTCACTTCAAATAGTCATTAGCAATAAATTATAAATGTTTTCAGTGATTTTTCGTATTCATTTACATTGATTTAGAATGAATAAAATAAGTAATAAACATGTTAAGGTGGTTGATTAAAACCATAGCTATGGATTAAAACAACTAATCAAACCATTTTTATGTAAACAGCAGTTAACTCTTATTGATTTCTTCCATTTTTAAAAAACATTTAAAGACGAAGCTCTTGTGAGGTTGTTAATCGTGTGTATGTTTTTGTTTGCATAATTCAATCATTAAAACTATTTGTAATGAGCAGATAAACTCCATTACTCATGACCATGTGCTGTGAAGAATTCCACCAATCAAGAAGTTCTCTGTGAAAAGAGCGGCAAAAAGCACCGATAATCCACACACTCTAAAATTTGTGTTTAAGATTGTCTTTTAATTAAACTTAAACAAGTTATTTCTATATCAACTACTATTAATATTACAATATTACATCGGGGCTGCATGGTGGCGCAGTGGGTATCACATTTGCCTCACAGCAAAGGTCGATGGTTCAAGCCTTGGCTGGATCAGTTGGCGTTTCTGTGTGAAGTTTGCATGTTCTCACCGTGTTCGCGTAGGTTTCCTCCGGTTGCTCCGGTTTCCCCCACAAGTACAAAAAACATATGCTGGATAAGTTCTATCCGCTGTGGGACCCCAGATAAATAAAGGGACTAAGCCATTAAGAAAATGAATAAATGAACAATATTACACCAGGGCGACATGATGGCTCGGTGGTTTGCACTTCCACCTCACAGCAAGAAGGTCGCTGGTTCAAGTCCCGGCTGGGCCAGTTGGTATTTCTGTGTGGAGTTTGCATGTTCACCCTGTGTTGGCGTAGGTTTCCTCAGGTTGCTCCGGTTTCCCCCACAGTCCAAAGACATGCGCTATAGGGGAATTGAAAAAGCTAAATTGGCCATAGTGTATGTGTGTGAATGAGTGTGTATAGATGTTTCCCAGTACTGGGTTGCAGCTGGAAGGGCATCAGCTGTGTAAAACATGTTGGAATAGGCTAGTTGGTGGTTCATTCCCCTGTGGCGACCCCTAATGAATAAAGGGACTGAGCCGAAGGAAAATTAAAGACTGAATATTACACTGTAACTTTTCATTTATTCGCAAAGCTTCATGGGATTGTAGTTTTTTTTCATTGTTCTTTTTTAAATGATTATTATTTTATGCAAAGTTAAGTATCTTACAAGGTTATAATATATTCCATAAAACAAACACCAAACATTAAGTTATATGAATAGTGACTATATATTGTTTAGCCCACATCCCCCAGTTAGGTGTGAATAGGTATTTATAATGCTGCCTTGAGTTCTTTAGTTTTGCGGATTTTAAATCAAACTGGACGCAGTGGCGCAGTAGGTAGAGCTGTCGCCTCACAGCAAGAATGTTGCTGGTTCAAGCCTCGGCTGGGTCAGTTGGCGTTTCAGTGTGGAGTTTGCATGTTCTCCCTGCATTCGCGTGGGTTTCCTCTACAGTCCAAAGACATGCGGTACAGGTAAATTGGGTAGGCGTATGAGTAGTGTATGAGTGTGTATGGATGTTTTCCAGAGATGGGTTGCAGCTGGAAGGGCATCCACTGCGTAAAACATATGCTGGATAAGTTGGCAGTTCATTCCGCTGTGGCGACACCAGACTAATAAAGGGACTAAGCCGAAAAGAAAACAAACGAATGAATGAAATCAACCTGAAGTACTTCTGATTTCTAGTAATTTTTTGATTTACTTTCACTGCATAAGTGCCCTCCAGCATCGTGAATCTCGTCTCTCCATCACCCCCCTCCCAACACTACTGAAATAGTCACTGAAAAAGCCATTTTGAAACTACAAACATGGCAGATGCAAAAGACTACGTTAATGATTATAGCCAGTTTGTCTGCAGTCAGTAAGTCATTAACTTTTGATCGCATCATGCAAACATCCAAGAAAATTCTCGGCATTAAAAACCTGCTAAAAATGACAGATTAACATCCACAGTTTAGGAACTTAAATAAATGTGGAGGATATGAAGATGATCAACAGGGTAATTTAATTAGGTGGGAGAACCATTAATCAATGTTCTCTATTAATGATGTTAACTTCTTCTCAAAAACAGTGGGCTTACTTTTTTTGTGGTGACCAAGGGATGGCTACAAACTGAACACTGAAACTGAACTCACAAAATCGAAAAAATAAATTAAATAATGAATTCGTCAGCACTCTATATATATATATAGCATATGTATATGTAGCATGCGCATTGTAAGGGCAATATGCTGAATTTTGTTTTATTGTACAGTAGAACTCTGTCACAACATACAATCGTTACCGTTTTTCTTTATTTTTAAAGATATATTTTGATTTTATTGTGAACATATACAAAAAATACACATTTTGTAGTTCAGAATGATGTCCAACTTGTTATATCTGTATAACCAAAGTTATCAATATGATATACTATGAACGTGAATCTGTGAATGCGCCACAGCCTCTCCTGCCTGAAACACATTTATTGCATTAACTTTCGTTTACTTTAGTTATACTGAACTGTGAATCTCTCAATTAACTGATATTGGATCCTTGTTAACTTACACAGTGAATTATAAACATCACTCCTCAAAATGAGCAAGCAAACTTAATCAAAAACTATAATAAATATCATAATTTCATCTTTAACTTGAAAACATATTCTCTTGCCTTTTTGTCGTCCTCAATCTGAAAATAGCTTGCGCTGGCAGCCAAACTCAAATTAAAACACTTTAAACGAATGAGATGTCAAACAGAAACTGCCAGTATAGCAAATATAAATTTGGGGTGGGATCTGAGGTGGCCAATTAAAATCAAGCAATTATTTTATCATTCATATCCTCTGTTCAAGTGAATAAAGTGCTTTAATGATCCAAATATTTTCAGTTTTTGTAAAATAACAAGACAACCTGAATGTCAAGAAAACGTTCCAGGGTAACCAACAGAGAACATTCTGGAAACTATTTTGGTAAATTATTTTTTTCAGTTCTCAGTTTAGATCCAGTTTAATTCTTACTGGATTAGAATGAAGACTAAAACCAACACAGGCTCATTGTGAACATATACCCCCATAAACATTTTTGGAGAGCGTAAATTACGTAGCCAGAGCTACGTATGCCTGCGTTTTGTCTATAAAATGAACTGTACGGGGCACCATTGGTTTCCGTTTTTTCCCCTGCTACTAGCTTGGCTTACCAGACCGCGACAACAGGGTTTCAGTCTGTCAAAGAACAGATCCAAAGAGCAGGTTAAATCAAAAACAAATTCAAAAAATAAACAAGTAAATGACCAAGTAAGTATCCACTTTTGCTCCGCTTCAAATCATGTGTACAGAGTCCGTTTGGGAAACAGCGTCTATTTACTAATATGGAGCGCATTTGACAGTCATACACGCTGAACAGACTGTTTTAAAAGGGGTAACGGCGTCTGTAATGGAAAGGAAGGGAATACAGATGTTTTTATATTTATTTCAATATGTTTTTATACCTAAACAAAATGAGAGCATAGAACATATTCATATTCAAGAGCAAGGGGTGCCCCCTGGTGCTTCAGCAGTGTGGGTTGTGTATAAGGAGGAAAGGCTCTTTAATGTTTATTGCCAGGCTTCATAGAAAGATTAAAATATCTAAACAATTCCCAGAAAAAACGAGAGGGTTGACGGGTATGTTGGGTGGGGGATTGGTTGATCAGTCAGTCAGTCAGTCAGTCAGTCAGTCAGTCAGTCTGTCAACGGCGGCCTCTGCTGGATTTACACGAGAACAGCAGGCGAGAAAGGCACTCGCAAGAGGGAAAAAAAAGCATACACATCGCCCTCTAGTGGTTATGTGAAAACAAAAACTTAAAAAAAAAATGTACCTCCTGGAACGTATTTGGCGCTCTCCAGAAATTTATATAGGAGTACATATCAATAATGAGAGTCTGGGTTAACTAAAACACAAGTCATCATCTTTAAAGTGACAGTTCACCCAAAAATTCTGTCATCATTTACTCCGCATCTGTGTTTTAAACCAGTTAGCGTTTCTTTCTTCAGGCCAACGCAAATGAATAAGATATTTTGCAGAATGTTGAAAACCAGCAGCTGCTGACCTCCATATCTAGATGCCATTGGCTGCCAGTTTACAACATTCTTCAAAATATCTTCTTTTTGTTCAACATAAAAAAAGGAAAAATAATGTGAGTACATTTTCATGTTTGGGTGAACTAACTAACCCAGGGGTGGGCAATCTCGGTCCTGGAGGGCCGGTGTCCTGCATAGTTTAGCTCCAACCCTATTCAAACAGACCTCCCTATAGAGTTCAAGTGATCTTGAAGACATTGATTAGTTTGTTCAGGTGTGTTTGACTAGTGTTGGAACAAAACTCTGCAGCGACACCGCCGCCGGCC